TCCTAGTAAACTTAGTGGGTACGTCCATGTTGGGGATATGTACTGTACAAGGGTAAGTGACCACAGAACTGAATCTGACCTGGACCAGTCATGTGGCATTTTCTAAGGGTGTGACAGTAGGACTGAGTGGAATTATTTCCCCTTTCTCCCTGCCTAACCATGGAAATTCCCATCGCCCTAACCCTGGACTCATACACATAGGTAGTAAACTAGTGAGGGTTCACAGAAATATTTACCCTGTGTACATTTGTCAACACTTTTCTTTGTAAAATAAAAATTAAAACAGGTATAATTGCCTTTTTATATAATAATAACATTGTAATAAATATATTTATGGTCTAAAGTTAGTTTAGGAAATTTCTGTCTTGATCTGAACAATTCTCTTTGAAAAGACAGCGAACGATTCCATGAGGTGATCCGTTCCCAGCGCAACGACCTAGTGAATGACTCCATTTTGTTCAGTTCTCTTGCCTTTATGTGTATAGGTAGGGAAAAGGGAGGTGACCGCAGGGGAACGGGAAGAAACCGACTTGGCTAGGGAGATTTTGCTCAGTCCTATTTTTGCACCCCTGAAATTGTCCGCATGGAACCCTCCTGCGGACCAGATAAAATTCAGTCCTGTTGTCACACCACCGAGCAGGAGTTAGATTAATTTAGTACCATTTGCTTCTAGTGGTGTGAATCAGTGTTATTGGGTGTTGTTCTCTCACATTGAGCTGGAGATGTTTGCCGTCATTTTTACTCAATCAGGGGGGATAGGGATACATACATGAAGCCATGAGCCAATTCCCAAATTTGTTAGTTTTTTTCCATTATAACAAAGTTGTACAGAATGTTGATTTTCTAAAAGAGTTACCGGGCCAGTCCTACCTCCAGTTTCTAGCTAATTGTTCCCTCATCCCTCTCATATGCCACCCTAATTGACACAAGCTTTTAATTTTTACCTGTGGATGGTAGTGATCACAATTACCTTAGATACCATAGGTTTGGTGACAGGCGGTGTGATCTTTCATTTACCGCTCATTTAATAAGTTTAATGTAATTGGGTTTAATCAGATTAGGTTTTAATTACGATTTTAGAAGACCATCAGCCAGATGGCCTGGTCTCAATTCCCACAACGATCAAATGATTTCGGCAATGAGATAATGCCACAACCTGTTTAGGAACCAATCTTAGCTGGTGGTCCATCTATTTGGATCCAAATATTAATAACAGGTAGGCATGGTCAACTGCAGGGGAGCTTTGGCACCCTAGAGAGAAAACTGAACAGGGATAAATAAATTGAAAATGTTTTTGAAAGACAATTACAGCTTATATACCCAAATTATATTTTATTTTCACCCTAGGACGTAAATTGACTATTTTTGGGTTGAGTCACAAAAAAAAACTGTTTTGTGACAAATAAAATACTTAGTTAGGTACTTTTACCATTATTAACTCTTTATCGTCTGATTTGTTGATTGTTGAAGTTGCTTTCATGAAAAACAAATAAACATGGGAATATATGAATCGTTTATTGCAGAAACCCTATAGCCAATTTTTTTTAAATTTTGAATTTTTAGTATATTATTGATGAACAAATTGAAATACATTATTAGGTGTAGAAATCAGACAACTGCAAAAATGTTGGTTATGGGGTTTCTGCAATAAACGATTCATGCATGTATTGATACTTTAATTCCAAAATTACAAATCAATTAATGCAGCAGTTGGCCAACGAAGGCCTATTGTATCATCGACTGTTGCATACTCAAGTTAACATTCTAGCTATATGGACAAGCTGTCACATTTTTTTATTAAAATGAAACATAGTTCTATAGCCAGCAGCAACAGATTGTGCTAGTGTGTAAAATTCTACTTCCGTCCTTATTATTTGTAACCGAGATAGTTGATGGGGGCATTACAGATGCTTTAGGTTTCAATAAGTTGTCCTATCAGTGTGATTAGGATAAAAGCCTGCATACTCATCAGAAATCAGTAATTTAAATCAGCGGCTCACTTTAACCACATCTATTAAGATTTTATAATTGGTGACAACTTTATCATGGGGATTGAATGTCTATTGATATAACAAGACAATAAAGTTACAGTAGGTATACACATGTTATCTTTCAGAGATTTAGTTTGAATTTAAAATGATGAATAATTTTGTTGTCTTTTAAACACATTAATGTTTATACATTACTTCAAACAATTGAAATCATAATATTTAAACATTAGTTTCACCATTTTAGTAATTGGAGTTTTAGGGCTTTATAATTTTTTTTAAATCTAGACCACTATTAAATACATGATTTTTGAATCTTCTAGAAATTGTATTAGTTAACCAAAGTTGTATTAGTTGGACCAAAGGCGGTATTTAAAAACCATGTACAAAATTAAACAATTTTAATTCAACAACAAACTTGATCAGAAAAATCATAAATGATCACATTGCACACTCAGTAAATTAAGTTATTTGTGCTAAAATACTGATAATACAATAAATAACACCAAAACAACATTGAACAAACTAAACCCAAAAAACAACTTATTCTTTCAGTAAAAAAACATTTCAGAAAACTACAATATGCAACAGAGTAGCTAAGAATGTAAATGGAATGGAATAAAAATCAGAGATAACTTTTCAAAATGCTATTTTACAATGCAATTGTAATGTATAAGCTTATACCATTCAGGTACCAATATTTAAACGTATAGCTAGCCTACATATTGTAAATTATAACAATAATCAAATGTAACTATTACAAATCCGTTAAAAATATATAGGAAGTAAAATCCTTACAAATAATCTTGAGTACAGTGAATCAAATTGTTGTTTTTGCAAAATGCCTCCATACACAAGTTAAGTGGGCAATGTTAACTAATAGCATCAAGTCAGACGGGTAAAGTAAACATTACTTAACAATAAACAAATAAAATTCCCAAAAAAAAAAAAAACAACCGTAAAAAGCTTTCTATAAATGATTTTTTAGTTAAATAATTTAATGAATTATTATTATATAAGCCAGATATTAATTTGTAAAAAGGTATGGTCACAAGCTGGAAAACCATAACTACCATTACAATTGACTTCATACAAGAAAAATGTGTAGGTTGGAGGAAATCACAGTTAAGTTTGATCCCTTTCTATTACAGAAAAAGAAAAAAAAACACAACTAAAATGTACGGTAAAGAACTGATTTTCTACCTAAGCATAAACACCCTTAAGGAAAATTAATGTAAAAATTAAAGAAAACAACCAAAATATTTTCTAAAAAATAAACAACTTACAAATATCATTCCTGCTGCCGTACATTCTCATTTCTATAAATAATATTAAAAAATTACAAATATAATATATGAATAGATTGAATTGGATTGGCCTTATTTAAGAAATATTATTTCTTTCTCGGTTGCATGCTACCGAATTCAATCCATAATTAATAAAAAAAGTAAAAATATTTTCAAATGAATATTCCAAAAAGGTATTGTAAGAAGTATTTATTTTATTATATCTATATTAGGCTACAGTAGGTCTATTGTGTTTATCGTCTTTAAAGACTAAATACTTAAAATGGTAAATTTAAATACCACCAAAATAATTTCAAATGTTAATTAATTATATTTAAATTAGTAGAGCAACTCTTTGTAATATAATAAATGAATTGCATACTAAATAACAAATAAGTAAATAGTACATAACAATTATGTACACTACTAGTTGATTTTTATAACTAAGTAAACAACTAACATTAAATTAAAGAATTGTTTTTGTAATCTGATATTTTACAGCAAGCAACAACTAAAATATTTCCATCCTTTGAGGTTGTAATATAACAAAAAAAAAATAAAAAGTATAACTTAGAAAAATATTTTATTCTAAATAAACTATATTGCTTTAAAACATTATTTAAAATTTGTAAACTAGTACAGTGCAAAACAACAATAAATAGTTCCACAATAAGCTATCACACCACAGCCACCATTGAACATAGAGTCCGACAATCAATGGAAAAACTGAGATAATCAATTCTGTCAGTGAAATTGATAAAAAGTAAAATCCTTGCAGAGTGCATTAGCAAACATTTGGACCATTGTACCACTTGTGTACTTACAAAGGTAGTCAGTTAATATTACCATTATGGTGGCAAACCCAAAATGTATTTTAAAACACTGTATTTGTATACAGATTTCGTTGCATTAACTATTTTTATGTGAATTCTTCCAGATGTATTTTTCTTTAGATTGAAGCAAATGGGCAAATTAAGATTGGTAGTTAAGAGACAAATAATAAAGTTCTCTGTTTTACTCCAATATCAAAATGGGGTAAGAAAAAGTTACCATCACTTTAAGCAATTACTCCCCACTCAATCATACAACAGGAGAATAGAGAGCTTGGCTTGAAAACCAAACCAATTGATAAGAAGAAACAAGATTAAAGGCCTAGAACCCCGGAGAGAAGCACCTTCCACCCTCGAACTTCAAATAGTATAGGCCCACATGTAAAACTATTTTTAAACTGTTGTCTTGAATACAACAAAAAATCTGAAAGTGAGTTATCACACCTTTTTAGGGCTCAAAACAAAATTTAAATACCTAATGCAAAACCAAATTAATTGTTTTGAGCTGTCGGTCTGACATTAAAGCAGTGTTTAGCCTTATCCACAACACTAACAGGTAATTTTCTGTTTTAAACTACTATGTTTATTTTACACAGTTACATTGTTATACAGTAATCATTTCGCCAATTTTAACTCCTGTTTAGTAAATATTTCAATTGTCGAGTCAAAAATTCACTTCATAATGATGTTACTTGGTCCAGGATCACTTCTTGAAAATTAAAATGGTATAAGATTACCTGTTTCTGTCTGTGATCCTAATTTGTAAAACTCGACGACCTCGCAAGAGTGACAAGAAGCCTGATGATGAGGTTATAACCTCGAAACCGGTAGCTCATACTACAAATTAGGATCACAGACAGAAACAGGTAATCTTATACCATTTTAATTTTCAAAAATTCACACTAGGCCATAGTACAATTTGTTTACTATATACCGATACCGGTAACGTAAATGAAGGCTATATTTCTGACAGTTTTAACCTTTTCAAGAGCAAAGTTTGCAGTAAGTAGATACAACATATATACCATTTCCATGAGGTAATGTGAGTTTGCCAACATAAGGTAATCACTAGACTAGGCTTGACTGCTATCTGTCTCTCTGAGATACTTTCCAGTCGTTCAGGTCTCTTCTTTGTAACTGTCTGGTAGCTTTACAGCCCCATCTGTAACAAAAATCAAATCATACAAACAACCTTCTACTAGTAAATTTCTTTATCTTTAACGTTTACTTTTGTGCTTTAACTTGATAGCAACAATTTTGTCAAATCTATTTTTCCTATAGTCACCCGCCAAATTCAGCTTCCTTGCAAAGATTATAGTACAGAAAGCCTTACTTTGGCGTACACCAGTATCCCAACCCAACCAAACAACACAAAACAGCGTGTTTTTATTATGCACGTAATCCGCGCTTAAAAATAAGTTGGCAACACTTAAAGATATTATAGTCTAGGCATATTAGGAAAGTTAGCGGAAAGTTTAGGTACAGTCCTAATCACCACTTTTCTCTATGTTTTTTGGGTCGCTGAACACGAATATGAGGTTTGCTGACAGATATTATGCCCGGAACATTGTTTATTTTGTGAAAAACCTTAAAATTTGGGCACTTTTTAGGGTTTTGGGCTAAATCTCGGTAATTATGAGTTTTTGATAAGACTCTGCTTTGTAAAATTAAAGAGGACAAAATTTGCTACAAGTTTTGTATGTAATATTTGTTTCTACGACCAACCGTTACGCCACTAGAGCACACTAAAAAAGGCCAGAAGTACCAAAAATGAAAATAAACGCTAACCGTTTTACATTAGGTTTCCATGGAAACAACCCATGTTACGTTAATTTTAACTATTTATTCATGATAATGAACTGAAACCCACTTGATAAATCTGCGCCAAGATGTATGACTGGCTGCAGGAACATTTCCCGTTTTCACAAAACCCCCATTTATTTTCCCTCATCACAGGGGTTGTTGCTGACCATAGGGTTGACTGCTAATGCTTGAGAAAAAGGATGAAAGACATTGAAAGATTAACTTCAAGAACGTAAGTAGAATAACTTACGTTCTTGAACTACTTTGGTAACGTCAAATTCAGACGAGCAGACCGAGTCCAGCCACTTGCCATAATGAACGCGATGAAATTAGAGAATTCTTACCCATAAACAACACCACATTGTTTCAACGTATCAGCGTCGCTAAGAATTCTGATGAAGAACTAGAACACTTCTTGTCCTACGACCTGGGTCCATACTCTTTCTCGTTGTTTGATAATAACGGTTTGCGCAAAAGAACCAAATCAAATCTTTATAGGCCTAAAGCACTTGTCCCCATTGAAAACAAGCACTTCCATGGGTATGTGTAGTATGTTATAGATGGTGATTTCCTACTACACAAAAGTGTATGGCCAGAGCATCAACCTTTCTATAAAAAATATAGGCCTAGGCCTAACAGTACATGGACAACATTATAACCAAATATATGGCTCAGACAAGTTGGTTTTGACGGCTACCCTGAACACCCGCAAGGTGGAACTAAAAGTTCCAAATGACTGAAAAGAGCAATAAAAACTACTTCTGCAGACATTCTCTTTGATGAAACTATGACCCCAACCACAACGAAAGAAAAAATCTCTTAGCCAACCCTAATAACAAGGAAAGACTAATTTCCATTATATCAATTAAGATCATCTCTTACAATATATCTTGCAAACAACATCTGAAGATGGGGACACATTGATAGTGACAGAAGCGCTGTCGTTGGCTAGCACTAATGAGAACGTTGTCGTTGTTGGAGAGGATGTTGACTTATTGATTATTCTAATCAGTTTGTGTAAGGAAAAAAGTTTTCTTCTTGAAGCCATGAAAGTGAAAAACTTAATCAACAACATACTCTCCACTCCTTGCTGTAAAGAACAATAAACTGTAGCTGAGAATATTCTAAGATAACCTTGGTCCTCAGTTTTTTACCCTTGAGGAAGCCTTAAGCTGGGTTTTCCTAGGCGCGGAAGAGGAGAGCAGAGAGAGGAACGCGAAGAACGAAAAGAGATTAACATGGTGTTCCGCTCCGCTTCTAGGAAGACGGTAACATTAAATTACCTAAGACAAGTGGAGTCCGCTCTCCGCGTTCCTCTCTCCGCTCTCCCCTTCTGCGCCTAGGAAAACCCGGCTTTAGAAGCAAATGAGAATGTGGAAAGATGAAGATTCTTTTTCTCTCCTCTTAGGCCCACCAAAAAAAGGATGGATGAAACCCGAAGAGAGTGAATTGCATGATCCTGCCAACCAATCTAATGCTATTCATGAGGTCATTACCATTATTTAAAAAAAGATTGTCACCATTTTCCCAGATTTGATCTTAAAAAACAGATATTTCTTTCAGGTGGAGGCTTGTGGTCAGTGGACACACTAGTTTGTTTATTTTCAAATGTGTTACAGTTTATTATCATGACTAAAAAGTTAAAATTATCGTAACATGGGTTGTTTCCATGGAAACCTAATGTAAAATGGCAGAATTTTGCGTTTGTTTTAATTTTTGGTACTTCTGGCCTTTTTTGGTGTGCTCTAGTGGCGTAACGGTTCATCGTAGAAACAAATATTATATACGAAATTTGTGGTAAATTTTGTCCTCTTTAATTTTACAAAGCAAGGTCTTCTCAAAAAACCATAATTACCAAGATTTATCCAAAAAACCTAAAAAATGCCAAAAACTTAAGGTTTTCACAAAATAAACAATGTTCTGGACATAATATCTGTCAGCAAACCTCATATTAGTGTTCAGCGACCCAAAAAATATAAAGTAAAGTGGTGATTAGGACTGTACCCAAACTTTCCTCTAACTGCCACTTATATTCCTAATATGCCTAGCCTATTACAACTATGATCAGCTGGTGCAGGGATTCCCATTTTGTTCAATGTTTGGATTAGATTAAACCTAACCTAAAAACATATTGTACAGTGTTTGAAAGACTAATTATATATATGACTAGCTATACCCGCGGGCTTTGCCCCGTTTCACTTATAAGTATTAATAAAACTATTGATTGGCATACCGGGTTGGATGGCATTTCAAGATTTTCAAGTGGCTTTTCATAGGTTACTAAGAACAACTTGGACTTAATACAAAAGAAAATTAAAACAAATCCTTACTGAAAATCCAATTTACTCTATTGAAGACTTCAACAAAAAATGCATAAAAATTTAAAGATATTTAATACTATACCTAATTGTACTGTCGATACAATCTATATTGTCAAGACAATAAAGTATTTATTTATTTATTTATTTATAACCTGTCAGAGAGTATTTGGGCCCTAGGAGAGTATTAAAATAAATATGACTATCTCCAATAAGCCTGTGGTTAAATTCACAAGTGCAAACTGCCTTTGCTGCATTCGAGAAACTTTCCGCACAAGCCGTAGGCGAGTAAACATTGAGATGTAAACATTTCTCTTGTATGCAGCAAAGTGCCACTTCGCCCACTAGTTACACAAATAACTATATACTATATCTAATCTTTACTCCCCCTGATGATGAAATATTGTGTGTTTTCTGAGTCTTCTACAGTGGCGGAACTATGAGGGGGGAAGCGGGATATTTCAACCAAACACAAAACTTTACTAATAACTTCACATTGCACAGCTTTGTGATTAGCTGAACGTTATACATTTGTTATAAACATCCCAATCCTGGCCTAGAACCTTTCCTTATATGATGAGACTTAACTAATGATAGATAGTAAGAACTTGTAGGAAAGCAGTTACATTACCTTCGCCATAGTAGACCATATAATGTGCACAACAGAGTGAGAATGTAGTAACCGTCAATCCACGTAAGACAGAAGCCTTCATCTTTCGTACAAGCCTGTAAAAAACAATGACAAACTTTAGGAGTAAGGTACCTAAATAGTTATAACACCTCATTTTAAAAACTAAAATATTTTTGAAATAACCTTAATACTTTCTAGCAAAAACAGTAGAAATCCTTCAAAGTTTTGTGATTGTGCTGGGAATCTCCCTTGCACTGAAGTTCAAGAAGTCTAAGTATGCAGGGTCTTAATTACTCCAGAAAGGGTTATTGGGCCCATTGTCTGAGTGAACTAATTGCATTACTTATAAGAAAATTTATTGATTGACATATCAGGACCTAATACAAGGTAGTCATCTACTAAACTAATATAATATATTTATTGAATATTATGTGAAATTAATGTTTAATTGGATTTAAATATTATATTTCTTAACAGAGTAGAGAAAGTGAGTCATTACATATTTGCGACTATGTTTACTGTGTTTGCGAGATCTATCGAGCACTTTCAATGGTCAAGAATATGTATAGACCCACTTTCACTTGTGTTTTGAACGTCACTTTTTGCTATACAACAAAGAATAATTATTTTCTTAATTAAAACAGACATTGGATATTTCTTCGTTACAATTAGGAACATCACAAAATCATAGCATTTAAAGATTATGTCTTCAATTTGAAGTAAATATTTACTTTGGTTGTTGAAAATTGAAACAGTTGAAAAAAAAAATCTTTGTTTACGTCGGCAAAATCCAAAAAGATAGTTAACATTACTTTTGCATAATAAACACTCTTTAGCTGTAGTAAACAATGTAATGATGCATTTTCTCAGGTGATAAACATTTAGGCTAAAGAAAACAGGTAATTTCACAGTAGTGTAGTGAAATATAGTTTTCTGATGCTTATAACTGTGATTGTTAGATTTAAAAAGCAATATTTCACTTTACTTTGCCTTTAATATAGGAAAACATCCAACATGAATATAATGAATATTATTATTAAAGAAAAAGCTATAGTGACTTGCAACTGTAAAAGCTATGAGAAATGTACTACATAAAAACAAATGCAAACTAACCTCTATTAAATCCGTCCTGAGACAAGTATTAGTTGGATTGTTAGAGCAGTATTTGAACGTAAAAGTGTCAACAAATAGTAGGATAAGAGAGTTAGGCCATGTGGTCCCCAAGTTAGAGAGGGTGTTCAGAAGAGTCATGTATGTTCCTCCGTACGCAGGGTCACTGATGCGTGCAAAGAACGCCATTTGTGACACAAACATCGTGTACATAGTCACCTGAAACATACACCAGGTTGACACAAATTCCACATGTTTTTCAAAGTGTTCAATGGGATCTTAGCATAGTTCAAAATTATTTACCTTAAATCCCTGTACAGTAGACTCCCTCTTATCCGGACACCTTTTAACCGGACATCGGGTTAACCGGACTACACTCGGCGGAAATGATATCTCTTTAACCCAACAAATTTTTTCACCACCTCGGTTTAACCAGACTAGATTGGCAGGAAGTGGGTGGCACTAAACAACTGTTTTCGTGGGAAAGATTTGACACCAGTGATACTGTGTCTAAATACAATGCTCCCTAAATTTAAGTCAAATTCTGTATACAGTACCGGTATGCATTTAATCGGTCCGTTTTTTAACGAGTTATTGGGGACGTCAGTTTAACTGGAAAACCTGTTATCCAGGCTTTGGGTGGAGGAGTCTGGATAAGATAAGAGGGAGTCTACTGTATACAAATAGATAACTCATAACACTGGATATAATTTATTTTTCCGATCATCTAATTAAAAGAAATGATTTATTTAGTAATTAAAATGCAATCAACTGCTTGGTAGAGTTTAGGATTTCTCATAAAGGTAGGGTTTTTTTTATAAGCCTATAAACTTTTATCTCACCTGATGGAATCCAAATAAGATGACAAGTATAACAGTATAACTGTTTGGGACGTCCCCTTCCGTGATAAGACGAGGTGTCACCCATACAAAAGCAGCTGCCACTAAGTTGAATATTAACCTGGAAAATATATTGAGGATAGAACCCATAGAATTTATTGTGTCAGCCCCATACACATCGTAACACATCTTACAAATACTCTATCTTAAAACAAAAACTTTTACTACTGTATTAGCCAAAGAGCATTCTTTACGCTGATAGTTTCTTGAAGTGTTTAATCTTGTTAAATTAATTAACTAGTGTAGATAGATAGATTCTTTCCTATTCAAGTATATGCCCGAAAAAATTCTCAACACCTAGGCGGCCTTTGTGCCCATAGTTATATCGTTAATAGGGATGTGTCGATTCTCGATACCACCGATACTTAGACATAGGTATCGCTATCGAGAATCGATCATAAAAAGTCGATATCAATATCCGATGCGTCTAGGAGGGTCGCACAATCGAAAATTACCACAATTGCTGCGATTGCTGGTGAGGACGATAACGTTTTTGTATATTGTGAAAAAAAACTTGACACGCTACCTACCTAGTTATCGTTTCTACATGTTGTTTCAAGTAAAAGGTAACTTTCAAACAAAATAAATACCAGGACAACATTCTCCTTGTCATCCTATTCTTGATGATTACAGCGTGTTCCGCCAGATGGCAGTGTATGCTATAGTTTTCTGTTAAAATTACTGAACTTTGGCTTTAGAAAAGTATGTAAACTCTTTTTTTGTGGGATGCACTGTGTTTGAGTTGTAAGCGAAAAACTAAAAAATGAGCAAAATCAACCTAGTTTTTGCCTCCCATACTCTTAGCTCACTTCAGAATCCGTCGAAAAATCATTCTTAACTTATTTAGGATCTGCAGAGCAGATTAAACAAATTTCCAGCTTTCCCCCAATTTTTAGGAGCTACAAGTCTACTTTGTCTGGGCTATTATGAGTTTAGAAGGGTTTAAATTTGAATTGGCTAGTTAAAATTTTTCATTGCTGCAGTAGTTTTTTTTTTTACTCGGAAAACACCTCATCACTCAAAAATTACTTTAAGGAAAGGTAAGGGCATAAAGACAAGGGTTAGTATAGTATAACCAATCCATGCAGAAATTTTTTTAAGGTAAAAATGGTATCTGTATCAAGAATCAATCAATTTTGGTATAAAAACATCACTAATTGTTCACAAATCAAAACTTATCTTCTACATAAGCACCTTCAACAACTATTTCTAACATAACTAACCTATAAGGAAACACACGGCTGTACATATCCAATGGAGTCTGCCCGACAATGTATTTCGATAGCAACAGAGGCAGTCCAATCTGTAGAGGGACAAGGAATACAGCGATCATCGCAAACTTGGCTCTAGGGACTCCGCCCTCTATCAGTTTTAGTGTGGTCACGCTGTCACAAGCACTGAAGCCCACCTGTTATAAAACGTATATTCAGCAAAAAACTATCAGTAAACCTTAACGGCTATAAAATTGTATACTTTATTGTGTAACTAATGGCAAGCACTTGGATCTGATGTGCTAAGGAAATAAATGGCTTGATTAAGATTAAATTGAAATGAACTAAACAAGGCAGCTAACTAGTACATCAATAGACATACTATAGACTACCGTATCACAGCATTAGATATTGTGACAATTATTGTCATGTCACATTGGACTTTGACAGTAATCCTATTTTGACATTTTGACAATCATTAACCAAGATATATGACAGTGGATTTGCCCTGAGCTTGATAGTAACTTAATTCAATAAGGTAATAACTATGGTACCGGACATACCTTGCCTGTGGGCATACTGTACTTTGACAGGGAACATAACATAACTCTTAAAGAGGACTTTTTGAAAACCAGAAAAGTGAATCTCTTTTGCCACCCTGTAGTATTGATCCTCCTGATAACCTTTGATAAGGCTAATATAATTTGACACTAAAAGTATCATTATAATTATTGCAAAACTATAGAATGTATGTATCTATAGTGATATCATCATTCAACATGACCTATGGCAACATTTTGTCCACAAAATATGTACAAATTTAAGTGTGCCCCCCCCCCCCCTCTCAACAAAGTCCTGGATCTGCCTCTGGGCAAGGTTGCCGTCAACTTCACTACATTCAACTTGTAGCTTGTAGTGAATATGTTTGATATACCTTGACAGTAAGGAATATCAAAGCGAGGTTCCTCACAGCTGGTAGCCTTATGATCCTCAGTAGTTGTTTGTAAGTTCCAAGAATATCCAGGCTCGGCTCATCCTCTGGTCTGGGCGGTAGTTCTGTCTTCATCACTCCTACGAGTGTCGTAGTTAACAGAAACACCCAACCACAGCCGTACAGAAAACCTACCAAAGAAACTGTTTTGTCATACTGCAGCAAAATTACTTTTCTTCAAATGCCCGAAAATGCCAAATAGTTGAAAACATTGGTAACAGCTCTTACTGCATACAGCAAAATGAGATGGAAGCAGCTTTGAGGGCAAACATAAAAAGCTAAACAATTTAGGCCAACACGATTTTGTACTATAGCCGGTAGCTTAAATAATGGTGCAGCAAAACAAGATATAGTTAATCAGGAGGGCTAAAATTGTATTTTCTTTCAACCCTCGTTCACTTCCTAACTAAAGCTTTTTCTTGGTCGTTAAACTTAAGCCTAGTCGAAAAGAGTCATTTTAGCCCCTGGTGGCAAAGAATACACCATTTTATCAGTTTTACCTTATGCCTATTCCATTCAAAACTTCTTTATTCTGTAACATGTAAATTGTTTACAAAGAATAGAGTCAGACCTAACCTAATTATACATATTATTAATATTTTTAAATAGATCCCACAGTTGAGTTTTCAGTTCTTAGGATAATATATACAACATACGTTACACACATCACTCCAAGAAATTATGGAACAAAATTAAATTAAATTTTTAAAAAGTAGTAAAAAAAGTAAGTGGAAAGAAGTATTGCAGTTAATTAGTAAAGATACAACCAAATAGAAAAAACAATCGACTAGTCAATCGGTTATTTTTAAAACCACCATCACTCCACCATCACCGACGTTTGACTGTTTCCAGTTATTCCAATGATTGGTTGACTGGTTCCAGTCGCCGTAGGACCGGGAGTATGAAGTGATTAGTTTCAATCATATCTGGGAGAACAACCGACTGTTTTCCAACAATCGATTGAATCGGTTGTTTTCAATCAGTTGTTCCCCATCACTAAGTTAAATGAAAGTATTCAATGATCAAGTTTAAAGTGGCTGCAAATACATTCTACGCTTACAATTTTAAGTGTTGGGAGAAAACAGAAGAGGAACTTACTGGGCAGAGTGACAATGCCTTCAAACTGAGGTACTGTACGCAGGTAGCTGTTACAGAATGTCGCAGACTCTAGGGCTGTAAAGACGACATAACCTATGAAGTAGCCAGCTGTCTGTCCCACTGAGTTAGCTGTTGAAGCATACCCAACGTTCTGCCTGTGTCAACATACTCTTATTAGTTTGGGCAGAACACATTTATTCTTGAACTTAAAATACAGGGTACAGCCTAACATTTTTGGTAACTTTAGAATTTCTCAAAGCCTACAGTTTAACTTCTCAGAAGCCTATATTAAAATTGTCAAAAAATGTTTCAAAATTTTCATTGTAACTGACTTTGAAAACTAAGAAAATGAACTTCACCAAATCTAAATCATTCTATTTTAAATTAGCTGACCATGTGTGACTGTAGCTAAAGAACAACGGGTGGATTCAATGAGCAACTTTATCTAGAGCAGCTATTGAATTCTAACTTTCAGCAATATGACTGGAACAAAACAAACAGTGAGTGTTAGTTTGGTTAAGGGAGGTAGGGAAAGAACTGCAGCCCTTATATCGATGTCTACTCTTCGGTTCCAGCAAGTTAACTCCCTAATTGCCCAAGCAGCCACTGGTTGTTTACAAGCAGGTTTCAAGATTTTTACTGTACCTAGTTTAATATTCATATAGTGTAACATCCATATGGTTTGCTTGCTCATTAGGTATCATTCTAAGTAGCACAGCAACTACTTACTATCTTACTTTTGCTTTAACTATTTGAATTATTTTTGTAAGAAATTAAAGGTTCAAAGGTATTTACAAATTATGTAACCCAAATAATGGTTTTTAGCGTGATTGGTGTATAGGTACTTATGTAGCCTACAATAATAGGCCTAACATATTTTTTCAGGAAAACGGTTAACTTTCTGACATATTGTTAGAAATGTAGGCAGTTACTATTATTTAAAAGTAAATTTAATTAACATTTTTTTGACAATTATGTAAAATGTATAAAATCTCATATAAATTATACTTTTGTAACCCTTCTCTTACAAATTACTAAAATCAAAACGATCAAATAAAAAATTCAGTACTGACTTCTTAAGCATGGTGATGGCCCAACCATCGACTGCTATGTCCTGTGTAGCACCCAGGAAATTGAGAATGAAGAACATGATAGTCAACAGGACGATGTGTGGCCCATTTGGGTCTGTGATCCAGTAGTTGACATGGTAAGAGAGCAGCAGCATGAACAATCCTAGCAGGTACTGAGAACATTGTGAAAGGATATAGACTATCATTATAACAAGGTCATGGATCTTATTAGATAGCAGCTAGAATGTGATGTCCTCATAAATATGTAAATACCCCCGCCGCAGCAAACCTGCAGACTAAGCGAATTTCCATTTGCCTGATTTTATTTTCAATTAAATCTAATTTGATAACATAAGGTTAAACGAGTACCTACCTAGGTTTGCTGCTACAGGGAGGCTAATGAAGTGTGTTTTTTAATAAAAAGTTAATAGCTTAGTATAAAATAAATAAATTTGCCAAGTTTGAGCAAAATATATCTATAAACAAGCAAACAGCAACATTTTACAATATTCTCCATAAGAATAACGAATATTGTATTAGCAAATTTTTTGTAGAATTTTCTCTGTACCTAACTAATAATCACACAAAAACTCTTCAATATACTAAATTATTTGACTTTTTAATCTCTTTATAATGGTCTAGAGATAAATTGGGAAATTTTGTGCTTTGATGGTCAAAAATGAGGAAAACCAATTTCTACCCCATAAACAGTAGTGTAGCCAAGGGGGGTTTTGGGGGTCCAACCCCCCCCCCCCATTGACAAAAGGAATTTGCCCATAAAAAAACCATAAAAACTCTTAATATTGTATAAATGGACATATTGTGATGATTAATTTGCTTTTCACAATTAAAAGACAATAATTACATTAATATTGCGCAATTATAATAAGTTGTCATCAACTCTTGGTTCAGTAATAAAAACTGTAACATTTAAAATCATAGCTAACTCAAAGTTTTACTCAAACAAAAGAATTTCCAAACACTGTACTGTACAGAAATGAATACTTTTAATACTTTAATACTTTTCAATGAAATGGCGACCATACAAAGTAGGTATTTTAAGCCAAGTATGAATGGAGATTGCGTAAAGAACAGAAAAATAGACAGTCTAGTAAGGCTTACTGCGAGTCATAGGCTACTGCTACGTGCAGTTTTAGTACAGAATAAGTGTGATCTGTGACATAGCGCACAGCAGACAGACAGATGTGTAAAGACCAGACGACTGTCAGTGTCAGTGCAAGCGCAGAGCTTAATTGACCTTGAAGCTATCAGCCAATTCTTTACTTCCATTTTATTTTTGTCAAATAAACTATGATGTTTCAAAAACAATAATGTGAGAACCTACTGCATATAAATAATAATGGTAAAAAACTAGTTAAATTAAATATACAATGTATTTCAACACATTAGACTAAAGAAACACAAAATATAAAATGTTCTTGGTATTGGATAATGAATGAGGTTATGTAACATAATTTTAGAAGCATTTATATTGACCACTCTGGTTAATCAAGGTTCTTAATAGACAATAGATAACGTACCTACTAAAAAAAATGGAACTCACTGCTTTAAAGTACAGTATAAAGTATTATTTAGCTTATTTTGTTCTCAAGTGGAACTGTGCAAATGAGGAATATTAACAAATCAAATGTACTAGAGGGTATACATAGCAAATCAACTACCGTACTGTGCTTACATTGTTAGATCAAATCTTACACTTGTTTTTTACGGCCATTAGTTATTTTTTAAATGGCCCTAAACAAACCTTATTATTTCTTTTCTAAGGTTATGGCTGTGAGCCCCCCCCCCCCCCCTTGACATAATCCTGGCTACGCTACTGCCCATAAAGACTCCCATAAAACCCCGTTCCCATCGTCCGATCATGCTGGTTCACATACTCATTCAAGTTTAACCCGCCTCACACCTTCAAACCAAATTTCATCAAAATTGAACAAAAATCACTAGTTATCGTGTTCACGGACACACACACACATAATATATAGCCTACATATATAAAAGTTTGAACGAATAGTGTTTTTGGCCTCTGGGGACATCAAAATGAAAAAAGTTAATCGGTCACGGGCTCAAGTTTTACCATGAGAACTGCTACGGTAATAGCAACTTCCCTATAGGGAAATTCGCTAAATATGTTTATAGCTTAAAAAAAGTTGTAACTACATAAGGGTCAGAGTGGCTCCACAGAGGATTTAGGCAACATCCAATGATTAAACACATTTTACATATTTACTAGGTACATATTTTTAGGACACTGTTCAGTGTCTGGCGGTTTAGGGCCTGATTCAAATAATTATTGAGTGACAGATTTGTTCTGAAAGTTTTAAATTACCTGCACTGGTATTAGCCATGTTTTACGCCGTCCAAATCGTTCTGAGAACAAGGCGTCTACAATAGGAGCCCACAACAGCTTTATACTGAACGGCCAGGTAACCAAGCTGAACATTGCCTGCAAATATAACACAAAACGTTAACCTAATATATAATAGCCTATAGTCCTACTAAATGAAATCTACGGTCTACAGACAATGGAAAATCCATATAAAACTAGGTGGGTGGGGTCTACTTTGGGAGGGTTGAATATAATTACTGATCATACAGCTGATTGATTCTTATACTGAATCTGAAATGTTATACCTACCCTAATACGTAACATAGGTTAGGTAAGCCTACTTGACTACATCATAAACCAAAGCTTAACTACAAAGTGTTGTTGTAGTACAAAATTTATTATGAGTTGTATGCTCCAAAAATAAACTGTGGAACTATTGGTAGGCTATTAAACTAACTAAACTATTCAAAACTCTAGAAGTTCCAAGCACAAAAATAATTCTATTGTTAGGTAACCCTTTTGTAGTAGCCTATTCTTTTAAACAAATTTCTATGAGATGTTCTTGGACTAACTTGTGCAATAACTCTTATATAATTCTCTTTTGTATTTTAAATATTTTTTTACTATCTGTGGCATTTCCCCAGAACTCAATACCATAGACAATTGAGTATTTTTTCCAGTTACAACTAATGAGTCACCTGAATCTCAATACCAGTACTGAAAGGCAACAAAACATAGCGATAAGAATGTTTTCTTAGCTTCAAATAGGTATGACTCTCATCACTTTATGTCAATTATCAACATATTTATTGGTGATTTATAAACCGCCAGTTCAGACGGGAAAAATGAATGTTTCTTATTTTAAAATAAAACTAAATCTTTAGATGAAGAATTCCATTTTGTTACGAATTGAATTTAATAGACTTTGGTTACATTTAACCCCTATTTAAAAGACTTTGGTTTAATTAACTAATGTACTGTATGGAACCAACATATGATCATATGTTTGATTTTGATTATTCTGATTTGTAAACAGAGAGTTGGTGATGTTAAAAATTCTTAAGAATACAGTTTCTTTTAGTAAGTGAATAAAAGAGGTTTTTATTTTAATTACTCGTTAGAACCTGAAGGGAATATTTAATATTTTTAAGGAATTTCCCCTAAGTTGTAATATATGGCGACCGTGACAGGACGTGATAACGAGTAAATTTGACCCTGTTTTATTGAACACTGATTACTGAAACAGTGAATTGGAAAACATGGCTGAACTAACAAAACTAAAGAAATCAAGATCGGCTATTCGAAGGACATTTACTGTGACAGTTAAAAAACTTGAAGATATTTTAAAGGAAGAAATAGTTGATTTTTTACAAGTATCAGCACAGCTTGAAGTAATAAATACTCACTTTTGCACTCTCAATGACCTAAATTCATCAATATATGATCAATTATTAGAAGGTGATGCGAGAGATGAAGACATTGATGAAGAACTTCAAGGGCAAAATGAATATATTGTACAATATCATCTTATTTCTAAGAAAGTGGAACATCTAAAAATTAATGAAATGAATTCACATCAAGATGAAAGGAGTGAAATAACGCAAAAAGGCTCAGGATCGGGTAAAGCAGGACGCTCATACAAGCTACCTTATTTGAAACTAAAAGAGTTTAATGGAGAACTAGGCGAGTGGCTCCCCTTTTGGTCTCAATTTAAGAAGATCGACGAAGATCAGAATGTAGACCCAGCAGATAAGATCCAGTATCTTATAATGGCAACTGCGGTTGGATCGCCTGCCCGTGACTTGGTTGAAAGCTACCCTGCGACGCCTGAAATGTACAACGAAGTTGTTGAAGCTCTGAAGAGTCGATTCGGAAGAGACGATCTCTTGAAAGAGTATTACATGAGGCAAATGTTGGCTCTAACGATACAGAACGTCACAAGTAAAGAAAAACCAACTTTTTCGGTTCTTTACGACAAGATCCAGTCACACTTAAGGAATCTTAATGCACTGGGAGTGACTTCAGAGTATTGTGCCTCACTGTTATTTCCAATGGTAACATCAAGTCTGCCCGTAAACGTCCTCAAACTTTGGCAGCGAACAATGAACCATAACTATAACAATCATGAAAGTTCATCTAAAGAAGTTCTGGAGAATCTGTTGACGTTCCTTAAAAACGAGGTAGAGGGAGAACAAAAAGTATCTATGGCATTGGAAGGGTTTGGAATTGCAAGTACCAAACACAATGTAAAACATCCTTCAAGTTCCTCTGAAGATTTGTGGGGATCTTCTATCAAAACAAATAAAGGTTTTGAGAAAGAAAACAATCGGAAGCCTTTAGAGAAACAGCCTTCGGCGGCGGCATTTGTATCGACTACAGAAGGTACTTATTCATTGACTTGTGTGTTTTGTGATAAAAACCACAGATCTCAAGATTGTGTGAAAGCTTTGGATATGACTCTTCTTGAGCGAAAAGATATTTTAAAGAAGAAAGGATCTTGTTTCAAGTGTTTAAAAGGGCGACACATGAGTAATTCCTGTAAAGCTATGGTAAAGTGTGCAGCTTGTTTAAGAAAACACTATCCGATTATGTGTGAAGATCTACAAAAGAAAACTACCCTTTCCTTAAATGAAACTGAAAAATCTGATGAACAGAAAACTATTTCTGAGGATAGTACAAGTCAGGCATTAGTGTCGAGTACTAGTAAATCAACAGTGGTTTACCTAAGCACGCTTCTTGTGAAAATCGTCGTGGGAACCCAAGACCACACAGTTCGTGCGTTGATTGACTCTGGAAGCCAAAAAAGTTATATTTTGAAATCTTGTGCGACTGATTTAAAACTGAAGAGAATAGGTAAAACTGTAACGAGTCAAGAGTTGTTTGGGGGACAGAAAACAAATTTAAGGTCTCATGGAGTTTATTCAGTACCGTAAAACTTCAATCCACATCTGATGGTTTTAATGAGGATTTCAAAGTTTTGGACACACCTTGTATCTGCGGATTCATACCTAAAGTGTCAGACGTCAGAATATATGAAAATCTCAAATCAAAAGGTGTTATTTTGTCGGACTTTTGTGAATCCTCAGAAGAAGTAAGTGATATACAGTTGCTTCTTGGAGCTGACAGTTGGCCTAAATTGATTACATCGGAGTATGTAAAAGTAGGTAATGATTTGGCTGCTGTGAAAACAAAACTAGGATGGACACTAGTTGGTGAATCTGAATCAGACAGTGAAACTAGAATGACTTCTTCGATGTTATTGACTCTTACAAATCAAGTTAATCTCTCCCACTTTTGGGAACCTGAACTTTTAGGAATTAAGGACCCTGGTACGAAAAAACTTCAATGTGAAAATGATACTGAAAGTTAGTTAGTAAAGAAATGCAATAGAAATGATAATAAGCCACATGATAAGAGTAAAATATACGTAAGTGCGAACTACGGTGTCGTACTGAACCACACCTTGACCAAATAATTGGCTAAGAATGATGTTGTCGTATCTTTCAAAACTAACAATAAACTGTCTACCATCGTCAAAGAACGACAACCGTCTAGAACTAATACAATGGACAAAACAGGAATTTACAAACTAAAATGTGACGATTGTCCCAATTTTTACATAGGCCAAACATCAAGATCTTTTTCCATCAGGTTTAAGGAACATATGCCAAAGAAAAATTCCAAATCAGCGTATGCAAACCACTTAATTTCATCCAACCATAATTACACAAATATCGACAATAATTTAGAAATAGTACAACTCTGCAATAAAGGACGATACATGGATACAGTTGAGGAGTTTGAAATCTACAAGGCGTCAAAAGAACAACCACAGAATATATTAAATGAACAATTATCATTCGAATCAAACATCATCTACAACACCGCTATTCATATACACAATAAACAGAAAACAAAGGAACGAGATAAGGATAACAGTGGAGTAGGAGTAGGGGTCAACGCCAACGGCACGTGACAGTCGCGACTCACCCTCTACCGGCGCCGTATCACGTGTGTTGTTACCGTCGTCTGGTCGACCAATATTAAATGTTTCGTGTTTCCGTGTGTTATGTGTTTTGTCCTCTATTTATTATTAAACTTTTGACGAACTCCACTGCGAGGAATATGAAGACTACTTGACATTCTTCTGACCTGATGATGTGCTCCATTCGTAGCATGAAACAGCTGTAGTCTACTAACTACAAAGGATCGTTTTGACAGTAACAAGGTAATTTAAACCACTATATAGTGAAAATGATAGTCAAGTAGCTGAGTTTTTTGAAAATACTGTCCAACAAGAAGATTCTGGGAGATATGTTGTCAAACTTTCTTGGAGTGAAGGACAGCCTGTACTAGAGGACAATAAATATGTTGCAGAAAAGAGACTTTGTTCAACTACCAAAAAACTGAAACTTATTGGTAAGTACGATGATTACGATTCTGTGTTTGATTCATGGCTTAAGCTTGAATCGATCGAGAAAGTTCCCGAAGATGAGACAAATAATATTAATGTACACCTAGAGATCCTGACTTCTCTGAGTATGTCTGCCCTAATACAAGCGCTCAGACGCTTCATATCAAGAAGAGGAAGACCGAAGATTATACAATCAGATAATGGGACGAATTTTGTTGGACTTGACAACGCATTCAATGATTTAGATTGGATCAAAATTGAAGAGGAATGCAGTATTCAACGGATAAAGTGGAAATTTAATGCTCCCGCTGCACCATGGTGGGGAGGATATTGGGAGCGGTTAATACGTGTGTTAAAGGACCTTCTTAAGAAAAACTTAGGACGAGCCTCATTGTGTTACGAAGAACTGATGACGTTAGTATGTGAGTGTGAGTGTCTAATGAACAGCCGTCCCTTGACTTATGTCAGTGACAACCCAAATGAACTTACTCCTCTCAGCCCTTCCTTATTCCTTTCAAGTCTTCCGAGCTCTGAAATGACTGACCTTGATGAGATTGAAAATATGAGTATTCAGAAAAGACTACGTTTTATACAAAAGCTTCGAAACGGACTTCAGATCCGATTCCATAAAGAATATCTGTGATTTTTGCGCACCACAAAGAAACATCAACAACATAAAACATTATCAGTAGGTGATGTAGTTTTGGTAGGAAATGAAAAGAAAAGATTGGAATGGATCCTGGCACGAGTATCTGAGTTGATTCCTGGACGTGATGGAATTGTTCGTCTTGTCAAGTTAAGAACGGCCAAAGGTGAAATTTTGCGACCTGTACAGAGGTTATATCCCTTAGAAATTGGATCTCAAGACAACTTTGACGGGAACTTCGAACCTGAGATGACACCATCAAATACTACAATTGACACTGGTGGATTAACTGTGAACCAGGAAGAAACTATCTCGTTAACACAAGGTCCAACAAAGAACAACGTAAAAACTCGAAGTGGCCGAGAAATAAAACCAAGGAAAATCCTAGACATGTGAATGCTTTTATACGAATTGTGACGTTTACTAATTTTATGAATTAAGTGTTTGTAAATTGTTGTCGAACTACTCAATTTACAAAGGTGGGGAGTGTGTTACGAATTGAATTTAATAGACTTTGGTTATATTTAACCCCTATTTAAAAGACTTTGGTTTAATTAACTAATGTACTGTATGGAACCAACATATGATCATATGTTTGATTTTGATTATTCTGATTTGTAAACAGAGAGTTGGTGATGTTAAAAATTCTTAAGAATACAGTTTCTTTTAGTAAGTGAATAAAAGAGGTTTTTATTTTAATTACTCGTTAGAACCTGAAGGGAATATTTAATATTTTTAAGGAATTTCCCCTAAGTTGTAATACATTTAATGAACTACAAGTTAGTTTGTTTACAAGTAAGTTTGTTTACAAAAACAATATAATAATAATTAACAACCATATGACTTTATAGTCATATGTCAATGAACAACTGACAAAACAGCTGATTTCAAAAAAATATTTTTCAGATTTCCTAACGTTGTATGACAAAGTTCTCTAAACGAAAATAAAGGACAACTCCAGCTCTTTCCAATGATACCAACCACTTCCTGTTTAGGCAAAAATTAAGACTTGTAGATTTTTTTCAAGATACCGTGTTTTACAAGATTTTGTCGACCGCGGCTCGAAAATGTTACGTGCACTAAATATTTTTCAAATTATAATAGCAGTTATATTGATCTGATAGTGCTACGAGGTTCGTTTACATATGAAAATAAAAGTTCAGAATATCCTCTTTCCAACAGTATGAAAATTATTACGCTTCTGGATAATTTTCATTGCATAGTAAGCGTTAAAAATAAACTGTGGTTGGGCACCGAGCGCACACATCAAACCGCCATCAAAACGGCGGAAGGCAGTCCTAGGGTCAAATGGAGGTTCAGGTAATGTTAGGCCTACTGTACTGAACACGTACCTGATTTTTGTAGTCAACGCCCTTATTTTGCAGTAGCATTGGCATGGCGGCCGCCAGTCCAAGTGGAACTCCCTGTAGTGTATAGAGGAAAAGGAGTAGAGCAATGTTGCCTCTATCACCATGAAGTGGGTTGGCTCCTGGCCTCACTGTTACTCGCTCTTCCTCACTATCCCTTTCTATTAGAGGTTGGAACATCTCCTCTGGCATTCTACGTCTTGTGCTCTCCATTAATGACGGCTCTAAAATTAACATATTTTGAGATTATTTACCTTATTGAGTGTGGCCTACTAAATCTGCTAAGCAATTGGGAAGTTAACTTACAGAAGGAACAAAAGTAGGCTGAGACAAAACTGACTTGAGTTATGTAGACTATAATAAGTTAATTTGGCATACCGGTAATTTAAATACAGCAATAGGCCTATATAAACTACTGGATATGCATAGCTACAGATAGGCATAGCCTACTTAGTTATCGCATTCACCCTAAGTAACTTACTGTAGGCCTAGTTCTAAAAATCATAATTTGTGCACATTTAAAACTACTTAGGCTTAAGATATTCACTAATAAAATAGCAAAAGACACACAGAACATAAAGAAAGGGAGGATTTATGGTTGGGTTAAAACATCTAATAATACAGGATCTTAACATTCCTCTGGTTTATCTATACACTTGCTAGGCCTACCTACAGACTGTCTAAGGTGTTACCTGTACTCTTGTTCCCGTTTTCCATGACTAGACAAGTTTATGAATATTAAAAGTAAAATTTGGGATAAATAATTAATGAATATTTTAAAAAAATAATAAGATAAATTATATCTTACACTTTTAAATAAGGTTAAAGACAAACAGAACAATAATGTTGTACTCCAGACGACTTAACCTCAAAGGTTCAGTTGAACACTACAAAAGGAGGAAAACCGAGTCAATTCTAAAACATTTGGCTGTTACGAAGATCCTAATACTTATTCAAAACTAAGAGGACGAAATGCCAATAAATTAATAGGAAATCATGAAACCCGGCGAATGATTATTATTTGTGTACATAGCTATATCGCAGACGAACACAGGACAGGAGAACACGAAACGAACAGTGAAGAGAAGCAGAAGAGCAGAAGACCAACAACGAACAGCGCAATCGCCCAATCCAATCCAATCTTGGACTTGGAACTAACTGTGATGATCTAAATCAGCTGATTTGGTTGGCTGCTGAAACTTACGTGGCTTGCTAACAGGTACACCATCATAACCACACAATTAATTACAATGTAAGGTAGCCAACATGAAAGAAAACTGATAATTGATTGTGATACTTTTTTTGTTTCGTATGTAAAATAAATGTAAGATTAATTCATCAATTATCAATCGTTGAGATGAGGCGCCAGTAACCAAGCTTTCATATTCTTAAAAAATACACAAATACCATTAGCTGCCTCCAAAAAAACAGCTGGTACAACCCTACTTAGGATATTGCTACTTCAAGGCCGCGGCCTGGAGTTTAAAGGTATCCGTGGAAGGGACGCAACCACGCAAACTAGGTGTTTTTTCCTTCCACCATGACCTAGGTGCGTATTTTAACCCACATGAGTGAAGAGTGAAAGAAGAATCAGTGTATTGACCAAGATTGGTAAAACTAAACAATTTTTTTAGATTAAGTTAAAACTGATTGCTGTAGTAATGTTATTATTTAATAACTAGGCACGTATGAAAGTCAACCCATTAGACTTACAGCTTGGGTCAAAATATTATACAACTACCTACCTATTTAAATTATTTTTTCTACTAACTAAAACTGATTTACTTATTTGTTTGTTAGTATATTTTTACTTAAATCAACCAGCAAGACTTTACTGAAGATTCGCTCCTATACCACTAGCATGATAACTTATTTCAGTTTAGTTCTGACTATTTAGGTATCTAACCAATCCCCCTGATGATCATCATACACTTGACCATCATCACCTAAGGATTGAATCTTCAATGAATATAGTTTTTATCTACAGGTTCAGTCAAATCAATAGAAAATGTAACATAAAAACATTACACACTGTGGTCATGTTGTAAATAAAATACCCACCCAGCAAACCTGCAGACTAAGCGAGTTGCCTTTTACCTGGATAGATTTCTGCTCAAATATCCCCCTTAAAATAGTCTGATTTAGCCTAACTTATTTTCTATTTAAATAACATTAATTGTAATGGGTACTTGTGGTGCTATAGCTACAGGGGGAATATACATATTTGTCCATAACGCGATAGCTGAGTAATTTTTGTACGTTTTTGATGAACTTTGGCTTGAAGTTGTAGGGCGGGATAAAATTTAATGAGTTCGCGAACCAGCATGATCAGACCATGGGAACGGGGTTTTATGGAGTAAAAATTGGTTTATCTCATTTTTGACCCTCAAAACAAAAAAATCTCAATTTCACTTAGAATCATTTTTTAGAGCAAATAATTATATATATTTTAGTATAAATTAGTATATAGGCCTACTAAAACAAATAATTTAGTATATTGAAGTTTTTTGTACGTTTATTGGTTAAGGAAAAAAATTCAAAAACAGTAAATTTTAAATTACCATGCTATTCTTATATGGAGAATACGTAAATTGTTGTAGTTGGCTTGTTTACTGATATATTTTGATCTAACTTGGCAAATTAACTTATTTGATACTAAGCTGTTGATATTCTACTAAAAATCCCACTTTTTTATCCTCCCTGCAGCAGCAAACCTAGGTGCTTGTAAACATAATGTTACAGTAGAACCTCGATAACAAGACCCTTGATTACAAGTCGCCCTTGATTACAAGTCACCCTTGATTACAAGGGTCACTTTCAAATCCACTTGATATTATTTATTTTACCCCTAATAACATGTTATTGCAAACCTCGATAAGAAGTCAACCTTGATAACAAGTCTTATTTTATAATCCCTATGAGATCAAGGTTCTACTGTATTTAAATAGATTTAATTGAAAATCAAATCGGGCAAATGGAAATTCGCTTAGTCTGCAGGTTTGCTGCGGCGGGGGTATTTTAATTTCTATTTAAACTATTTTGAAGAGCTTAAAATTACTTTCATACTTTAATAATTATTTTAATTAAAATGGTGACCATTTTTAAAGAGCTGAAAAAATAATTTAATATATTGAAGTATTTTTGTACAGTTATTTACCGGTTCGGACAAAATTCAAACAAATTTAAATTTAAATTCACTTGTTATGCAGCATTTATTGAATGGAGATTTAAGTAAACTGCTATAAGTTTTGCTTGCTTATGGATAGTGGATCAAACTTGGCATAATCTTATTTATTTTATAGGTACTAAACTATTAATATTTTACTAAATAATGTACACTTTATTACCCTCCCTGTAGCAGCAAACCTAGGTTCTCGTAAGCTAATGTTATTTAAATAGATTTTTGTGAAAATCAAAACAGGCAAATGGAAATTTGCTTGCAGGTTTGCTGCTGCTGCGAGGGTATTTGTGAGTGATCTTTGTAGTCAAAAGTTTAATACAAAATACTATAAGTATTACAAAATATTGTAATAGGTATATATTTTATTTTTGTAATTCATGTTATGATTCTGACTTTTTAAATATTTTTTGTAAATTTTGTAGTATTTTACATGGTATAGGCCTACTTATGGTCTAAGTAAATAATGTGCCTTATCAGATATTCATTTCATGAGTTGAACAGTCAGAGAAACCAGCAGACCAAGATAAGGACTTGATACATCTTACCTTTGAACAGGAAGGATTTGACATGAAAGTTGGACATTTCTGCTCTTTCCAGCAGTGAGTAAAATCCAGCAAGGTAAGCAACATCTTACAACTTTCAGCAGGCTTAAGCTTTTGATTTTCATTTTTCACATTATCGTTAATAATTTTTACAGAACTGCATAACTATTGTCATTACATTGTAAATAAGCCAAAACTATTTAATTAAATATGAATTGTTTATGGGATTATTTAATTCTACATGTGTGGGAATTGACCCTCCAAACCTTTATACTTTTCTTATAGATAATTAGAGTATTTACAGTAATTTTGGACTCTAGGTATGCAGTAGTAATCCTAGAACGTATATGTTTACTTACTGTGAGAGATTTTTAGAGAAGTTTTTACCTCCATTCAGCATTAGCTATAAATGTAACAGAACATACACAAAATCATAGAGATGCTAATTATACCGCACGGAACAAATTATGCGAATTGAAGTGTTTAAGTTTTATTTTTGGCGATTAGAGAAAATTAACATGATATATTAAAAAATAAATTTAAAAAATTGTTCTGCCTTATTTTTTTATATTAATATGTATTTTGGTACCGGTGCCTAAGTAATTTAACAAGTAAGTTAGGGAACATTTCAAAAAACTGTTTGTTGCTATTTAGATTCAACCCTGATTTTAGGAATCCCCTTTACAGTATCAGTAAAAATATAATTTAAAAGACTATTAATACTAGCCTAGAATCAATCATTTGTGGCTTGAACTTCAGCCAAATTCAAGTTTAAAGACTTTCAACCACTCAGTCCAATGGGATTTAGAGGATTTTTTAAAAAAATTACCAGGCAGGGATGATTATAAGAGACAGTACGGTATTATTAATATTACTAAGCCATGCGTGTACTCCTTCTCAATACTCAAATATAAAGTAACAACATAATTAACAATTAATTATTACAATTTGCTAATCTACAAAAATATATTGTTTAAGCAGGCAATGAGCAAAGAAGAAAATAAAAATGCCAGTGTTATCAATCTGGACAAACAAGATGATGATGATTTTGACCTCCCAATGCGCTCTCCAAAATCTGGGTAAGTGTTAAATTACTGAAACACCTATTCAGTTTTATAATTATAGTTTTAATACATGTTTTGTGACTGGTTTTAAAATTGTTTTAAGCTTGTATCAAAATTTTTTAAGAATTGTATCAAAACAGTGTTAATACAAGTTTTGTGACTGGTTTTAAAACTGTTTTAAACTTGTATCAAAACTGTTCAAAACTTGTATCAAAACAGTTTTAATGTCCACCCAATGGGCTTCGTAGAAATGTTGACGAAGCCCATCGGGTGGATCTTATAATAAGCATTTGGTCTACCTAAACTTCCGACTGAAGATGGACCTACGGGTTTGAAATTAATATCGGACAACCATAATAAGGATTGCTATAAGGTAAGAGTTTACAATATCTATTTGATTATATAAGCAATCCAGAGGCTGAAATGATTAATAACTTATCTTAAACCTCTCTTGAACCAATATAAGTTGCACCTTAAGGTTATTTATTTTCTTAGTTGATAGTTTATAAACCTTATAAAGGATATTTTTGGGGGAATAAACCAGATAAAAAAACCAGGTAAAAATTATGGCATGACTACAACCATCATCCTCCATTACATCTTAAAAGTTGTATCCATTAAATAACATTATTGGTCTGGATCAATAAAAAATAGTGTTTTCATAAGATTTCCATATTGATACTTTATTTGTATAGATTGACCATGTGGGTCCTACAACTTCTAAATAATATGTGGCCATTTTGCTTCCAAGCAGTGTTTCCACACAACCGAAAAAATAATCCCGCTTACTGGATCGAGAAATCCCGTTTAATCCCGCATGATTTTTTCCTGTTTATCCCGAGTGTTGTATTTGACATATCATGTTAAAATAGCTGTTTAAACCTTGCTATTATATTTTGCTGCAGTAGTTTAATCAATTGGAGTTAGTTTCCCTCTAAAATTAAACATAAAAAATTAAAAAAAAGACGTCATAGCTGAAAATTCTGTTTTATCCCGCATCCCGTTTTAATCCCGCTTGTGGTATAAAAATCCTGTTTTGGGGATAATTATCCTGCGTATGGAAACATAGCTTCCAAGTGTTTTATTTGATCTTACATTTTATTTTTCAATACAATTTTTTTTTACGCCTTCCATTTTTTACTTTACAAAATATTAAAAGCCTAGTGCAAACATGGCTTATGAGTGGAAATCAAAACTTTTATCTCCTAATATCAGCTTCTAATATCTATGCCGTTTGTAGTGAATTTAATTTTCCATTCTATCATATTATCCCGGCACGCACAATTGTATAGATTTTATAAGATTTTACTCAAATAAGAAAAAAAATTACATTTTTTTTTCTAGCGACATGCAGGGTGCCTACGAAGTGTGGAACACTCTTCCAGAGGTGGTTAAGAAGGATCCGTCGTTTGAGCCATTTCGGCGCTACGGACATCGACTGGATCAAGAGGTTCACATCTCCCCCAGCGGGAGCACGGGTGCCAAGAGGAAAAAGTAACTTGAAACTATGGTTAATCAGTTTTATTTCCTCTTACGGCCACACAATACAAATGTTAAAAGCTATACGATAACCAAATATCTACAATTGTTTCCAGTTTCATAGTTCTTTTTAATAAGTAAAGTACAGTAAAATAGGCATTAGTGCATAGGGCAGAGAAATTCACCCTATAGTTTATACCACTGAGCTAGGAATACTGAAGGTAGCACTGACACTTCAACACTGCTATATAAAAACTAGACACTGCGGCAATTTTGTTGGATTGGTACCAACTAGGAAAATCAGCTCATTGGCTCTGGCCAATCCCACAATCCCCTAGTTCTAAATGTACTAAAGACATGTAAATGTACATATGATTGTCAATGTCTCACAATTCTCTCATTCATGGCTACCTTCAAGTGTATCTCTAGCTAAGTGTTTTTTTCAACCCTAACATCTGATTTTTATTTACAAAAGAAAAATAACAATAAATTGATGACATAAATGCACAAAAAACATTTCTGCATATAAACAGCTGATATATCTTCAACAGATCCTAAAAAATAAGAAATCTACTAGCATTGAATTTGAAGTAGGTACAAGTAGTGTAGACTTTTCATCCTATGATAAAATCTGAAACCAGTTATTATGTGCATTTCATGTTGGTTATTTAGGTTGATTTTATGGTTTGTGATATACTGTTCGGTAACTATGTTATACTCCTGAAAAATGAAAAATGGATAATCTTTAATGGGCAAAACATTTAATCATTTGTTTCAGAGCCCTGACTTTTGATGTGGATGTAGGAGGTTTGTCTCCTAAGGTACAGTCCTCAGGCGGTTCCTCAGTGCCAACTGTCATGATAATCAACCCCTCGGACGAGAGTCTCCATCTGAGCTTGGATGAGGATGAGATTGCCAATTGTCCTGCTGGGCCGTCGTAAGTATAAGCATCGACTTATTGCAATGTTTCAGCTCTGACGTCCGATTTTCCGGACACAAGGCTAACACTGAAACTTACACTCACAGCTATCTAACTATGTACATTGCAAATGAAAAAGTAAAGGCTCAAAAATTGATAACTGACTTTGTTGTTAGGTGCTTAGAATGTGCTTGATAATGCTTGATAGTCCGATTTTTATGAAATTTGGTATGTAGGTGGATGAAATCCATGGTATATCCAGGAATTTATTTTTATTTTTGTTGAAATTTTGATTTTAAATGGGGATTTCCCCATAAAAACTCACAAAATTGAAAAAAATCAAATATTCTAAAAAATATAAATTCTGAACCAAATGGTAGAACACCCATTCCTGTAAAGATTATGGTTCAAAGGCTATTGTAACTTATCTTCTTTCCCATTAACCCTTTCAGTGCTTTGAAACGGTATATTGTTGTTTTAAAAAATCTCTAAGGGATATAGAGAGGAAGGTTATTTTAACAAAAAGTAGCAAAACGGCCATTGGTGACCTGCATGTTCATAGGATACACTAACAACCACATAGCTAAAAGATTCGCCAAATCCGATGATTTCGAGGTGTATGTCTAAAGCAAGGATTATGAACACCTCACTATTGTTGAAAATGCCTGCCTTTTGTTATTTGTAATAGTCATACTACAGATTATGTGAATGTTTATTTACTATCAGCTGTCTGTTTTGTTGTCCAATATTGTTCCTTGTCATGAAAACATTAATGAGAAATACATTTGATTATTTTATAGTTTAAATTTGTTTTTCGTCGTAGTTTTGCTTATTATCCCTACACACCTCCACTTGGGAGAATAATTCAAGAGGTTATGGTCGCCAGCATCGTTTTAAGTACATAACAGTGTTGGGAAATTAGTCTACTACGTACACGGTAAGAACAATTTATTCTGACGTAATTTTCTGTCTCAAGAGTATTATTTCTTTGATATATCTTTCGATCGAGTTCGTCCAGCTCTACAAATGGAGTACGTGAAAGGTATAAAACCATTGAAAGGAGCAGAAGATTGGCCGACGTGGAAAGATCGAGTGTTGGACGTTCTAGAGTTGTTCGACGCGGTTGATATCGTCGAGGGAAAGAGAGAAAAGCCTACCCTCTCTGAGCCTCCGACTAAAGCGGAAAAGGAAGAACTTCAGAAATTCAACAAATCCACGACTCAGGCAAAAATAGTTATTTCTCAGTGCGTTAGTGATGATCTACATCAACGTATTTCCGGAAGATTATCAGCTAAGGAAGCGTGGGGAATTTTGATCGAGCAGTTCGATAACAAGGCAGAAGATCAGTTGTTTCGTCAGTGTTTGGATTTCTTCAGTATGGAATGGGATGATACCGAGGATGCCCCGACCGTGCTTTCAAGATTGAAGAATCAAAACCGCGAATTTGCAGCTGGCCTCAAAACGCGTAACATCCAAACAGTCGAAGATTTTCTTGAACTCCTGTTTGTGTCACACACAAGTGTTACCTACACATTTTGCCGAAGCGTTTTGAATCGTTCAAGTCTAGCTACTTACTTATGAAGGCAAACGAGAGCAAGAAACTTTAAGATGTTTCATCTGCATTGATCCTTCATGAGCGTAATGTTGCTCATACTTCAAAAGCTGGAGACATTCTTAGTGCCATAAACAGCGGTGGTCAGAAGAATAGGAAACCAAAAGGTGACATTTTGTGCAAATACTGTTCGGGGAAAGGTCATTGGATTCGCCAGTGTTCTAAATGGAAAGCTGACGGCAAGCCTGCGTATCCAGCTCGAGCTAACGGCATTAGCACTAGCTCAAAAGCGAGTGACACTGATAAGAAGAGAACGAAGGGCTCGCAAGTTAACGTGACCGACAACCGAAGTGCGCTGATTTCCTTCAGCAGTGACATGAATATCGTGACCACGAACGACCAGTGGTGGATCGACAATGGCGCTATGCGGCACATTACGTCAAATCTGAGTTGGTTCACGGAGTACAAACCTTTTCCTGCAAACTCGAACGCAACAGTAAAGGCGGCGGGAAAGGAAGTTATAAAAGCTCTTGGCAGTGGAGTCGTTGAAGTAGCAAACTATGAAAATGGAAAACTGGAAACGTTCACACTCAACGATGTCTGGTATGTTCCTGACGTTTCTCGGAACTTAGTGTCCATTCTCGCAGCTCATGATCGAAACCCTAATAGCAGGTTTGAATCAACTAATACCGAGTGTCGGTTCACTATTAACAAACAAACTGTATTCAAAGGTACTCGAAACTGTGGTGGAACTTTGTATTGTGCCTCATTTCACACAGTCCAACCGTCTGAGGTTTGCGCTAATGCAGCAGAAGACAATCGAATTCTGCAGTTATATCATGAGCGCTGGGGTCACATGGATAAACGCTACGTCCGATCGAAGCTCGAATCCGAAATGGGTATCAAAGTGCCAGCCAACTACGAGATCTGCGAACCGTGTCAGTTCGGAAAGGCACACCGTCTACCATTTGGAACACGAGAACGCCCCTCAGCCCCCGGTGAGTTGTTATCCGGTGATGTTTGCGGCCCGTTTGACCCATCCTTCGGAGATCGCCGATACTTGATCGTCATAAAAGACCACTTTTCAAGGTACCGATACTGTTTTGTCGCAAGGGAAAAATCTGCTGTGAAGGAAGCGTTGCGTGAAGTGTTGTCTAAAGCACGCACAATTGGTCATCACGTCAAAGAGTTTCTCAGCGACAACGGTGGTGAGTTTGACAACTCTGAAGTTCGTCATATTCTCAGAGAATATGGTGTTAACCAACGTCTGACAGCGCCATATACACCCGAGCAAAACGGTGCTGTAGAGAGAGAGAGAACAGAACGATCGTCGAAATGGCCCGTACCTCCAAGTATACCAATCCAAATGAGACGTTTCCTGCAGCGATCTGGGCTGAACTTGTCATCACTGCTGGCTACGTTTTGAATCGAGTGGGAAAGTCAGCAGTTGCCAACAAATCACCTTTTGAGCTCTGGTTTGGTCAAAAGCTGAGGATCAAATATCTGCGAGTGGTCAGCCCAAAGTGCTACGTCCATGTTCCTGTGCAGAAGAGGTGGAAAATGGACAAGAAAGCTGTGGTTGGTTACCTGGTTGGATACGATGGCGAAGAACGATATCGAATCTATGTTCCAGAGAGAAGAGATATCGTAGTTTCTTGCGACGTCGTTTTTCAAGAAATCGTTGGAGACTGTGACAAGAAAGTTGAGTGGCCCATCAAGATTGAGAAAACCAATGACGTCGAAGAAGATTGGCAAGAAGTTGAAGAGACTATTGACGAGCCTAGTTCTCCAGTGAAGGGTGATGATGAGCCTATACCAACTGAGGACACGTCAAGTAGCAGTGATAGTGAAGATGCAGAGTTATCCAACGATCCTGCAATCCGGCACTCGACTCGGGAAAGAAGGCAACCCGAGTGGCTAAACGATTATGTCTCGTCAAACTTTGCCGAAGTTACTCTTGTGTTGACGATGAAACGAACCCTATACCTCAACCAAGACTTCAAGTCCTGCAAGAAAATCTTGTACTCTCGGCATGACTATGCAAATAAGGGAAAGTGTTGAAAATGCCTGCCTTTTGTTATTTGTAATAGTCATACTACAGATTATGTGAATGTTTATTTACTATCAGCTGTCTGTTTTGTTGTCCAATATTGTTCCTTGTCATGAAAACATTAATGAGAAATACATTTGATTATTTTATAGTTTAAATTTGTTTTTCGTCGTAGTTTATTTGCTTAGATTATCCATAAACACCTCCACTTGGGAGAATAATTCAAGAACTATGCCCTAGTGGTTGTAGTATATCGCTACAAACACACAGGTCACCAATTATTTGCCACACATGACGGGAATCGAACCCGAGCAGACGAATGCCACTGGCCAAGTGACACACGCCCTAGCCTTCTCGGCTATCTGTGCTTGAAGACTGAGGAGTCAAAAACCGGTATTTAAGCTGACGCCACCGATTGCAAACAGATAGCGCTACAGATGGTTGTTCAATGCGTTACTATAGGTAGCAGCACTAGTTAGTCACGGACTACTAGATGATATTTTTCAGTTGAAACACAACAGTGATCATAAATGTGTTCCTGGGACTTTGCTGCAAAACATTATTTTCCCTAAAATGACTATATTACGATAACCTCGTCCAACCAAATCGAAGTTAAATTAAATATTACATTGTAAACTACATGTCTTTTGATTTTATGAGATTTTGGTTTCAAACAATGCTATCAGAACATGAATATTTGTAGGAACCCCAGGAAAATTACAACAAAAACTAAGTTTTATTTAATGTTTACTACAAATATCGGGATTTATCTTTGTTACATATTTTCTTAATGTCTTATAATTCAAAATTAGCCTAATTAATAAAATAGTGACAACATTACAGTTAAAATTCAACAACAGGTAATGGAATTGAAAGGCAAACAAAAAAGTCTTGCGAAATACGAATTATTGGCATAGCACTGAAAGGGTAAAAAAAACCCTTAAAATAATAGAAAATTGTATTTTCAAAAAAAGCCGGTTTTGATTGAAATTAGAATGTAATGGTCCTTATTCTTAACAAAATAGTGCAACTCTCCACTGCTGTAAAAATTTTGACTCGAATTTTATTATAACTTTTATTATTTCCCCATAAAAACCTATAAAAAACAGAAAAAAAGGATTCTGATTGAAATTTGTCTTTTAAGGTCTTTATAATTCTAAACAACAGAGCAATCCTGTAAAAACTATGGTTCAAAAATTAATGCAGCTTTAGTGATTTTACCTATTAAATAATACTAGTGGTCATCCAGTGGTCGAAAACTCGACCAAAAATATGTAATGTACCCGCATTGAATATTGGATACTGAAGTAGACATTCCATGGACCAGTTGTTGCCATTTTTTTTTTTAATTAAAACATGTGGTTGTGTGAACCAGTCACAGTATGTGTGTCTAAAATTATATTTTCTATGTTATTTTTTGTTAGTGACAAAGCTGATGGGTCATAACAGTTAGTTGCTATAGGTCTTAATAAATCATTCCATAACTTGGTAAAAATCATCGTGTATTCGAGAGAAATTAGTCATTTACATCAGCGCAATCTGTTGGTGGCCCACATCAACTATGATGAATTTAATTAAAACTGGCGACAACTTAAACATAGGGATGGAATGTCTAGTTGTAAGTCAAAACATTGACTATTGGATACAGAAGTTGTTGTACAGAAGTTATTCAAAGGTCAAAGTTACAGGCTTCTCTATTTTCACCCCACGCTGTAAATATAACATGTGATTGGAATTTCTTACATTTGTTTTGATTTTCTGTTTATATTTCGTTGTTATTTCGTCACCAGCATGGCAACTCATAAAGCCCATGTTAATTTTTTTAAAATTTCAAATTCTTTTTTTGTTCTTGTTTTTGAGCCTATTTTAATTTTTAAAGGGATTCTGCAGTTCTACAGGAAAATATCTTTCTAACGGTATGCGTAGATTTTCCCTGCGATGAACACGAGCTGACAAAAAAGGTTTTAAAGAAACATGCTTGCCTATTAATATATAGACTAGAGTTCGTCCAGTGGTCGAAACTCGACCAAAAATATTTTTCACCACACTATGATGTTTTTGGCTGTATTACATACGTTAATTGGTGGCTGAAAGTTACGTTTTGCTGGCCATGCCAGCTGTCGCCAATTTGGGGACCGAGCAGGTTTTTACAGGCCGGGGCCGCAAAATCAGCTGTCCGCTTACTTACTTAGAACATGAATGCGTTTTAAATACACAATCAAAATCCATACCATTGCAATATAGAATTGTGTTATTGTCACCGTTGCCTAGCAACTATTTCTTTATATTTTTGCTGATTCCTCAAATTATTTCTAAAGTTGTAGTTGTGTTGACGATCAGTGTGCATTATTATAGTGGTGAATAGTGGTAATAGGGTATAGTGTGGTGAAAAATAGCGTTCGTACCACGGACCGAAATGGTTTTGCAGCTCTCGATCGTTTAAGTTCTCGACTTCGTCTCGAACTTAAAAACTATCTCGACTATGTACTATGTAAACTATGTACAGACTTCTTTATTTTCATTCCACACTTTGAATAGAACATGTGATTGGAGTTTCTTCCATCTGTTTTGATTTTCTATTTATATTTCGTTGTTATTTCGTCACCAGCATGGCAACTCATAGTATCCATGTTAAATTTTTCAAAATTTTAAATTCATTTTTTGTGCTTATTTTTGAGCCTATTTTAATTTATAAAGGGATTCTGCACACCTACAGGAAAATAGCTTTCTAACAGTATGCGTAGATTTTCCCTACGATGCACACGAGCTGAGAAAAAAGGTTTTAAAGAAACATGCTTGCCTATTAATATATAGATAGATAGATAGATAGATAACCTATCATAGTTAGGCTACTCTCATCGCTTACCCATGCAGGTTGTTGACACGCTAATGTAGGAGAAAGTATGGGTCAGATCGCTAATGCCGTTTTTTTCTCTTGATAAAATTTGATTCATTGAAAAACTTCTTCACAGGACCAATGAAAAATTTATCGACTTTGTTTTTTTTTCAGGAGTAAAGTGGAAGAAGAAAAAGAGAGCTTTGACAAGGAAATGATGAGTTTTTCTGACTCGAACTCGTCCTGGTGGGTTCAAAGCTTGAAGATCTCTTTTCTGCTTAGCATCTGGATTATGTCTTGTGTAAGAGCGACTGTTGTCTTAAACATTTTTCAAATCTTCTCTCATATACTTATTTAGTGTATTTGTTGTATTAAGTATATGTACATACAACGTACCCTACTAGCTAGTATATACTACTGCTTGTATTCATGGCATGACCTGCTTTTGTTGACTTGTCGATATTGAACCCATTAAAAGTTTTAGGTGACAAAAATGTTGCCCTTAAGTTGGATTTTTATGAATGATTCAAACTTATAATATTTTAATCCTGAAGAGTGTGAAGTACCCGCAAAGATTAATAAAAGGACAAGTGCTGTAATCTAGACTTGGACTGAGCTATAATGTATTATTCACTGCGGTGCTGTACCGTAATTGTTTTGATCACGTATTGCCCTGAAAAGCTGGCTGATGTCCAGCAGTAAGTAGTTTTAGTCAAAGGTACAACACTGTTTATACTGTTCTAGGTCGTCTTGATGCTTGTGAAGACGTATTCAGATATCAACAACTCCCATCAGATCTCAGTTCCACCAAACTTGACTAGAAGTATCCTTATCATCAGTTGATTTATTTATTGCTTATGAATTATATTTATTGATGTAATGAGTAAACCAATGTAGAATAGTTATTTGTGCAACTAGTGAGCAAAGGGAGCAATTGACTCACTCGAGAGAAATATTTACTTAGAGAGGAATGGTTTCTCGAGTGAGGCAATTGCACTTTGCACTCAAGTTGCACATTATATTTTTCCTACAGTTACCATAAAACAAATAAATTGGTAAAGAAACGTAGCATATTTTTACACAGAAGTGAACTTTTAATATGACATTTAATGTGAAGTAACAAATAAAACGGTACAACATCTGACCAGCTGATTTACAGCCAGTGCTGCCAACGTATTTTGCGTGCATACGACCTTGTCTGCATGTTACACGCTCACTATTTCGTGCCTTCACGTTGCAAATCTGGAGTGAGACAAAGTAATTAGAGTGAGACAATGTCAACATTGTGTTATTTATATGCATTGTTTTTAAAATTATGAAGACAATTTTTTGATGTACCGTTTTGGGCTGTAACAAAATCAACTTCTCGTTGGCTTCCAAAGTTCCCATAAAAGTTACAAATTTTCCTGAATTAGCTGATTGGATAATACCCTCGTTTAATTTTATAATTAGTAATTAGTAAAGAATACAAATAAGAGAAATGAGTATTGTAATGAGTATTGTGTAATGAGTGTTGTACCTGATGAGCGAATTGGCCACTTTGCTTTCTCAAATCAGTGAGAGAACATGTACATTGTTAGGTAACTGTAGGAAAAACATATTGAATGGCTTAATAGACATTTATTTCACATTTTTTGTTTAAGTTAATTATTGTGTTAAAAAGCTTGACTCTTCCTCAAATTTATTTGATCAATCTATTATTAAATACTGGGAAACCTGTGGGGCTCCAATGAGCTAGTAAAGAAACACAAAATTGGTGCTTGGATTCAAGTAATTGTACAGCCTAAAGATTCTTAGAATTGTTTGAAAACTTGATGGGAATCTATATATTTAATTCCGTAAGCAAATGGTCCCCATGAAATATCTCTAGCTAGGAAAAAGGTAGCATGGCTGTTCATTTAAAAGCTTAAGGACCAGGAACGGTTTGAAAAATATAAGAAGTGTTAAAATTACCCCTGCTCTGCCCCACAGGCCGTCAAAGATCCAGTAATTTTCTAAAGGATGAAGTACTGCTACAGTGTTTCTATGAGCTGTTTTAAATATACCAGCTGATGTAAATATTGCATGTTTTGTTTATTATTGACTTTAGTGTTTTGTTTTTAGGTTAGAACGGTAATGCAGTGTGAAATGTATCTTGTTAGGGGAAGACGGCGACTACAAAGGAGAGTATAATTTAGGAATGGTACACAGCATAGGGAGTGGTTAAGGCCAAATAACAATGGAGGTGAAGGGCAGCAATTGCTGCTATTGGCCCCCAGATAATTTTAAATATATCTAATTGCGTCGTGAACGTTCGTGCACATTCCTGCTCTCGGTTTCAATGTTTTTATGGATAGCTTTTTGTTATTTTTTAACCAGTTATTTATATGCATTGTTTTTAAAATTATGAAGACAATTTTTTGATGTACCGTTTTGGGCTGTAACAAAATCAACTTCTTGTTGGCTTCCAAAGTTCCCATAAAAGTTACAAATTTTCCTGAATTAGCTGATTGGATAATACCCTCGTTTAATTTTATAATTAGTAATTAGTAAAGAATACAAATAAGAGAAATGAGTATTTTATTTTTTATTTTTATAATTTACTTTTATCATTTCATCAACTTTATATCAATAAGCTACTTTTAAGCCACATAAATAAACTTTGTGTATGGGTGGAAATCCAATATTTACACAGTAAATGTAATTAGAATGTCTTCGTTTAACTATCTTTTCCACAACAAACAAACATTACGCAAAATACCGGTAGCTCATTGCCGCTCTATGCAACTTAAAAGATAATCTGTGTGCTATGATAATTTAATTATGGTGGTAGAAAAAATATTATGTGTGTATTACTAGCCCAACAGTCATTGCAGCTCTCGAATGTATGGCTGCACTCAGCTGAAGCTTTGTGCGTTCATCTACAATTAATTCTCGAGCGGCAATGACACAAATATAATTCCTTAAGCAACATCTTTACTTGTAAGTCAAATTACTAAATCAATATATTAATACAATATTCTTACTGTAGTTTTCTTTTGATGATTGATTTAAACTAAACTATCTGCTTCAAAAGAAGATTTTTGCTTGGTTTACATCTATTACCTAAATACATTGCTGCTAAATTTCCATTTGTTCCAGAAATTATAAAGAATAATTTGATATTTTACTCTTAAACGTTTATATTTTACTGTTTTGGAAACATTTTCCCCTTAACAAATGGACTAGGCTACTGGATCTTGCAGAGTCCGACTATGCGGCAGATAAAAGTGGATCTGGAAGGAGCTATCCTTCCTACATACTACGGTAACCTCACCACCAAGTTTATGAGAGTCTGGGTGGATCTCATACAAACTAGAATACCGAGGAGTAACATTACTCAACACAATATCTTCTATCGTAAGGTAAGATCAGCTAAACCCTTTGAACTAAAAAAATTGTTTCTTTCATGAAAATTTATCGAAATACAACATCATTTAATAGTTTTAACTGAAATGGCGACCATACAAAGGTAGGTATTTTAAGTATTAATACCTGGTATGGAAAGAAAGAGTAAAAAAAATACTTAATTGTCTTGACAATATAAATTGTATCAACAACAACAATTACAATTAGGTTTTAGTATTAAATCAAACTCTTTAAATTTTGATACATTTTTCATTGAAGTCTTCAATAGAGTAGATCAGATTTTCAGTAAGGATTTGTTTTAATTTTTTTTTGTAGGTCTTTTAATTTTAAGTTTTGAATATTAGTTGGTTGTTTGTTAAATAATTTTCTTCCGTTGTAATAAAGATGTTTTTCATAAAACTTTGTTTTGTGGAAAGTAGAAGAAAATATTTTTGTAATTTTCTCAAATCATAATTCTTCTCACATAATTCATCTAAACTTTTAAAATTAAAGAAAGAAATTGAATCACACTTCTTCATTTTTGTAAAGTGATAGCGGTATTTTGTAATTATCTTCGAGGTATTTAAATCTTTTTTCCATATTTCAGACAATATCAAATGTTTGGATGGTTCCAATCGTCTCAGAAGATGTGATCGACTTTGCTCCAGAAGTTCGCCAATCAAAACTGTTTGACATTAATGACATTGAGTTTGAGTGAGTTGACCAATCAAAATAGTAGTCTAAGCAAATTATGCAAAGCCAATGATGGAAAGACTTCAGGTGTGTCATGTACTAAACCAAACTAAAATGAATTCATTTAAAAATGGTATACTTTATACATTGGTGGCGAATTCCTCCCGCCTTGAGCCCCCTACTTTTAGGGGAATATATCTATAAGTTAATGTAATGTGTATTCATAATACCTATACTCCCAAGTCTTCCGGGTGGTTTCCTCCAAGTACTAATAAAGGTCAACTGCTGCCTCTACGACATTACGGTATTCAGTTCTTTTGTAGTGTGGTCATTGAAATAAGCAGCCTGTTTAAAGATTAACTCTAGAATTTTCTTTACAGGATGATTCCCAACAGCCTAATGTGTCTACAGTTCACCACCAATCTCGCAGCCAGCTTCTCCATCTCTATTAGTTATGACTTGTCTCCAATCAACACAGATGATGGAATCGTGTATGCAGCCTTCATACTGCTGGGACTGTACTTCCTCATCATAACAGAGGTAGGAAGTGCATGAGATAGTAACATTGTTGTTTGGACCAATGCCCAAAAAAGACAACCTTGACTTAACATGAGTGGATTGTATTGAGATTCTAGTGACTTGAGGGTTTGACATGACAGAAGATTGATTTGTGGAAGGTAAAGATACGGGAAGTGACCACATAAACTTTAGATTTTCTGAATGAAAAATCAGTAAATGTTCACTGTTCACTTAAGAGAGAACATGTTGATACTAGTAATATGGTAGTGCAGTAATATGATACTAGTAATATTTTTAACCAACTAACTTACACTATTCACAGAAAGGCTTCTGTTATAGAAAATATCGGTTGTCCATATCTAGCTGATAATGCGCTAGTGTATTTAGCCAGTGTGGAAAGTAAGACCTCAATTTCAAATCACAGCTATGCCTCAAATATCTACTAATTGCTACTGGAACAATTATCAGACATTACGAAGCATATATAACCTCTGTTTTATTGCTATACCATGTTCACTAAACATACATAACCACGCTCAATTAATTCCAAATAGGCAATTAATTATTTTTATATTGTATATCCTATAATATTTATTAAAATATGTAACTATGTGCCACAGATAGTTCACCGCACTGTGGCGGCCATGCTTGCTGCAACTGTCTCAGTGGCTGTTCTTGCTTTGTTTGGAGAGGTGAGTTGATAATCTTACTTGCAATTAATAACTAAAATAAATAAGAAGTTTATCCTGTTCATTGATATTCAAAATAATACTCTACAACAAGTAGTGTGTACAACATGATCTGTTATCTTTCTGTCAATATTTCAATAGTCTTTGTCAATTAATTGCATAAATCTTGTAAATTTATTCGTTTCAAAGAATACTTAGAATTATGACTTTTAAACCCGCAAAACATTCTTGCAAACAACTTTTTAAAGAACTAAAGATTCTAACCGTCCCTAATTTGTATATTCTTAAATGTTTATTGTACGTGAAATCAAATTTTGAAAAACTCCACAGTGAAAATAATCGGCACAATTATAACACTAGATTTCATACAGATTTTCAATATCCTATACACAGATTAAATCTTGTGGAAAGGACACCTTCTTATATGGGTAAAAGATTTTTTAACAATTTGCCTGGGTACTACCATAGACAAAAAGAATGAAATATAGACCGTCAGCTGTGCTGCGGTTACCATAGGTTCTGGCGCACACCGCTGGGATCGCCACAGTAGTTACAGCGTACGCGCTACGTAAACTACAGCGGTGTGCGCAGGAACTTATGGTAACCATGGTAACCGCAGCACGGCTGACAGTCTATATTTCATTCTTTTTGTCTATGGTACTACAAATCAATAATAGGATTAGTATCTTTTAAAGAAAAAAAATTTGAATTTTTGTTGGAAAAGAATTATTATAGTATAGACCAGTTTCTCGAAGACAAATCAATGTGAACTGTTTGTTTGGTTACTATGTATTTATTTTTACCAATAAGCTAGTTTATTTTAGTATAGTTTGTCCTGGCCTGTTTTGTCTGGCTGTGCCGGAGCATAAAAAAAAACGTTTTGTGACAATAAAGATGACTTTGACTTCACTTTGCAGCGGCCAAGCCATCAGGATATAGTTTCATGGGTGGACCTCGAGACTTTGACTCTGCTCTTTTCCATGATGGTGTTTGTTGCGATATTCTCCGAGACTGGTGTCTTTGACTACTTAGCAGTGGTGGCTTACAGGCTCAGCTGTTACTTAACCACAAAGTACAAGGTATGTAGCGATCTAGAAAATGTAAAATGATGTAATTAATTTTGCGATTGTTTTGTGTTCAAAGATGTTCAAGGTTTGTGGACCTCGCGTATTTACTTAAGGATTTACTCTCCAAAAGTGGTAAAGTTGTATGGAGTGTATTGCCATTTTCCATTCTGTTTGCACTTTATCAGAAATTTTTATTTTAACAGAACTTAATCCCATTACTGAATATTTTTTAAAGTTTCCACATGGAAAGTAGTATAGGAATGTCCAAATTAACAAAATATGACTTTTGATTTTTTATATAGAGTAAAATGCTGGGAGATCAAAGATAAAATCTGTGCAATGCCTAGGAATTGTTTTGTCATTCTAAGAACAACTCAATAATTTTAATGTATTATTATAGTTCTTCAAGCTGATGGGAGGAAGAATTTGGATGCTGATAAATATCCTCTGCATCAACACTGTTCTGGTTTCCTCTTTCTTGGACAATGTCACCACCATCTTGTTAATGACTCCAGTCACCATCAGGTAAAATGGTTAACTATATATCCAATATAGGAAACAATGTACAAAAAAAGAAAAAAAAAACTTAGTCTAGTGTGTCCCCAACTATAATACTCCTCAAGCCATTTTATGCATTTTAATTGCAAGCAATTGGGGTGGGTCATGGGTGGTTCTTGATCGTCTAACATAACAGAGCTTAGCATATTGATGTTTAATATTTATTTAAAAAAATCTTTATCAACAGCATTTACTGTCCAAATAAGACAAACTTTTCACAATAGTTTATTTAAATCTAACGTCACGCTAACACAATAGCATTGAACATTCACGTTGGGACAGTAATAATTTTTCTTATTTATTTCAAAGGTTATGTGAAGTGATGGAGCTGAACCCAACACCGGTTCTGATGGCAATGATTATTTTCTCCAACATTGGAGGAGCCATCACTCCGATTGGAGACCCTCCAAATGTTATCATCGCCAACAACAAGGACATCGTTAGTGCTGTAAGATACAGGAGAATACTTTGATCGATTATCAACTTTAATTTGGCTACTTTTATGTCCAGCATTCTAATCTTAGGACCCTAGGCTCTAGCCTCGGAGTTTATTTTTACACATTACTTCAGGCTAGGCCTAGAGGATCACTATCACGTAGCTCAAACCATTAGTGGGTGGTTGGATTTGAACAACCAGGGACCTCATACATAAAGCCCTGAGTTCTACCACTAGATTTTCCAAAAATGCATAGTATAAGACATAAGATATTTATTGCCGTTGATCATTTTTACATGAGATGGGCATGGTCAACATAAATATATACAGTCAATAACATCAAATAATATCAATAATATCGATAATAATCATCAATAATATCTAAATATATTTAAATTAAAACTAAAGTTGCAACTCCAGCCTAGTACCCAAACATATAGGGCGTACCAGATATAGTACCTACCTATTACTACTATTCAGACTGTGTAGATCCTTTTGTAGCACAGAAAGTGTGTCAAGTTTTAAAATGACTTTGTGATCATTTTGATAAGCATGTTAAATTGTTTGAGTAAAGAAGATCCATCTACATATATTTGATATAAGAAACATTTGGTTACACGACATGGACAAATTACAAACAAATGGTGCCCTCATTTTAATATTTTTTGTTGTTTTCCAAGTTTCAAGAACTTTGGATTATATTGGTTAGAATCAACTTTGTTGTTGCCAGAGTTCTTGAAGGTAAGATGTTTGTCACCCTATGCATTTCCTCCACCTTGTGTGGCATATTCAAAGGTCTTACTAATCACTTATCACCTTATCACTAACACTGTAGTCTATTTTGTATTTACAACAAATATTTACACATACAGTGACCATAGTATCGCAGTTGTAAATCTAGAAGATTTTTTAAATCGGGTCTTGTGCCACATTTTCCACTCCATCATTTTCTGCTCGAAGAAAGTTGAACTAAGTCATAACTATCAAACGAGAAATAATAACAAAACTTTTCAATATCCCAAACATTCGCACACAAGATTTGAAACTGGGCCTCTTTACATGGGATTAAAAATCTTTTTGTAAAGAGGCAATGACTTTGGTGTAAATAGTTTTACCTTAGTACCCATATAGCAAAGAACCAACCTTTATTGTGTCAAATTGATAAATTTGTGTGTAACTGATTACTGCTAAAATGCTATATAAAAACGATAACAAAATTAACCATAAGGGTAAAAATAATCAATATTACTTTAAAATCTATGAAGATTTATTACAATTTTATAGGCACACTCTCCATCTTTACAATGTGTGACATGCGACTGATGAATTATACGAGATATAGATCGTAAAGAGAAGTAAATCAACTAAATAATAGGGTGTATGACTGACATTTTTTACTCGATTTGGTAATTGGTTTAATAGTCTAAATGGAATTATCAATCTGTAGTGTTCTTGTCCTATACATCTTTCAATCTTTCATGTTATCACTACTAAAAATGTTTAGTATTGAAGTGTAAGACACTCTTAATAACTGAAGGGCTTTTGTTGTCAGGAAATAATCTTTATTACTATAAAATTAAAAAATAGGTTAAAATAATATCATAGCTTTCAATTTTCAGGGAATTACTTTTGGAGTGTTCACTACACGGATGGGTATACCCCTCACCATCATAATGATCCTGGTGCACTTCCAACTGAGGTACATGTTCAGAAACATAAAGGACTTGCAGTATACAGATCCAAAAGATGTTCAAGGTAAGTTTCAATTATTGGTTTAGAAGTTGAACTAAAAGTCGTGTATAACTATAATTCTAGTTTTGTTTTTGAACGACATGCTTTTAGGCGAGGTGTTCCTATTGATGTAGATTTTTGTGGGCTTCACTCACCCAATCCTATATGCAAGAGCAATTCCTCACAATTCCTCAATTCCGCAATTCCTCACAATTGGGTGGCAATTCCTCACCCAATCACGGTACAAAATCCCGTGTTCTTGTGGCAGAAATTATGTGGGCCAAACTTCTAGACCAGTTAAAGTTCGAATAAATGAACACATAAAAAAAGTCAAAAACAAGGATAAGTATGGCTCTAAGATATGTGAACACGTTGTAGAAACGAATCATATACAAGGAGTCTGATTGGAGGAAACGAAATACGGCAGAGTCGCTTTTCATGGCAATAGAAGACGAGCCACTCTCACGACCATCGGTGGATGTCAGTACGGTGTACTTAAACATTGTTAAAAACGAACTAGAACAACTACGAGATAAGGCCAGGAGCGTGAATGGCTTATCAACAATGGACAATGCACCTACCCCCGCCCCCGCCCGTCCTCCTCCTAGCTCAGCTGATCCGGCAGTCGTGGTTAGGCGTTCGACCCGCGTGCGGGCTAAAAATAGTTTTTTAATACCCTGAAGAAGCGGAACGTTGTTATGAGTTCCGCGAAACGTTGGACCTTGATGCCGTGGACGATTTTGTGTTGTATATATGTGTGTTTATGTGTTTTGACGAGTCCCGGACATCACAAACAAAAATAAAGGTGAGTGAAGCCCACAAAAATCTACATCAATTCTAGTTTTATTGGTCGATATTGAATGGGTGTTATTTTAAAAAAGTTTCTGCTATTCGCTAAACAGTGCCTTTCCCCTATTTCCAAGTCTGTAGCAATCCAGAATTATGTGATTTGTAATCTCATAAGACTGATTGCATAATTGACACTCCTGGTTGTCATTGATGATTCCCAAAGTTTGAAGGTGTTTCCTGAAATACCCCTGCGTCTTGACCCTCATCAGACCTATTGGATGAACCACTGGCCTTCTTTGAAGGTCCCTCTGTTTAGAGTGGAGTGACCGTTGCACCTCTTGGCTTGTCTAGGCATCCGGACCCACAGTTGGGCCTGGTGTTCCACTGGTCTTTGGGGCTTCATCGAGATGTATGTGTCTTGCTCTAGATGAGCTAACCCCTGAAGTGTTGGTGATGCAGCTTCTAGAGTTGCATCGAGGTTTGGTTCTGGTAAGGTTTTCTAGAAACAATATAATGTTCTCACCAGTCACAACTGCTGTGAGGCCAAAGGTCGAGCCCAGGCAGAGTCCCGCATGCCTGGGTAAGACAGTTACTCTAGGAGGGTGCCTGGTATCCTAGAGGCTCCGTACAAAACACCGATGGGGAGCCCGGTAGCATTCACCTCTTTAGCACGGATTGCTTAACACTGAGGTTCGGCTGAAAAAGAAGAGAAGGGAGGGAGAAGAGTTCTCCTGTAGGAAAGCAAAGAAGAAGAGCCAGCAAAAGAAGCAGAAGTATGCTGGCCATAGAAGAACCCAGAACAAAGAAGAGAATGATCTGGGTTTTGGGTAGGGTACCTCGGAGTCGCCAGCCCACAAGAGGCCTCCCGTGTAGTTGACAGACAACTACCCCTTCTATCCCTTCCACTTGACTCTTACCTTTAAAATAATAGCTCAAAAGCTGAGCAACATACATTAAGCATAAAAAAAATTAGTGGGGAAACCTCCCCTCAAACCGCCTAAATTTTGTGAACAGACTATAAGTTCAGTGATTATTTAGGCAAGGTAATTTGTCCAAAGCTCAATAGTCAAAAACAGCTACAACCAGCTGTGACCAGATGTGTGAGCTGAGGGATCTATAGTCATCAGAAAATGATTCAAACTAGTAGGCCCTATATCTTAAAGAGCGGACTTACTCTTCTCAAAAACTATTCTAATCTTATCTGCCTTTTACTTTTATAGGCTTTGACTTCAGTATCCAATAGTCAATGGTATAGGTCTGTGAATCATAGAACCCACAGAACTGTCGAGGTCTTTGGTCAAGAAAACTTTGTTTTTTACTGATCAGTAATCGTGATGAAAATGCCTTAATTTATCCATAAAAAATAATATTTCAATGTTTTTCCAAGTGGAGGTAAGTCTGTAGATGTTAATGTGATTGGTTGATGCAGTTTCTGATTCTGATTCTGCAGAGTTGAGGCATGAGATAGTGATATGGCAGAGAGCGGCTGCATCTTTATCTTCCTACAGCAAGGAGGAGGATTACGTGAGAGAGACGCTTATGAAGAAAGTTCAACGACTGCTCAGTGAGCTCAAGAAGAAGCTACTCACTGGCAGGTTCTGTTCAACACTGTTTATCTTACTAGTTTATTGCATTAGAACATTTTGAGTTCTGTTTCTGTTAACATACATTCTTTGTTCTCTTGAACAATTTTTGTGTTTTATTTCTTTGCATTGTTTAATTTCAGTAAATTGTAATCAAGATAAACAAGTTTTGTTACCCTTGTCAAGATATTAGCTCATTTTTGATCCTTTTTGATAATCAATTATATCTCATTTTACAGCATTGCAATGGAGACTTACAGGGAGGACATAGAAGAACTTGCTCAAAAGGTGAATTTTATTTTTGCACTCATTTCTAAAAGACTAATCCTATATATACTAAAATCAACAATTTGTGCTTTTGAAGTAGTTAAATTTGATACTGTGTAGGCGTACAGAGTAGTTCTCTGAAAAACAGTTTTGTTGGTCAAAGAAAGCTATGTTTTAATTACAAGGAATATTCAACTTAGATTTTCATAATGTACATCTGATGGCATTTTTAGGCATTGTACGCAACGTTCAATCTGTATTCAACCCACTAATGCTGTCAACTTTCACCAAAGTTGAACACTGTTTATTTTTAAGCTTATTTAAGCTCCACACCAGCTAAGCTACACATTAGAAGGCTCGATATGGATTTCACATGTAGGGAATTCAAACCTGTGTATGTGATGTAGAAATACACTACACTCGTCATGCCACTGGCGACACTAGCGCTCGCAGGTTAGATTCGACAAACTACTTGAGGTTGGTTAGCTCAGTGGGCTATCTTGCCGCAAAATGCAGTTACGTGCTACACACATAAGTTGTTATCAATTGGTTAAATATGAAATGGGAGCATTTTTCGATGAAAAAATAAGCAATTAAGTTAGCTACTATCATTGGCATTGTAAAATTACCATCCATTTAATTATGAATGTGAAAAAAATTTGATATTTTTTGTGTGTTAGACTTCCTATTAGAGAATGCATTCCTTCTCTAATAGGAAGTCTAACACACAAAAAATATCCTTGTTTATCCTCTCAACCATGGTTACTAACACCAGTGGTTACTATTTGATCACTTTTTTATTTTGCTCTAAGCCATTTGCCATTTGCTACTCAAATCTTTTATAGGGGGGTAAAACTTCAGAGTTACAACACTAGCGCAATCTATGAGAGCCTCATTAAACTAGGTTCTATTTGAGTTTATGAAATTAGTTAAAGCTTACCCATAGATTTATAAATGGGGTGTCTACTTTAGCCTAAAGTATATTCCTCATTTTTATTCCCTAAGACTATTTTCTCATTTCAGTTCCCCATCAGAGACAAGCCGCTGTTGCTAAAGTCCACTCTTGCGCTGATGTTCGTGATCGTCACGTTCGCTCTACAGTCTATGCTGGAGCTACATCTGTCCATGGGCAGCATTGCTTTCCTTGGAGCTCTCCTGTTGCTACTGCTCGACCGGGAGGACATTGTCGACGTGTTAGCTCGCGTCGAGTGGAGCACGTTATTGTTCTTCACCTCACTTTTCATTTTAATGGAGGTGTGTAGGATATTTATCGGGTACTAGTTTATTTACCTGTGCTTTGCAACAGAAGAACCAAAAAAGTAAAAGGTAAAGAACGTAAGTAGAAGGTAAGAAACAAAAAATAAACGGTATCAGAAATCTGACACATATTTTCTCCCATTAGCTTGTCAACGACCTTTATCATGGGTAACTGGTGGGAGTAGCTATAAAGTTTTATATGGAAAATAAAAAATCACAAATGTTTCAATAACGTTTGAACCGTAATTTTTACAGCAATGGGAACATGGGGTTATGGTTCTATGGCATAACATGATGGTAAATGCAGGCAACTTGTCACTATTATTATTTTCTAGTCTTTCTGCTATTTGCAGGGTCTCTCCCGCCTGGGGCTAATAGACTTCATCGGACACCAAACAGAGCAGGTAGTTAAGTCTGTTCACCCGGAATACCGTCTGGCCGCCAGTATCTGGCTGATCCTGTGGGTCTCAGCATTCACTTCCTCCTTCCTGGACAACATCCCTCTGACCACAATGATGGTCCGGATAGTGGTCAGTCTCAGTCAGAACGAAGAGTTGGGTCTGCCACTGCAGCCACTGGTGTGGTCCTTGGCCATCGGCTCTTGTCTTGGAGGTAGGCTCTTGAGAGTTATTTAATCTTTTGGAAATGCAAATTTATCCCTAGTGAAAGTTATTAAGGCCGTGCTGTAATGTAAATAAGATGAAATGCGCGGTGTTGGTCAAACGCACGAGGAACTCCTTCGTTATGGTAAGAAGCTTTATTAGCTATAGTTTGATGGATTTGAAGCCTTATATAATGTTGAACATCTATTATTCGTTATGCTGCAATAACAACTTAAACTACATGCAGTCATTGTGGGATTTGTTATCCATGTGACTTCAATTTAAAAAAATATATAAGTTATGATTTTAGCGAATTTTCCATATAGAAAATAAATTATATAACGTTGGTCTCATGGTAAGACCTAGTGACCTAGACCCGAGAATAAATTTCTTTTTTCGTTTTAAGGTACCTTCCCTAATGAGATATTTGAGTGAAAATCCCATCAGGCAAATGGAAATTTGCTTAGTCTACAGGTTTTCTGTGGTGGAAGTGTTTATTTAGCATACTGTATTTCTATATTCTATTAACAGAAAATATTACACAAAATAAATAAAGAGTACTGAAATATTTTCTAGCATCACTCATATTGCTTGTTGTTTTCTAGATTGTAAGAGAACTTGAAAATATTCTAAATAGGCTAATGTATATATTATATTATAAATATTAGTTTTATAAACATATGAACGTTTAAAACCAATATGTATAGCTGATATTGAGTACAACTAGTTTCATACAATAATAACATAATATATTTTACTTATCTCTTAAGGACATTACAGGAAACGGGACGTTGATCGGAGCTTCCTCAAATCTAGTCTGTGCCTGTGTGGCTGAAAGACATGGATACAAGTTCACCTTCATGGAATTTTCAAGGTACCGTACCTATGTTTTTTTTTTTTCTATTGACCTGATTTGATTTATTGGTCATAACTAAAATCAATAAAATGGGAACTATAAAACGAATTAAGTTAAAACCTAATAAAATGCATCGACATAAACATTTGATGATTTATCTTTTAGCGTAATATTTTTTAACATTACAATGTAATTTTAATAGGCGGAAGTTAGTTTTTTAAATTATAGTACAGATAGTGTGAAAGTTCAATGATTTTCTTGAAAATTTAGTCTTTCAGTCTTTGAATGCATTTGCCACAACATTTAAGAAGAACAATATTATTGTTTCTGGAACATGATAACGATAAGCGTTTAACAAAGTGTGAGAACTTCTGTAAGTAACGATTATATGAATAATTTAACCTTCATTTGTTAATTCTGACAACCAATCATGAAAATACAACACACTACTTAATCTTCTCTAAGTTTGTAAAATAATGGAGAAATAAAACAGCAGAATTCAAAGGTGAATGATTTTTTATTGTGAAAACAATAATTTTTAATAACTAATATCTGCATTAGCAATGGAAAAATTAAGTAATGAAACTCTGCAATTCCAAGATACCTCATTATTCTGGTTGTAAAGTGTTGATATATAATGACCAATAGTGTGGCAATCCCCTCCACTCGCCAAAGTCCCTTACAGCTGCAAACAATCAGCGACACTCTCTCTGTTCCATTAATGTTGCTCTGGCTATGTTACGTTCATTGATGAACGTACGCTTCAAATGTAGGGTATACACATTACGACCACACCTCTAAAATTTATTTTTATGTTAACCTTGTTTTATTTATTTTTACAGCCTTGTATCAGAGTAAATTGTAATATAGCTATGTCCATCATTAAATTAAACTAGAGGTCGTCCAATGGTCGAAAACTCGACCAAAAAGAATTCTGTACATCTAAAGGAAAATATCTTTCTATCAGTATTCATGGATTTCCCCTGAGATGCTCAAGAGCTGAGAAAAAGGTTTTAAAGAAACATGCTTGCCTATTAATATATAGATATTTTTTTATCTTACTTACACCAATCAGCATACAATAACAGATGCAAGGTTATGCTGAATATAAAGATATTTTATACTTAATTTAGTCATGAAATACTAAAATTAAATTTTATTCCACAGAATAGGGTTTCCTGTTATGTTGTGGAGCCTTGTGATCGCAACAGCCTATCTGATGTTAGCTCACGTGTGGCTGGGATTCAATGGTTAGATACATCCACATCTGCCTTGCGTAGTGAACAGAGCAGAGAAGCTCAGATCAACTGTGATTTCTACACGTAACTGTGATTTTGAGAATAACCTAAATAACCTTAGTAGTAGTCTTACATTGTTACTTGTTTATTTTTTACATGCTAAGATTATTTATTGTATTTTATAAATGTTGTTTGTATTTTCTCACTTAGATGTTAAATTATTGTTTTATAGATTTTTAAACTTTTTCTAGAGATTTATTGGTGGTAAAGTACTAACAATATTCTATGAATGAGTAGCTTTATAAAAACACAGGATAGTAATAATGTTCCAACTACGATTTTAGTTGATAAGAATCAATAATTAATAGAAGAATTACTCGTGCTTTGTCATCATTAAATTTGGAATGTTGTAAACTTTAAAATTTATTGTTAAGTAACAAAGTGATGCCTTTTAGAAATATAGTGATATAGTGATAGTGCCTTATAGTGAGAATATTGATAACATAGTACAATACCAAAGTTGGATTAAGAACTTAAGATTGTTTTTAACTTAATTTGTTGCTTGAGTATTTTTATAGCCTCTAGTTCCTCCTGGTGCTATTCTGTTACCTGTGAATTTTACACAGTTTCATTTGTTATAAATCTGTAGTCAAAAAAATTAATATTGTTACTATTCAAAATAGTTAAATTAAATTATAGTTGAAGTTAGTTATACACTGTGTTAAACTGGGTGAAATAAATAATAATGAAAGTATATGTAAAAAATGGCAACTACTCACTCATAAGTGCTCCAAACATATACAACATTGCAGTGTGCAAATGGAATCAATTTATTGTTATAGAGTAACAATTTTATCCGTTATCTTATATGTTTTAAACGTATATTGCAATCTAGTTTTATACTTTTATACTTTTTTGAAATAAATACTATATTGATGTTACACAATTTCTATCTTTAACTTAATCAACCAACGAAGCTCGCTACACTCATTGAATTTGGCTTGTCAGTTCAGTTTTTAGTCAGAATTGTCAAAACAGCTGATTATTGAACTGAGATGATACTCCCACATACTGTAATTAATTACTATAAAATTACTACAAAAAGAATTAAATATAGACAGTCAGCTGTGCTGCGGTTACCATAGGTTCTGGCGCACACCGCTGGGAGGGCCATTTAGTTACGGCCTACGCTCTACGTAAATACGAACCCCAGCTCCCAGCTGTGTGCCCCGGAAAACCTATGGTAACCATGGTAACCACTGCACGGCTGACAGTCTATATTTAATTCTCTTTGTCTATGCTTGAACTCAAACCATTTTGAACATTTTTACATAGACACACTGTCATTTTGACGTGTAAGTTTAACTTTTTCACATCAAATTGTTTTGCCAACACAGGGCAGGGGGCTTTGGAATTACATTTACGAATGAGGAAAATTTAAAATTGAATATTAGATACAGTTAAGATAATATTAGACCTCATTTGACTTTAAAATAACGAAAAAAGGGAGATTTTAAGATTCAGCATCCACTCTTAATCCTGTTTTTTAAGAAATAGTTGTCCAAGGTTAAATAAGAAGTAATACATTGCACTTTTTGAATAACTTTACTGTTAAACGACTACTGTAACAAATGTACCTTTTGTAAAGCCTAAACTTCTTAATACCAATTAAAATAAAACTTTCACAAGTTTCCAATATTACCTAAAGATGAATTCAACCTGTTTTACATTCAAAAGGTTGTAAAACGAAGAAAAAATATCAGAATTGTTTTTGCAACCTCTTTGTGGGGTTAGATTAAATGATTACCATTTTTCTATATAAAAGTCTTAATTTTTAGTAGAGTTGATATATTTTTATGGGTATTGTAAGTAAATTAGGTACATTTTTTACAAATTAAAAAGTGCCAAAAACACAAGAAGAAAAATAAATATTATTTTTATTTTCATTTTCTATTATGTGGTTAAAACAAAAATCAAAACAAGTCTACAAATTATACTTAATTTTCAAAAATTATATATCACTTTCTTAAAGAAGATTGGAAAATCGGTCTTTCTTTACAGGAAATTAAATTACATTGATGGTCAAACATATTTTTGCAAATTTTTAAAAACATAAAATTAATTGAAGCCATTGTTCACATAAAACAAGACTATATTTCTTACTGCATCAAAAACGGATGATCCAAAGTGAGACATCCTCTACTAACCAGCTCCTCCACCAGTTCCATCAACATCTTTGTTCCTTCTTCTCCTCCAATCTTAGCCTGCTTCACTGCAACTTCCTCTGGAGACAAGTTCAAAAGATCATCCATTGTAAAGTCGCTCTCAAACAGCATCATGGGGAGGAAGAACGACGCGTGAACGTAACCGTAGACTCCTTTCAGCCTCATCTCTTCTTGTAATTGTTGCATCGAAGGTCCATGAATGGCACCAAGATTATTGATCAAAGACTGGTGGTAGACTGAGAGTAAATCATCCCAGTGAGCTGACCTTACTTCCTTGGTGGCATTCATGAAGAGGAGGAACGCAATGTCGATTGATGGTGAAGAGTATCGAGCAGTGGCGACGTCGAAGAACCTTACACTCTCAGGGACGTCCTGGTTGTACTTAAAGAGCATATTGTTCCTGTTGAAATCACCATGACACAAGACAGCCAGAGGTTCTTCAGGATGAACTAGTTCCAGGAGGAATTTCACCACGCTTTCGTCCACTCGGGAGAGTACTTTTTGCAATATCGCAGAATGTTTATCAGCTGCTATCAAAGGATCCATTGCTCTGTGGAAGGCATGCTTGATGACTGGGGAAATTACCAAACCATCATCTAACCAGGTGGGTTCCTTCAGATTTTTTACCAAATTGTAAAATTCATCTGGTCTCTCTTGTTTTGTTATGTATGACAAAGCGTGGTAAATTCCTAACTTTTCCATTGCCAACTTCAAATGTTCGTAGTCCAACATTACACGTTGCTTTGCCATTTGAAAGCCCTTAGGTCTCAAGTCTTCAATGACTATTACATCGTCTTCGGGCAAAGTCAATGTACTTATACCATGGTAAAATTTTGGGAATATTTGTGTAATCTTATTATATTTATTTAACAATGGTAATAGATCGTTGTACACTAATACCTCGTTGTGAAATTGAATAGCTGTTCTCAGCTCTCTTTGTATTTCTTTGTCAAAAGGTTCAAATTTTACCACCAATGGGAGGTCCTTTTTGTTACTTCCCTCCAGTACTGTGGCTGTTACAAACACAACGTTAGATTGAAACTGGTCTCCTCCTTTGTATTCAGAATCCAATGAGCATTCAATTAACTTGAATCCGTTTTTTGAACAAGCTGCTGGCAGTATAACCTCCTTTAACAAGGTGACTGACATTATAGCACAAGAAAACCCGATGTACAATGATGTACTAAAATAGCTAGCTCAACTGAACTGAATGAATGAAACAATAGTCTATAATTATCTACTCACAGACAACCAGTATTGCACAATGGCAGCACTAACACACACTAACAGGCTCAACTGGCAGCTTTGGAAAGATATCTCAGTTATCACTAGAAAATGCTTTCCACTTCAATCCTTATCTGGATCCTAGATAAAGGTTGAAGTACAGTACCTATTGTCTTGCGGTTCTAAATAAATGACTTTGCGACTTTTGTTCACTATTTAAGATGGCATTTTAAAATAAAACAGGATAAATTCAGATTAAGTATTTTTGTATTATATCCTTATAATTTTAGGATTGTATGGAATTGAATGAAATTGATTAAACTACGGGAATTACTTGCCTAATAATAAAAAAAATTAGATATTAGTTTGGAAACATGATTGTAATCTTGAGTAAATGTTCCAAAATGTAAATATTTCAATACATTTTAAAGGAATTTAATTTCAAAAATACCCCCGCTGCAGTAAACCTGCAGACTAAGCAAATTTTCACTAAACTGGCTGGATTTCTACTAAAATATTCCCTGAAGAGGGTACCCACCTGCTGGCTGGTTACCAAGTAAACATGATCCTACAAAAAAGAACCTTATTTCTGGTGTGACATTATTAATATATACACAAATGTCCAAACTATGCTCTCAGATGAACTGAAACTTTGTAATTGTTTCTTTGAGTATTTACAAAACCATTTTGAAAATCTGTAAATTAGTCTTTTCAAATTTGGTTTTAGCTTCTAAATAATAGTTAAACAATTAATTTATCCCCATCCATTGCAAGCTCTGATATGTTATAAAGAACAAAAAAAGCACACAATCGTGTTTGAAACACTGCGTGTAAACTCCAGAATATATCGAATGGCATATTTTGCTTTTTTTCAATCAATAATTAAGTACTGCTTTGCTAACGTTTATATATTGTTATTTATTCTTTAAAAACACTACCAGTCATAGTCCTGAATGAAAATCCCTACAATACACAATAAGGGATCAAATAAGTTAGGTACCCAGCACCACCGTTTGAGCAAATCTTTAAAATAATCATGTTGTTATAATAATGTTAGAAAGATAATAATAAGGCTAATATAATCTTACTAATATTATAAATCTTAAAGTTTGTGAGTTTGTGTGTATGTTTGTGTGTGTGTGTGTGTTGCTCAATCACGCATAAACTTCTGGACGGATTGGGCTGAAATTTGGCATGATGATAGCTCACATTCCCGATTAACATTAAAGCATATTCTTATCTCAAAAACCCTTTCGGGCTCCGCCCCAGTGGCTCTGTAGTTCCCCATGTTAATCTTATGATTTTTCATATTTAAAAGGAATTAATGAATCTTAACAGCTGTTTGAATTAAACAAGTTGGTTCTGTTCTATGATGTTCAATAGCATAAAAGTTACAAGGATTACCAACAGGGTGCAGCACTATTATTTTTTTTTAATTTATGACAACAGCTAATTTGCAACCAAAAGGTGAGTGAGCGTAGCGAACGAACTTCAACCTGGAGGCGAGTTAGCGGAGCGAACGAGCTAACCTGAAGGCAAGTGAGCGCAGCGAACGAGCTCCAACCTAAAGGTGAGTGAGCGTAGCGAACGAACTTCAACCAGGACGAGAATGAGCCATGCGAATGCTTATGAAGTTAAACGGGGCGAAGCCCGCGGGTACAGCTAGTATGTAAATAAGTATGAAAACCTTTTACAGTATTAAAGAGTTCCTGGAACAACCTCTGTGATTAGTCTGTAACTTTAAATCTCTAAATACTTATATTATCGTCTGTTTTTGTTTTCTCTAATTTTGTTGAGCGGAGCGAGCGAAGCGAGCGAAGCTCTTATACGTCGACTTTTATGCATTTCGTAATACGCAAACTCCTCCTAGACGGCTGAATCAATCGTTTTCAAATTTTGCATGGTGATAAAGACCATATCGGTGAGTGCCAACATCTATATGGCGTTAAAAAAGTCTCTCAGGAATCCGTAGAAAAATGAAACTGAAAATCACATTTTCTTAACATTAGTCTTATGGGTTGCTAGGTAACCATGTTGGCTGAATTAAATAACAAGTAAAAAGTAAACAAAAGATTTGAAGTTTTGGCATGTGTTCATAATAAGCCAACTACCCACAGTATACTAGGAAATTACAAATACAGTACAAAAGGAAAAACATCACTTGTTAATATTGAGCAAAGATTATACTTAAGACTAGCTGTGTACCCGTTCTACGCACGGGGATCTTATAATATTCAGTTGAAACCTTCTTATATAACGAACAGCAGTTGGTTTGCATATTTTAAGATATGCTGGCCAAACTATTATACATAGCTTCATTTTATGTTGTTTTTTGTTGTTCCGGATCGGTATGACAATCAATAAAAGGTTAAATTACCTCTGTGTCTGCCGGTCGATCCTATAACGGTAGGCTTACTTTTATTTTTACTATCTGATCTCGTTTGCATGGCTCAATCACGTCCTGGTTGAAGTTCGTTCGCTACGCTCACTCACCTGTATGTTGGAGCTCGTTCGCTGCGCTCACTTTCCTTCAGGTTAGCTCGTTCGCTACGCTCACTTGCCTTCAGGTTAGCTCGTTCGCTACGCTCACTCGCCTCCAGGTTGCAAATTAGCTGTTGTCATAAATGTAAAAGAAATAATAGTGCTAGTGCTGCACCCTGTTGGTAATCCTTGTAACTTTAATGCTATTGAACATCACAGAACAGAACCAACTTGTTTAATTGAAACAGCTGTTAAGATTCAATAATTTCATTTCTCATAAGGTTAACATGGGCTTCCAGAAATTCCACGTCAAAAATCGACAAAAACTTGATTTTCAAGGGTTTACTGTTAAATATCTAACTGTCTCATATTCGATGAAATACGTCTAAAACCATCTCATATATGTATAGTATTTGGAAAATAAGTTTCAGGCGGGACAGTGCTATAGTTATTGAGGAGTAGTTGTAATAAAGTGCGTATTTTAGCGTTACCAAGAGAATGACAGATAGACAGACAGACAGACAGACAGACAGACAGACAGAAATTGAGATAAGGTTTGATTCGGTTTCTCTGACCTATGAAATGTAAAAATAACCAAAAAGTTCATTATTCTAAGCAATGTACAGACAAAACTCTAATTTTATTTATATAGATTACTCGATACATTGTAGTCAAGGGTAGCAGTGCGAAGTCTAGGATCTGTTTATGACGAATACATTAAGGTATCTGCAATCCTAAAATGCTATGGGAAGGGAAGGAAACAGGTCCGTGACGTAGGAAGTAGTGAAGGAAGTAGTAAAGGCAATCATAAAATGCTATGGGAATAGAGGGAAACAGGTCCGTGACGTAGGAAGTGGTATGAAGGAAGTAGTAAATGCGAGCAGTCCGGAGTGTGGGGACTGTTTATGACGATAATATTAGGGTATCTGCAATCCTAAAATGCTATGGGAAGGGAGGAAAACAGGTCCGCGACGTAGGAAGTGGTGAAGGAAGTAGTCAAGGCGAGTAGTCCGGAGTGCGGGAACTGTTTATGACGATTAGATTAAGGTATCTGCAATCTTTAAGTGCAATGGGAAGGGAGGGAAACAGGTCCGCGACGTAGGAAGTGGTGAAGGAAGTAGTCAAGGCGAGCTGTCCGGAGTGTTGGAACTATTATGACGATTAGATAAGGGTATGGGCAATCAAAAATGCTATGGGAAAGGGAGGGAAACAGGCCCGTGACGTAGGAAGTGGTGAAGGAAGTAGTCAGGGCGAGTAGTCCGGAGTGAGGGAACTGTTTATGGCGATTAGATAAGGGTATGGGCAATCCTAAAATGCTATGGGAAGGGAGGGAAAAAGGTCCGTGACGTAAGAAGTGGTGAAGGAAGTAGTCAAGGCGAGCTGTCTGGAGCGTGGGAACTGTTTATGATGATTAGATTAAGGTATTTGCAATCCTAAAATGCTATGGAAAGGGAGGAAAATAGGTCCGCGACGTAGGAAGTGGTGAAGGAAGTAGTCTAGGCGAGTTGTCCGGAGTGTTGGAAATGTTTATGACAATTAGATTAAGGTATCAGCAAACCTAAAATGCTACGGGAAGGGAGGAAAACAGGTCCGCGACGTAGGAAGTGATGAAGGAAGTAGTCAAGGTGAGCTGTCCGGAGTGTGGGAACTGTTTATGACGATTAGATTAAGGTATTTGCAATTCTAAAATGCTATGGAAAGGGAGGAAAATAGGTCCGCGACGTAGGAAGTGGTGAAGGAAGTAGTTTAGGCGAGTTGTCCGGAGTGTTGGAAATGTTTATGACAATTAGATTATGGTATCAGCAAACCTGAAATGCTACGGGAAGGGAGGAAAACAGGTCCGCAACGTAGGAAGTGATGAAGGAAGTAGTCAAGGTGAGCTGTCCGGAGTGTGGGAACTGTTTATGACGATTAGATAAAGGTATTTGCAATCCTAAAATGCTATGGGAAGGGAGGGAAACAGGTCCGCGACGTAGGAAGTGGTGAAGGAAGTAGTCAAGGCGAGTAGTCCGGAGTGTGGGAACTGTTTATGACGATTAGATTAAGGTATCTGCAATCTTTAAATGCAATGGAATGGAGGGAAACAGGTCCATGACGTAGGAAATTGTGTAGGATGTAGATGTGTGGATTTATGTATCTCCAATACTACGGTGCTTTCAGAGTGAACTAATGATTTTCCCCGAGCAAAGCTCGGTCCCCAGGTACTATAATCAAATGACGACACTAGCTTGAGGTTCGTGACGTATGAAGAGGTCAAGGAAGTAGTAAAGGTAAAGTAGTCTGGAGTGTGGAAACTGTTTATGACGATTAGATTAGGGTATCTGCAATCCTAAAATGCTATGGGAAGGGAGGAAAACAGGTCCGCGACGTAGGAAGTGGTGAAGGAAGTAGTCAAGGCGAGTAGTCCGGAGTGCGGGAACTGTTTATGACGATTAGATTAAGGTATCTGCAATCTTTAAGTGCAATGGGAAGGGAGGGAAACAGGTCCGCGACGTAGGAAGTGGTGAAGGAAGTAGTCAAGGCGAGCTGTCCGGAGTGTTGGAACTATTATGACGATTAGATAAGGGTATGGGCAATCAAAAATGCTATGGGAAAGGGAGGGAAACAGGCCCGTGACGTAGGAAGTGGTGAAGGAAGTAGTCAAAACGAGCTGTCAGGAGTGTGGGAACTGTTTATGACGATAAGATAAGGGTATCTGCAATCCTAAAATGCTATGGGAAGGGAGGAAAACAGGTCCGCGATGTGGGAAGTGGCGAAGGAAGTAGTAAAGGCGAGCTGTTCGGAGTGTGGGATCTGTTTATGACGATTAGATTCAGGTATCTGCAATCTTAAAATGCTATGGGAAGAGAGGGAAACAGATCCGCGACGTAGGAACAGGTGAAAGAATTAGTAAGGTGAGCAGTGTGGAGTGTGGGAACTGGAAACTGTTTGTAGCAGTTTTAATGTATCTGCAATGCTGAAATGCTATGAGAAGGGATGGAAGCATGCCCAAGACATAGGAAATTGTGAAAGAAGTAGTAAAGTCTAGCAGTACGGACAGTGGGGATGTTTGTTGCAATTAGATTAACGTATCTAAAATACTAAAATGCTATGGAAAGCGATGAATACAGGTCCACGACGTAAGTGGTGAAGGAAGTAGTAAAGGCTGGCAGTGCAGAGTGGGGGAACCGTTTGAGCAGATGGATAAGTGAATTTGTAATACTTAAATGCTATGAGAAAGGAAGGAAACAGGCCAATGACGTAGTAAATGGTGAAGGAAGTAGTAAGGCTAACAGCGCAGATTGTGGGAACTGTCTTTGGCAATTACATTAATGTATCTGCAATCCTAAAATGCTATGGGAAGAGAGGGAAACAGGTCCACGACGTAGGGTGTGGTGAAGGAAGTAGTAAATGTGAGCAGTGTTGAGTTTGGGAATGGATTAATGTATCTGCAATGCTAAAATGCTACGGGAAGAGACTGTAGACTGTAATATGTTAAAAATGATTACGAAGCACAAATAGATACATATTTTCGATACATGCAATCGTTTACAATCGAAATTTACAACTGAGTTGACAACAGCTGATTTTTACTCCATAGAGGCTAAAAACGATTTTTACTCCCTAAATATTAAAAATGCTACTTTAGACCCGCAGCGCATGCATGAAAAAATACTGTTTTTACTGCAGTAAGACAAAAACAATATAATATGAACCCTTGATGACTCCGCTCAATTTTGTGGATGCCTCTGCGAACGCCACCTAGTTAATCATTCATTTGTTTTATAGTCTACTAGCGTACCCGTCGCGCGTTGCTGCGATTTTACAGGAAGCTGTCGATTATATTCAATCTATTGCACATTGTGTTAATGTCAATAAAACATATTTATTACCTATGATCGTTCATTTTCAAGATGAGCTCGTTCGCATCGCTCAATCACGCCCTGGTTGAAGTTCCTTCGCTACGCTCACTCACCTTTAGGTTGGAGCTCGTTCGCTGCGCTCCCTTGCCTTCAGGTTAGCTCGTTCGCTACGCTATTTCGCCTCCAGGTTGAAGTTTGCTCGCTACGCTCACTCACCTTTTGGTTGCAAATTAGCTGTTGTCATAAATTAAGAAAAATATATAGTGCTGCAACCTGTTGGTAAACCTATTACCTTTTTTATTAAACATCGCAGAATCAAATTGTTTAGTTGAACCAGCTGTTAAGATTCTTTAATTCCATTTAAATATGAGTATTCATAAGGTTAACATGGGAAACTCCAGAGCCACTGGGGCAGAGCCCTTTTGACAGATCTTCACCAAACTTCACACAAACCATATTGAATAATATTAATAATGCCTGAAAGTTTCATTACAATCTGTCGAGCGGTTTCGGAGTCCATAAAGGACAAACAAACAAACATACATACAAACATACATTGGATTTTATATATATAGATTGACTCAATTGTGATTGTTAACCCTGTAGGCCTAGTTGAAAGGAATTTGTATTAATAATTCAACAGACTTTCCTAGCCACTCATACCTAACTCTGAATATTTAGACAATGCACATTGAAATTTTATGTTCTGCTCCAATGACAAAGTCAGTAGTTAATGCATATAAATGTCCATGATAATAAAAATTATTTGATTTGAATAACCATAAAAAACAATTCAATACTAAATTATATTTTGCTAAGCTCTTTGAAATAGTTTATAGAGCAATTGGGAAATTGTATGTTTCGGGGGTCAAAAAGGAGGAAAACCAATCTTTACTCCAAAACCCCCAAAAAATCTGTTCCCATTGCTCGATCGGTTCGCAAACTTGGTGAACTCATCCAAGTTTATCCCGTCTCCCGTCCTACATCTTCAAGCCAAATTTCATCAAAATCAGGCAGAAATACTCAAGTTATCGCGTTCACGGGCCTAGGTCTTACTGTGCCACCTACGGTGTAATAACTACTTTTCCCTATAGGGAAATTCGCTAATATAAGGGAGTATTATATGTTTAAAGTTTACGAAGTGATTATAGTTAATCAGTGGAACCGATTCTATTATTATTGTGTTACAATAATTGAACGGTATAATTGTTATAATTATAAAACACCCCCGCCGCAGCAAACCTGCAGACTAAGCGAATTTCCATTTGCCTTGATATTGGATTTACACTAAAATGTCTCTTTAAAAATATCACATTTATATTCTCTATTTTAATAACATTAGTTTAATGAGTACTTAGGTTTGCTACAACAGGGAGGGTAAAAAGGTGTTATTGTAAAATGTTAGTAGATTTAATATTAAATGAATGCAAATTTTCCAAATCTGATCAAAATATGATCATAAACAAGCAAACTACAACAGTTTACTCATTCTCCATAAGAATAACATGGGAATTTTAAATTTACAGTTTTTTGGAATTTTCTCCTTTACCATTAGGCGCATCACGCTTCAATATACTAAATTATTTGTTTTTTTAAGGTCTATAAAATGGTTAGGAAAGAAAAATGCTAAATTTTAAGTTTTTAGGGTCAAAAATGGGAAAAACCATTTTTGCCCCATAAAACCCCCATGAACCCTTGTTCCCATAGTCCGATCATGCTGGTTCGCGAACTCGTTCGAATAAATGTAGGTATACACGTTAACACGTTTGTAGCAAATTTCATCAAAATCGGATGATTTTTGCTCGAGTAATCGCGCTAACGGACAAATATATATATATATATATAAATAAAGATAAAACATTAATAAACTATAAACCCAATAAACCCAAAACACTACCAACTAAATATATATTAATAAACCCAAGTAAAATTATTTATTAAAATACTTACTGACTATAGTTTTGGCTCTAAGGCCATTTTCAAAAGAGACATATAATTTATGTATATGAATTTAAACAGATGGTGTTTTTGGTCTCTAGGGACCTCAAAACGAAAAACTAAATCGGTCCCGGGTCCTACCATGCTACGGTAATAGCTTATTCTCTAAATGGGAAATTCGCTAAAAACCATTCAAATTTCGAGTTTATCTCACCGTTTAGTTCCATCACATGAGATCGAGTACCACGTAGTTGGATTAAAAATCCTTCTTTTACTTGTTGCGTTACCTCTGGTATTTTCTTAAGTCCATCCATAGACTAACCAACACAAGTAGACTTCTCATCCCATTGTAAATTTTGAAGCTCGTTTTTCATGTCTAGTTCATGTACGCCACACTGGGCGCTAGTGTCGACGAAATTTTGTTTCTATTATTTTAGGGTTAATTTCTTGATTTGTGCTTTACTGTTTGGTTAAATAACTAGGGGACAATTTATTGTTTATGATTACATCGTATTATTTGGTTAAACGAGGTTTTAAATTACTATATTAACGGGAAACAAATTGTAAACAAAACACGACCTCTACATAAACCGTACAGAACTAACAATAAAATTGTCTTCAGCCGTTCCATTAAAATGAGAAATCTACTAAGGGAGTATGTTTGATCTATGGTCCATCCTTTGTTGTGGGAAATGATTAGGAAGAGTCTACATGCAACAAAATATTGCTGTGCACAGAAGATACTATAACAGCTGCTAGCTGACAAAGGGTGGGGAGGAATTCGAAGTTCCAGGAAACGATTAAAAAATTGCCCTGCTTTGCTTTTGACCATTCTTCTTATGCTTTTTTGCTTACAACTTACAACAAAACAAAAAACAGTTATTGTTGTTAGGTTATGGACGTGTAAACATTTGGTGTAATTTAAGTACAGATATTTATCAAAAATGTAATTTAACGAGTAAAAGTGCGACTATCTAGCTATTTTCAAGAAACATTAGATGCAATGTCAGCTAAAACTATTTGTGCTATACAAGATGGACCGGTCAACGCTCTTGCACTTAATAAAGACAATAACCAAGTTGTCATTGCCGGACGCAATGGTAAGCTTTAGTATTCCATTTTTCTATTGGATGAAATTTAAGAAACATGAATCACATATTTTCGATCTTAATACAATTTCCACGATTTCAAAAACATTTAAGTTACAGTAGTCCTTTCCAAAAACTGTCCTATTCTAACAAAACGAAAGTTTTAAGTTACCTAGGTCTAGCCTAGGCGCTACATACAATTTTAAATTATGCCTAAGTTAGGCCTATTATATTGTGTTGCCCTAAGTGAAAGGTGAGAGTGAAATTTCAGATTTGTGGTTGGACAGATCTTATAGCCCAAGTTACGAAACTTTCACCCTTTTTGGTTTTTACATAGGCCTAGGCCTAGCTGGACTCATAGATTATGGGTTCAATAACATGAAATGAAATGTCTTTATTGCTTGTAACATCATATAACATGCATTGCAATCGTCAAAATACTTAGATTATAATATAAGTAGCATATCATACAGTGCAAACCATGCAAAAACACTCAAACTTGAGTGTTGAGGTAAATAACACCAGGGTCAAAACATTATCTTGTGGTGTAGTAAATTCCCATAGGTGATGAAGACAGTATCTTGGACCAAAGTCTTCTGCTTGAACTATTCATGCACCTGTCAAGAATTTTTATTGACTCTCACCTAACTTTTACGACTAACTTAGGGTATATTATTATTTGAATAAGCTAGGCCTACCGTGTTTTGTCTTTATTTGTCTTGTATAATGTCAATAGGCCATACTTAAAAAAGAGAGATAGGCTAGGCTAAGTGTAGTTTTTTCGTCAACAACTCACAACTTAAGAATAATGATTACCGGTATATAATTACAAATTAAGAGCACTTCATTATTTAAGTCTTAACTCTTCCAGGGCTATGGACGGATAAGCTATATCCGTCAATCTTTGTTTACTTTCCAGGCTGAATATGGATATATCCGTCCCGAGAAATTTCTTTTCTGGGCTAAAGACGGATATATCCGTCCAAAAAACGAAATGATATACACAATGTTTATGATAGGGTAATAAACATCACACTGCATTATAAAAGGGTTATTTTGTTTTTGTGGTTGGCAATAATAATTGCCACAGCTGTTTCGGCTATCTTGCACCATAGAGTGTGCGTAAGTAAATATTGCTGTCACTTCACATATGGTTGTTAGTGATTGATGTTTACATTTTGTTTATTGTTGTGTTATTGAGCTAAAGTTACTAAATGCAAACGATCTGAAATTTGAAGATGTTATTGAGATGCTCAATTAAAAGTATGTCTGAGGGGTGTTATACTTGGCAGTGAAAATAATAGTATGTAATGTGATGGATATGATGAACCTAAAGAACAGTTTTTACGTAGTGGAAGTCTTGGTGGGGAATGGGATTGAGGACATGGGAGCGGAACTGAGTGGTTTAGATTTACTTCAGATACAGTTTATACACATACACATACATACATTACACAGATACATTTTACATAGGCCTACAGATACATTTTTATGGATAAATAATTTATAAATAAAAAATCTTTTTAAAACAAAACGTTTTCAAACGCACTAAAAAGTAGAAAATAATTTATAAATATGTGGAGAGTAGATACTTGTAAGATTTAAAACTAAAAACGTGGGCTGCATGCAATAGATAAGTTACAATTACCTTCACCTAACTTATTGAACTAATGTATTATTATCAATTGCATGCACCCCACGTTTTTAGTTTTAAATCTTACAAGTATCTATACTCTCCACATATTTATAGATAATTTTCTACTTTTTAGTGCGTTTAAAAATGTTTTGTTTTAAAAAGATTTTTTATTTATAAATTATTTTCTACTTTTTAGGTTTTAATGTGTGTGGATGTTAAATTTTTTTCAAGCATCTATATCAGATGAAGACAGAGGCATGTGGGAAATCTAAGGTTTATTTGAGTTTCTTTTCATATAATTATGTACCCTATTAGATTGAATGTATGGCCTACCTACTAACTACTAACTATAAATATATCAATCTATTTAATTTTTTGTTTAAATTAAAGAATAGGGACTAAATAAATAACAATTCATATTATTAACACCTTTATAACTGCAATCAGATTGTTTATCTTTATTTTGAAATGTTTGTTTCTATAAAGAATCTCTTGGGAGCATAACCTGTAGGCCTACATCTTAACCTCTGCTCTTCGAACTGTCAAATTTAAGTATTTACAGCTGAATAAAATTAATTGATATATTTACATTCTTTCAAAATGTAAACATGGAAAATTTGGAAGCCCATGGGTTGTAGCCCAAGGGAAATATGAAAATTAAATTATATAATATTGCATTGTCATCCATTTGTGAGCTATTTTTTAAATTTCAAGTCTCTAGCTCATCAGGAACATCGTGTAAAATTTATATCAAATTTTGTAGGAAAGCGAGCTAATAAAAACAAGCCCATGGGGCGTAGCCCAAGGGAAATATTAATATTAAATGATATAATATTGCATTGTCATCCATTTGTGGGCTATGTTTCAATAATAATAATAGGTTAATTACCTTGTATACGTCCTCAATCCAAGTCGTCTTTTATAATTATAATATATAATTATATTATAAAAGACGACTTGGATTGAGGACGTATACAAGGTAATTAACCTATTATTATTATTATCATTCAATCCAGGAGGCAAACATGGATAAACTATGTTTCAAGTTTCAAGTCTCTAGCTCATCGGGAAGTAGGCTATCAAAATTTGCAAGAAAGCGAGTTAATAAAAACAAGCCCATGGGGTGTAGCCCTAATGAAAATTTAATGATATAATATTGCATTGTCTTCCATATGTGAGCTATGTTTCAAGTCTCTAGCTAATCGGGAAAGTAGTATAAAATTGATTGCAAAATTTGTACCGGACAAGAAAGCGAGCTAATAAAAACGTTTTAAAAATAAAACAAGGGAAGCAAGGAATAGCCTAAGGTTGACGGATATATCCGACAGCCGCCCACAAGAATATTCAAGATTAATGGCAGTGTTCATATTTTGTGATTATCACTGAGGGCAGCAGACGGATATATCCGTCCACCTAGTGTTTTTTGTGGGCCAATGACGGATGTATCCATCAAATCAAATTTTATTTTCTTCATAACTTTTGTACAAAAATTAGTTCAGCCCTAAGGAAAATCTGTTCATGATCTATGAATTATTTCAAGTGAAATAAGTACAAAACACAACCACTTTAGTTTTTAATTTTTGGCAAAAAATAATTAAGCTTCAGCCCTTCACCAAAACCTATTGGTTTGTAAAACTAAGTACAGCTAAGCTGTAATGAAATAGGTTATTTATGCTAAATTTTATTTTTGTTTCAGTTTTCAAAGTATTCACCATTGAAGAGAATGAATTTGTTGAAGCTATAAACCTGAGGGTTGGAAAAAACCTTAACTTAAATTTTTCTTGCAATGATGTGGCTTGGAGTTCCCATGAAGGTAAGGTTGAATTGTATTATGTTAGAAATTAAGATATTGCTTACGTTTTTATGTGTTCTTGCAGGGTTCAGATTACGCAAATCGTCTCCAACTAGGCTTCATTCTGTGAAGTGTTATTTTAACTCAAAAACACCTGGAATATGGGTACCTACTTATATTATGTAGCCTACTTATTAAGTTATTAATTACTATAATGCTCCATCTGTGGGCATACTAACATGATGAATTTTATGGTAAGGTAACTAGACAAAATGAAAGAGCTCAATATACCTGGTAAGGTAACTAGACAAAATTAAAGAGCTCAATATAGCATAGCCTATTTGGACATATAACTTCTAATTGTCACTCTCTGTTGGAATAATCAAGGTAACAACTGATTAAGATATAAACTTATTAAACTTTGTAAGTATATTTCAATTGGTGTCCATTTCCAGACCACATCCTGGCGACGGCAGCCACTAACGGAGCCGTGGTGGTGTGGAGTCTCATCAGAACGTCTCGGTGTAAGCAAGATCATGTGTTTCTGGACCACAAACGCACGGTCAACAAGGTCAGTTTCCACACAGTGGAGCCGTTCTATCTTATCTCTGGGTCTCAGGATGGAACCATGAAAACCTTCGACCTCCGCACCAAGGAAGCAACTAGGACGTTCTTTAGGTAGGGAAACATCTTAGTTACCTTGTAAATAAGGATTTGAAATGTTTCAAAAATATTTTTTGTAAATTTTATCTTGTCATAATCTTGAGGCCTTGATTTATGAAGCAAATTTGTTGTTAAAATTGAATAGGCGATAGACCTTTCATTATTTCAGTGATCTAGGCTAACTGGAGGTTTTTTAGCAAATAAATTAATGAGATCTCAATTATGTTACACCTACCTACTTTCAGAGAAGTAATCAGCTGAAACTGTTGTTTAAAATACAGCTACCTAACATAATTGGCGATTCTTTTAAATTGATTTGATATAATGATCTCAATAATGAGAATCAAATTTGATAGGTAGGCAGTTTGCTACATGTATTACAAGAGCTGAAATTTATCTAGGCCTTCCGTAGTTTTTGAGAACGAATTAATACCGATACTGGTAATCTACATGTAAGTTATTATGGAATAAAAGTGTGTTTGTTAATTGAAAATGAAAATTTTTAAGTCAGGATGGAAAGTTTGTTAACAGTAATAAACAATTAGGCATAGAACTAAATAGGCCTATCCTTTAATAAATTGTGTTTGATGATCCTTTAAATTTCTATGTTGCCTTGGCAAAATCATTTTTTAACTTAAAAAAATCCCAAAATGTTACTGTAAACCTCAAAATGTATAATATGTTGTTAGTTTAGCCTATAACCTCCCTTATTTTGTAACCCTAACAGCAACACAGAGAGTGTGAGGGACGTACAATTCTCACCTCACGCGCCTCACATGTTTGCCTCGGTGTCCGAGAATGGCACGGTGCAGCAGTGGGACCTGCGCCGGCCAGACAAATGTCACCAGCAGTTCACGGCGCACAGTGGCCCGGTGTTTGCTTGTGACTGGCACCCAGAACATCCCTGGCTGGCAACGGCTTCTCGCGACAAGACCATCAAGGTAATTTCAAAAGTGCTTACTGTGTGTGCTTTGGGAAAGTGGACTTTTTCTCCATTTCGGTTGTTAGAGTAATAATCCCTATGAATTGTTTGAAAATATCTTTAATTGTATTGCCTGATACATTCTATTTTATGATGTAACACCACTTAGCTTATCAACATGATATATCCTACTACTCTTACTAGGCTATCTAATGTAATGTTGACCTTTAGTTTCCTTTTATAAATTATCGCATCAGCCAAAACTATGGTTCTGCTAAAACTTCACTTCAATAAAATATAGTATTAAAATAGCTTATTTCCCTAAATGGAAAATTTGCTAAAACTTATATACCCATACTCATCTGAGAGATTTACATAAATGTATTAATTATTTTGCCTCCTGAACTGTTATTCAAAGTACTATCTAGGTTACATACCTTATACAGTCAAAACAGTTCTGAATTCAGTCACTAAAGGGCGATGCGCATTTCAGAGCTTTTAAGCTCTATCTTCAGGTCCGTGGATACATTTATCAATTCATCTTGTAGATTCGTCAACATTTTTAAACATTAAAAACACATAACACTAACACATAATTCATTACATTTATACAGGTACATGTGCCGGCCGGCTATAGATCCCGACTCCCGGAAACAATATTCCCGACTAACTATAGTCGGGATCTATAGCCGGCCGGCACATGTACCTGTATAAATGTAATGAATTATGTGTTAGTGTTATGTGTTTTTAATGTTTAAAAATGTTGACGAATCTACAAGATGATTGATAAATGTATCCACGGACCTGAAGATAGAGCTTAAAAGCTCTGAAATGCGCATCGCCCTTTAGTGACTGAATTCAGAACTGTTTTGACTGTATAAGGTATGTAACCTAGATAATACTTTAAATAAATGGTAGGTAAATAAAAAAAGTTGTGATTTTGTTGCTAAAGTTGGTTTTCCAAATAACGAGGTTTAATATTCTTGTCTAATGTACTAGGTGTGGGACATGACGAATAAGCCGACCTTGGAACACACAATCAATACAATCGCTTCAGTGGGCAGAGTCAAGTGGCGGCCGCAGCGCAAATACCACTTGGCCTCAGTGGCGTTGGTAGTGGACAGTAGTGTCAACGTGTGGGACGTCCGAAGGCCTTACATACCCTTTGCAGCGTTCAATGAACATAATGACATTGCTACTGGCATTGCATGGCGTGGTGACCCCCACGTGCTGCTTACTACGGGCCGGGTAAGATAGACGAGAAATGAAATGAAATATTCCTTTATTGTCACAATACATTTCAAGTTTTTCAGCAATGCTGATGAAACAGGTGACATTGTCCATTATTAAAACTAGATTTACAATTCATTCCTATAAATTAAATAAATGTAATAGAAAAATGTTTAACTGTTATTTAAATATTCAGAGACAGATTCAAACTGTTTTTGTAAGAGATACATTCTAAACTCGCTTTTGAATTTTGATATACTGGTAATTTGTCTGAATTTGGTAGGTAGACTGTTGTAAAGCCTGAGACTCATATAAAATGGTGATCTTTCATACAGACAGAGGCGATGTCTTGGATATTTCAAATTATTTTTAAAACGAGTAGGATATTGATGAATGAATTGATTGTTGTCATATGATTGGTAGTTACTTTTTAAAGAAACCATCATTTTAAATATATATAGAGAAGGCATTGTTAATATGTCGTATTTTTTAAAAATAGGTTTAAATGATGCTCTTTTTGATGCAAAAGATAGGATTCTTAAATACTTCTTTTGTTTTTTAAAAACTGTGTCGGCATATGAAGTTGAGCCCCATAGTTCAATTCCATACTGCATGATGGAATAAAACATTGCATAATATACAGTAAGTTTAGTTTTCAGATCAATTATATTCCTTAAAACATACATTTGAGAACAGGCTGTATTCAGCCTCTTTAGTATCATGTCTATGTGTGGTTTCCAGGTTAAATTTGTATCAATAATTAAGCCTAAGAACTTTGTATCTTCAACGAATGGTAAAGTATCGCTTTGGTAGCGTAATTCAAAATTTTGATTCTCTCTATTTTGGATTGTTTGAAATAACATAACCTGTGTTTTAGAACTATTGAGTTGAAGCCCATTTACTGTAAACCAACTGGACAAATCTATGATTGAGCGGTTGAGTTCTAATTTTAGATTGGGTATATCTTTTGCTTTAACTATGGATGTAGTGTCATCTGCATATAATATGAGGCTAGAAGATACATTTTGAGGTACATCATTCATAAAAATTAAAAATAGTAAAGGACCCAATATCGAACCTTGTGGGACACCACATTTAACTTTGTGCCAATTCGAGATAAACTTTTTGCCATTTTTTATAACTGATGTTCTTTGTTTCCTGTTAGTTAAATAAGAATCAATCCAAGACAAAGCCATGCCAGAAAATGAATAATGTCGAAGTTTGCTCATTAAAATGTCATAATCCACACAATCAAACGCCCTGGATAGATCACAGAACACCGCCGCAGTACTCTGCGATCCATCCAGGCCAGCCGATACTTGATTTATGAACTCTGAGACAGCCATTGTTGTGTTTCTTCCAGATCTAAACCCAAATTGTTTTTCTGTGAATAAGAAATTATTTTCAAAATATGAATAAATTTGGTTGTATGCAAGTTTTTCAAAAACCTTTGATAAACATGGTAAAATGGATACTGGACGATAGTTTTCAGGATTTCCCGGTGAACCTTTTTTATACAGTGGTTTTAGTTCTGCATTTTTCAGTTGATGTGGAAAAATTCCTTCATCAAAGCATTGATTAATTATCAGACAAAGTGGTTGTGCAATAAAATTAGTTACATTCTTAACTATTTCGATAGGAATCTCATCCCATCCAACAGATTTTTTGTTTTTAAATTTTTTAATAGTTTTTTTAACATCTGACACTGTTATATCTCTGAATAATTGAAAATTTATATCTGAATTAATATAAATTTTATTTGTTAACTCAGTTGCTGTAAGGATACAGGAGTTATTATCTTTGGACACATTAGCAAATTTTTCATTAAAGAGGTTAGCAATGGTTTGACCATCTTTTACCTGTTGATCTTCTACATACACATCCGGGAAGTCTACATTTTTGGCATTTAATACTCCAAGCTCAGACTTCACAACACTCCACACCGCTTTACTTTTGTTATCAGCGCTCGATATTATCTTACAGTTAAACAATTTCCTAGCTTTATCACAAACAGCTTTAAATATTTTCCTGTAGTTTCGGTAATACTTTTGAAAATTAATGTCCTGGTTAGTTTTGGCAATAATACTCAATTGTCTTTTTTTGTTGCTAGATACTTTAATTCCTTTGGTTACCCAGCTTTTTTTAAATTTGTCTTTTTGTAATTTTTTTGAGAAAAACTTTAGTGGAAAACAGTGGTCAAAACTAACTAAAAAGTCATGCATGAAACTATCAAAATTTGTCTGAGCGTCTTTTACAAGTGATAAGTTCCAGTTAATTTCTGAAATACATTTATAAAATAAAGCCTTATTTGTTTGTGAAAACAACCTTCTTTTGCAACCTGTCTTTTCATCCAACAATTTATTTCTTGGAATTTCAATAAATAGTGCCCTATGGTCTGAAAAACCTAATTCAAGATTCATTTTGGACCTCATTATCTATCCTAATACGAGAGATTATTATATTTAAGATGTAAAAGACATTGAGACATTTGGCATTAAATGTAACGTTTAATCAAAAGTTTTGAAGATTTGTAATAAAATAAGTTGTAGGCAAAGAAAAAATATTAATCATCTTTTCTATGAACTGTCTGTCAAAGCTTTTTACTGGATTGATAACTCAATCCTTCAGCTCAAGCTGAGTGATTATGGATCAGTGCAAGTTGTCTATCTCATTGCTGATTATAATACAGCTTCGATAAAAAATAATAGATCTTTGAAAATGCTTTCTTCTCTTTAAAATGTAGTTGACGACATGGAAAGTTGATTCTTGAAGAAAAGATTAAAACTTACTCTTGCTATTACTCCCATGGCCATCAATACCCAAGGTGGTATTTGGCTTCACCAACTAAATGCCTCCGTTTCTTCCGATCTTCAGCATCTTCCTCCATGAATCTTATCTTCCTGATATTTTTGGACACTTCATCTTTCCACCTCATTTTGGGACGCCCAGGAGGTCTTCTTCCAACAGGGTTCTCTTTCCAAACTTTCTTTATTAATGCATCATCTTCTCTCCTTATCAGCCATCTTATTCGTCGACTTTTTGCTTCCGCCACAGCATCTGGTGCTTTATAAAGGTCTCTAATTTCTCTGTTATGTTTGATCCTCCATTCACCATTTTCCCTTGTTGGTCCAAAAACCTTAGTACTTTATTTTCAAAGGTGATGAGTTTTTTTAGATTTATTTTTAGATTAAAACTTAGGTACTCTTAAATAAACAAAAGCAAATTTACTCTTAAGAAAAATATCTCCCACGGTCAAGCCAAAACCCTGAATAACCCTCTGTAGTAACGGAACATCATCATTGTCTTCCACGATTAAATTATTATCTTAAAAATTAAATTAAATTGTCTTGTTCTTTGAAAGAGATATTTTAAATGTTGTATCCGAACAATGTGGAAGACTTCAGGTAAGATTTAAAAATTGAACTGTCATTTATATTTCAATACATTTTAGTAAGATCTAATACTGTTGTTTGACGTAACAGGACAGCACACTGTACCAACATGTGTTCAAAGACGCAGTCCGACCAGCAGAGAAGGCCAATCCAGCTGGGATATCCTTCAACAGCATAGGAGACCTGGCGGTCGCCTGCAAGTCCAGCGTGGTTAACAACAAGACTAACAAAGTGTCCAGTTTACTCAGGTCAGTCCACAGTGGCTTCGGATTTTCAAATATTTGTTACTATTCTGGGTGTCCTACAGACAGGGTTATTCTATGTGGATTTTGAAAACTGAGAAAATTTCTAAAAAGGAGCGCCCAAATTATCCAATAGTACTACAAAATTGTAAGAATTGTAAAAATTAGTTGAGTACGATATTGGATAACCCATGATGCCCATGATTGCGAGACGATTAAGACGTCTGGTTTAAAGAGTTTTGAAAATCTAAAATAAGTTTTATAATTGATTAAAAACTAAGTAAATAATAATGTTGTATTTGATACTATTTTGTATTGTATTTGAATTTTTTTAAATTAGTTTTGAGATACCCCCTCAACTAAAACCCTGAGTGTCCGACTATAACACTTCTTAAATTTTAGTTAACTTAGGCTCTTGAAACGCTTTATATACAGTACCCAAGCAGTTACTAACTAGCTAGTTTTATCTTTTCAATTAAAAATTTTAACCTGAAAATTTTAAATTTAATTTTAGTTTTCATGGCTTATTTATTAGTTAGAATTTGCAATTTGTCAGACGAGCACCAGTGACAAGTGAAGACTTCTGCCAGGCTAACAGTTGGCTGCATTGGTACAACAAACGGCACAACAATGAGGTCAAGTGGCTGCTGGGCTGTGCGCAGGGCTACCAACTGAGTGGCAAACCTCTAGCTGAGCTGTGTGACCACAATGCCAACGTCGCTCGTCAGTTTGGCCGTTTTAGTGTGAGTCATACCTGCGTCTTTTTAAGATTTACCGTCAAAGATATAGATTAGACCCAGGTGTCAATACACAACTTTGTGATGCTGTATTTTTTAAATGATAATTACAATGATTGTGAATTTTTGAATTTCACTGGTGAAAGCTGATTTTAGTGCACTTTTAGCGAATTTCCCATGTAGGGAATAAGCTATTACCGTAGAGGAATAGTAAGACGTAGACTCAGGACCAATCTACTTTAATGTTTTAAAGTCCAGAGAGGCCAAAAACGCCATCAGTTCAATATCTTAACTTATATGTGTCCGTTAGCACGATAACTCAAACACAAATCATTCGATCTTGATAAAATATTGTACAAACTTGTAAACCTACATTTATTCTAACAAATTAGTGAACCAACATGATCGAACTAAATGAGAACAGTAGTTTATGTAAAGTTTTATTGGGTTGAAATTGTTTTTCCCAATTGTTTACCTTAAAAACATATAACTTAATTTTGCAATTTCTTTCTACACTATTTTGTAGAGTTTGATAAAACAAATAATTAAATATATTCAATTAGTTTGGTAAATGGTTTTGTTGAGTTGTTTGATATTAAAAATCATTAGTATCAAAATTTAAGCTTAACATACTTTTCAGGTGAGCCTAGTTTGGAGCATGATCAAGACACTGTACATGCCTCGTACAAGCGATTACCAACTGCAGACTCCCTTAAGAGAGGAGCAGAATGTGAGAGATAGTGGTGGAGGGGAGGAGGAGGGGCATGATAGTGGAGGGGGAACTACCAGTGTGGACGATGTCAATGAACCAGACAGGTCTGTATAAGATAAGTTGTAACAATACAAATTATGAGTCTAAAAATGAATAAATTTAGAATTTTGACAATGAATATAGGCCTAATTAACATAATCAGTTTGTCCAAAGACCAGGAATACTGAGAGTTATGCGTGAATTTATGAAATTTGTTCTCAGGAAAACCTTACTTTAGTGCCTGGATGAATTTAGAAGGGGTTAACACGCAGCGACGGACTGCATTTGGTTGCGTAAATGCTGATGAAACTCTGTTAGAGCATGAAAAACGGACTGTGAAAATATCGTTAATATAGTCTGTGGCCACAGTAAAGTCGTGAACATCAACTACAGTCTTGGCAAAATCATGAATACCTTCTGCTACTGCAAATCCTGAAAATCTTTGGCATCACAGTGACATCGTAGTTGCGTTGCTCACTATCGCGGTAAGACTGTGAATATGGTCTGCGATTGTCATTTCATTTTTCATTCGTACATCTTTGCAAACACTTTCTTTGATTACAGAATTAGAAATGAAAGATACTCAACTCAACTCAACACTGAACTTGGTCCATAATTTTTGGCCCAAACCGACCCTTGGGGCCAAGTGTTGGTCTGACCATACCCAAAAATATCAGGGACCTGTAGACCCCTATAAAAAGGTACACTAACTGGAAATCACAACCTCAAAATTGTGGTTTTACTTCTGGGAATACCGAGAAAATGTGTGAATTCTTTTCCAGGATCTGATATCTCCTGGTTCTTTTATAACTTTGGCAAAACGTAAATGACTTAATTGGGGAGCAAGGTGGTCTAGTGGTAGAATGTGGGGCTTTGGCCATAGGTTCTGGGTTCAAATCCCCTCAATCACCAATGAAGTTTAGGCCTATCCTGTGAACAGTTCCAGGCTAGAGTGAGCGTGCTGGGATATGAACAAAGTTGGGTTTTAATAAAACATACAATAAATAAAGCTATGGAGCTAGACAAATTAGCTCCTTTTTCTTGTATAGTCCATTATTAATTATCAATTATTTAAGATATGGGGACACCACTATGTGCACATTTTAACCCAAATATGAAATAAGGATGAGTGTAGGATGGTTACTGTCGATAACAAATAAATAGTGTAGGCCTACAATTATAAGATCCCTTAAATAGTTTTTTTTCGTATTAGCTTCTTGATTTGATATAAACTTCTTGAGATTTTTTGAGTTTAAATTTTGTTTGAACTATACCTAGTAACTGACAGTTGTTTGTTTTTTATTTTAGCGAAGATATAAAGGACAAGAAGACTCGCAAGTTGCGGCTTGAAGACTTAAAACCCAATTCCCATTCTTTGGGCGATTTCTTCTTCGGTGATGGGGAAATGGACCCATTGAGCATGGACTTTGAGCGAGGAAACAACATCGGACTGACCGTGGACTCTGTTGTGACGGATTGGACGTTGCCTATCGAGGCATTTCCCCTCCGTCACGAGATAAAGGATCGGTCGCCTCCGCCAGAACAGTTCCCTAACAGTGAGTCACCGGAGCCTGTGGAAGGTATGGACGTTGATATACATAACTTTAAAATGGACGTATGGTTTATCTGTACTTCGTAGTGTAAAGGGAGGATAATGGAAAATGTTGGGAACACTCGATTAATGATTCTATTTTTCAGTGTAAAGCCAAGTGTAAGGCTAGGAATTATTTTGAAGAGGTTAAATAAGCGTACCTGGAAAATTACTAGTGGCTAATAGTTTTTCACTTCAATCTACTCTTAGAAGACGTCCTATAATAGGACAAAAGATCATTGTAGTTTTCTGTGTTCTGTGATATTTTATTCTTGTATCCATCCATTACATTAGTCCCTGGGCTCTAATTACTTTAATGACTTCATGATTAAATAGCAGTTAATTGGTTTGCACAATTCAGTACCACTGCAAATTTATACTTTAATTTCCCATTGCATTTTCTGATTTTCTCTTTTTCTCAGATCATTCGGTTACTTCCTAACATTTACCCCTCCAGTTCCATAAATTTTCAATATCTGTACAAATAATCTATTGGCACAAAGTTTAACGTGGTAATGGTACACAGTGTAAGGTATAGTAAGACTACTTTAACCTTTCTGCTGAAGGGATTTACTATTTTCCTTGTTTAAAATAGTAATAGTGCACGTACAGTCTTAATGATTGGTATTTAGAGGAGTGTTTAGATCAATTTTGTGTAAAGTCTTGTTCATTTCCTCCTTTGATTTGTGTAGTATTAACTATCCCTCAGAGTTAATACAGCTTGGAGAAAAGTTTTGTGTAGGCCTAAACTTTAAAATTCATCCATCAACTACTTTTTAAATAACTTTTTGCATGAATACACTTTTTGTATCTATTTTTGTTTTTAAATTTTATTTGTGGTGTAGGTTTTTAACTTAGTGTTATCTATTGTTTCTGTAGTTTTCCTAACTGTTGTTGCTTGCTTTTGCACTCTTGATAATGAGGCTTGTGAAATGATTTCAAATCAAGAATATGTTTTTTCTCAATAGAACCTTTATAACTGTAAATGTTATCCAAATTATCTATTTTTGTCATTTTAAACAATAACAAATGTAATATATTATAATTAAATTATCAGGTCCATATATTTCTGACAAGGAAATCAATTCATGATTGCCAGAATGTCAAAAATGCTCACATTTCAAATACACGGTTAAATAACATTTTAAAATTTGTATGGGTTTTACAATTTTTTAAAGTAAGTAGAGTTCAATTAAAATACTATAACCATTTCAGACCTCAAGTAAGTCATTGTTTTTTTTAGTAAATAATTCTTACTCTATTCTTTAAATGGCAATTAATAAATTTAATTAATTATAGTAATTAAATTTTTCTCTCATTTTGTTATCGTTTGATGTTATCGGTGAATCAGGTATTCAGCCACAATTTTGACATTTATAAAAGATACTTTTGCAAAACCTGTAAAATAACTACTAAACTTAATTTGCCACTCAACTTCAATTTGCAACTTCAAACTTGCTTCAACTAATTCATGTCAATTTGTATTTGTATACTCAAGTTCCCTAACTTTGGTAACTTTGGTAACTTTGGATTTTTAATCCATAGACAATTTTTTTATCAGATCTATGTCAGCATTTTTGACATATATACAAGGACTGCCCAGAAAGTAACAGATGTTTTGCAATTGCGCCGCTAGAGGCAGTGCTATTGCTGCCATCTTTGCTTTAGAGCGTTCCCACATTCAGTATAGATCTAGCTAGTATAGAATAAGCACAGAAAACATACTACTATAACCCAGAATGCCAACCGCATGGTAAAAAGCATTAAGTGTTTTGAGAGAGCCTTGCCTGTCAATCGTAGGCAGCGCCACCAGCGTTGCCATGCACTCAGCATAGCAACGCTGGTGGCGCTGCCTACCAATTGACAGGTAAAGCTCTCTCAAAACACTTAATGCTTTTTACCACGCGGTTGGCATTCTGGGTTATAGTAGTATGTTTTCTGTGGTATAAGAGATATCTTATACTTTGTGTTTGCAGTGGAATTTTAAAATTAACGATGTCATTGCAAATCCTGCCAGTTGTGAGGTATGCTCTGTGATAAGTTTTTGTTGGTGAAAAATTTAAAACAAATTGAAATAAATTGCCAGATATGTGATGTTTATGGCAAAGGAGTGATAGTAGACAATAGAGCATTCCTAGTAATTAAAAGATATCTGATTTCTGGATAAGGTTTGGTGAGAAAGGGCTTATTGCCTGGGAATAGGTGTGAGAAAGGATAGGATAAGCAGGCTTACCCTAAGAAATGTAGGCATCCCACTTCATTCTCTACAGAACACTGAAGAAAACACAAAACAAAATAAACACTGGATATTTCGAGGCCACTTATTCATTTGTAAATTCATAGTGTGCTGGCAACACTGCTTCGTGCTTCCTTACCAGTGAAAAACCCCAAATATCTAATGTGACTCTCCATGTTGAGAAAGGGGCCAGTGGCCTCGAAATATCCAGTGTTTATTTTGTTTTGTGATTTCTTTTGTGTTCTGTAGTGAATGAAGTGGGATGCCTACATTTCTTCAGGAAAGCCTGCTTATCCTATCCTTTCTCATACCTGACTTCTGGATAAATGTTCCCGATCAGTACCACAGCGTTAGGCCTAGTCTAGAGGCTGTTGTACTGGTCGGGTAAGTCAACAACTGAGTGTAGGAACCCTCTGATACTATGATGGGGACAAAAACACCACCCAAGCGGCGCTAACGTGAAACGTCTGTTACTTTCTGGTCAGCCCTCGTACAATAGCCAGTTGCACTTGTTATGTAATCTTTAGCACACATTTTCACTTTTCAGGAAGTCTGTGGAAAAACTGCTTAATAAGACGATCTTCTCTATCAGGTACTTTTGTATGTTTTCTTTTTCTCTTGTAAGTGGAAAGCTTCTCTTAACTAATTTTCTTGTTTTCTTCATCTATTTGACAATAGATAAGTTTTGTAAATATGTACATAGTTTGTTGATATTGTTAATGTTTGTTACAATTTAATGGTGTTAGGTGTTAAGTAATAAATTTGAATATAGTTCGGCCGCTTAGAAAGCGACCTCCTCTAGCATTGGTTTAGCATTAGCGCACAGGTCGCTTTCTAAGCGGCCGAACTATAGTAGTGTGATCCATTTGTTTATTTCTTACTCAGCTGATAACTGAAATAAGATTATCGTAACAATTTAATTTGCTGCATTACATTACAGTTAACTCTCTTGTCCAGTTTACTCAACCAATCTGTAATGTATTTTCATTTTTACATTAAGGGCTTAAGCAGTGCAAAGTCTGAATTCTAAAATGTAATTCAACAATAATAAGTCAATGTCCTTGCATGGCAGTAAAACCATGTGAATACCTTGATGACAGTGCAAGAAGCAATATCATTAGGTATTGGCTTGTAGAGTTAATAAATAATAGGCAAAAGTAAAATTCTTATTGCCCTTCTTAAGAATGGCTAGATGTGGTTTAGATCGGTAATCATTTGTGTTCAAGCTTTGTAATCACAGTACGGATGTTACTGCAAATCGTTTTAATGTTTTATTTTGCTCTTATTATTGGCTTTATTAGATTTCTATGAACTGGCATAATTCACTTGCCACAGATATTATAAATAACTTATGTCTAAAACGAGTGACCCATAGTGCATAGTCAATGAAATAGTAATTTATTCAGTGTTCCAAGTATTGTGATTTTGACAAAGTCATCATCATAGAAAAAGAATGTACAGTAAAACTAATTAATTTTATGTTAAACTTAAGAAAACAGCATTGACAATGTCTATTTTAATACTTGTATTTTTGTATTACTTAATATTAATAATCAAAAATACAGATCTTAAATCTTGAATAAAAGTATCATAATAAACTCCAAAATTCCAAATGGTAATTTAATTTTGAAGCTGCCAGCTATTACAAATCAATATATGCTCAACAATTATCATATCATTTTATCTTTCGGTATAGGCAATATTTTACAGCAATAAAAAAACGCAGATAACAAAACACTAAACCAAACAGCAATCTTCAAAGGTATAACATATTTATTAAACATAAATATATGATTGAAACCCCCAACCTTATCTTATTATGAAGCCATACCGTTTACAAAAATAACTGTTTTATTCGATAACGTTCTTCAGCAATGAAACTTCATAAAATTTAACAAATTTTGTTATTTGATTATATTTTTTTTAAAATCATGACATCAAACCCATTTGTGTGTTCATCATAGCAGACCAATGCACTCATGGAACAAAATAGTTATTATCTTATGCCTGGATCTAAGTGTAAATTATATTTTTTATGTACCTAATTGGATACAAATTCATCAAAACAACTGGAAATTAATTTACATGCAGGTTTGCTACTACAGGGGTATTTAATCTATTGGGGTTAAGCAAGTGTATAAACCTTATAGGTTACTTTGGTGAGTCAGTGGCTCAGTCGGTAGCGCCACAGACTTAGGGCCCGAGGCAGCAATGTTGTGGGTTCAGATCCTGGTACCTGTCATATTTTTTTTATCAGTACAGTTCACCTTGTACTGTACCGGATCACCCCTTACTTTGCTGGATATGTTCCACACACAGGTTCATAGCCTACGTGAGCGGCTAAATGCAAGGTTAAAATCAAACCACCAACCTTACAAATAAATTTGTTAAGATCATACAGCTTCAATGAATAACTATGTAGTAAACTATTGTTCAATAATGTATTGTATATTTGATCATCTTTACCAATATTTTATGCTGGTAATAACATCAGTTTTTTCACACCTCTAGTGTGATGTTTTGCACATCTCTATGTGCTTTCTACGCTTTTGCAATCTGAATAATGGAAATGAGCTTCAATTGTATTTATTGGCGAGCTTTAACAAACATGATCTTTGTTGAAATATGTGTTTAAGAATGAGATAAAAACGCAAGTACATATAAATGGAATTGCGATTTACTTCCACTTAACTCTTTACCAATCATGAAATTCCTTGGTAGCGACAGACTTTTAGCTGGCTATGAATGCAAGGTGAGAGTAGACTGGAGTGGGTCGACCTGTGTAGCTTTTTTACTGACTCGTATTGAGTACAAGCTTTGTCCAGATCATTGCAAAAGCCCAATGATTAACCCTCCGAGTGTCATGCGTCGCTGCAGCGACGCGTAACGCACTTTGTATAGTGTCGTGCGTCGCTGCAGCGACTCGCGAACACTGTTTACGGCGAAGGCTCTATGACTAACTGAATCGGACTGTACTGGATTGAGTTAGGTATCGTTCTGTCCGTAATATTCTAAGCTTTCTGCAGAGGTCTGTCTCTAAGCACTATTCATTTTAGTTCCGAAAATATTGTAGCAGACAGCTGACTGAGCTGACGTGCGTGTATTTGTAAACAGCTAGGTTACCCTCGGACCGATGACTGATGTGTTTTATTACGTTTATCATTGTTTTAGTGTTAAAAATCAAAAGTAGTGATATACGTGGTGCATTATAAGAAGATTTAAGTGGTTTTGAAGTGCTGGTTGATGATCCTGAAGAAGTAGGTAGTAATATTGATGTAAATTATCAGCCAGATTCCTAGCTATGGTTGGGCTATGCATTCTTAGCTAAACGCTATGTACTGAAATCTGTTTTTTGCCCATAACTTTTTTATTTGCAAATCTACTTCCTTATATTATTATAGATTTGTAATCCTCATAAAATTTAGAACAAAGTGGCTATTTTCAAATATTTATAGGCCTATAATTTATACAATTTCATTGAGCGCAAACTTATTTTTTTTTGAAAATTTTCGAAATTATACATTTTTTTACCTAAAAATTTTTTTTTTTTTTAAATCTTCCTTATGTTTTATATATAATATTGAAGCCCAAGATTTTCCAAACAAAATGGTATATAGAACAGTATAATTAACATTGTTTTTAAGCTTCTCAGATCAGTTTTAATAAAACCTTGCAAATGAGCAAAAAATAGGCTGACATTAAGGCCAAAACACGTGACACTCGGAGGGTTAAAGACAGCAGGCAATTTACATTTCTCAGGATCAAACTGGGGACCTATTAGGCCAGTACTATAACCACCCAGCTACCCATTTCCATCGGATAAAAGTTTAAATAGTTCACTTAACATTTTGTCCTGGACTAATCCCGATTTGGTTGATGGTTGGTCCAATAAAAAATCAAATTTTGTTCCAAACAGTAAACTTAATCTTTAAAAGAGTATATTGTAATAGGCCTATATCAGTATAGTGAGAAATATACCATACCCTGTTTTATATGACGAGTAATATCATGGACTTTTGGATTCTTGAAATGAACCTGGAAAAATGTACCATTTATAGCCATTTATAAAAATATTTAATAAGAATATGAATTTAGTTTAATGAGCCACTAACAGGTTGTGCTGCAGTCTAAAAATCTACTTTCACCCTCGTTTTTTGTTACTGTGAAGCTTATGTGATTTGACCGATGCGATGCTGTTGTTGGGCATTTGAAAGAAATCAGTAATTTACATCTGCTGTGAGAGGCTTAATTCAACTGCATTAATTTTTATTCAAAAACTGTTTACAATTGGAACACAAGATTGGAATGTCTAGTTCTATCCGTAGTCTTAAGATACATTACACAAATCAAGATAAACAATCGTAGGACTTCATACAAGATTCAATACTTAGAATTTCTAAAATCTATATTCACAGACACTACGATTCTGAGTGGTGAAGAACCTTCGACGGCGCTGCTCACTGTCAACTGCCTGGTGCGACCAGTAGCGTGGGAGCCTGGCACTGTGGTGGGGGAAGCCTTGACACATCATGCGGCACGCGGCGACGTCCAGACATCTGTATCGGTAAAGATTATTGCCATTGAGCATGTTCATGCTTTGTACTGTCCGTAAAGTAGGAAAAGGAAACTTCCTCATCACTTTAACGTCAATTTTAAATATTGTGAAAATAGATAGAATCAAGTTAAAACAGCTGACTGTTATGAACATTCATTGTACAGAGTAGTAAGCTAATAAAATAGGCTTGGTTTCATGGTTGAATTACTGAAGTTTAGCTCATTCCCTTTTTACTGTGCTAGGAAATGTTTTACTATGTTAATTCTGCAGCTTTTGAAATGTGTTACACTAATCAGTAGTTTGCAGTATCTACTTTTCCTGGAGTGTTAAATATTGTTAAGAAAGTATGAAAATGTTGGTGATTGCACAATAGATTATTACGATGTTACTCGAAACACAAGTGACAAATCCTAAGTCACAAAGTATCAAGAATTGACTATTTCCATGATACCACTGGTATCAAAGGATTTGAGAAATTGTGTATCAAAATCCGTTCAGCCCATATTTAATCTTTACATTATTAAACCCTGGCAACAAACAATATCTTGGCTATTCTATTTCCACACTGTGATCGGCAGGTCCTGTTGGTGCTGGGAGAGAGACGGAAGACTCTAGAACACTGTCTAGATGAGACGACACAGGAACACTGGTTGTTGGCTTATATAGACCTGCTGTCACGCTACAAGCTGTGGAACATCTGTACACAGGTCTGTGTTAAATAGTTTCAACTGCCCTGTTGTTGATAGTTTATCTGACCATATGACAATTTTGTTTGTTCACTTTTAAATTTGAAAAAAAGCTATTCGTGATCTTATTCCTTCATTCATCACGTTTCATTTTAGTCCATACACTCAACAAAGTTCCCGAAAAATAGATGGTTAAGAATTTGGATATGTTTTTCTGTTGATAAGTATGTAATACATCCAAGTAACATCCAAGCTTTGTGTGATTATATATTGTGTCACAATTTAACACACTCTCACACAAAATATTTTTTTATTTGTCTATAAATTAATTTTGTCGGTTATGTCATTAATGTCTTATATCATATAGACTACATATATAAAAAAAAATATCCATGTATATTCAACCAAAATAAAAGAAAAACATCTTTGTCCTCTTTCTCTATACTAATGTAACAAGAAACATATCAAGTGTTACTTCTCCCAATTAAACTCACTTTTAGGTGAGTTTATCTTTATTTTTATTTGCAAACTGTAATTAATAAGTTTATTCTGCAAAATGTTAAACTCATTTTTTTTAATTTTCAACCTCAATTTGCAATGTTTGTCGAGTGAATATTAAGAGTTAATGAGCCTTATGTGCTAATAATAATGGCTGGTTGTTAATTATTTACCAATATCCGTTATTTTAATATGTTTCTACAACTTGTATTGGGCTTTTCTTATAAGTAGCCTATAATAGACGCCAGGAATTCTGTACTTTCGAGCCGGGAAAACCGGGAAAAATATGTGAATTTCGTTTATAGATTCTGCTGACAACCTTGTGACTGAGGTGAGCACCAATATAAGCACATGTCGCTACTAGCGCTTGCAGGTTGGATCTTACCAACTACTTAGCGTCAGTAGGTTAGCAGTAAGGCTACCTCGCCGACAAGCTACAGTCACAATCAATGGTTTAAAACCCTGCAAAATAGAAATAAGCAATCAATCAACCTTCACTCTACTCCTGCTGTGTGCACACTAACATATTGTGTACATCTGTGCAAAATGAATGCATTACCTTACAGTAGTGGACTTCCTGTACTGTGCCAGTGTCTGAACATTTGTTTCTTTCCAGCTTTCATAGACATGACAATGTATCACTTATTCGTCATTAATGCTATGTCATTCCCAAAGAGTTGTTGGACCTCCAGATAACTGTATAGGACCCTAGATAACTCAACATGGTTTTTTTCTATCACTTGTTACTAGGTCAAAGTTTACACAAAATCTGCTTCAAATAACCATAAAATCACTAGAATGTGTAGTAAACTAATATAATGTCTACTTGACAGGTTATCCAGCTGTCTTGGGTGCCGTCAGTAAGTCAGCTCAACCAGCAGTCCACCACGGTTTACACAGCATGCACACAATGTCACAAACCTCTGTTGAGGAGTGGCTGGTTGTGTGACCGTTGTCACTCGGCCACTTGTGGCGTATGCAGTGTTTGTAATCAGGTAAGTCAAGACAGACAGTGTGACCCGTTAAGGTAAGGAATCTAACAAGCTAGTTCAAATATGATAACAGCGCCACGTTCTTTAATTCATCCACCACTATACTAGTTGTTCCCTGCCCCTATTAGAGAAGTAGTCTAGGTTTAGTAGCCAAAAATTATGTTAAAGAAAATTGATGCTCCTGACAAGAAGGCTTATGAACAGTTGGCCCAAGAGATTGGTTCGGGTAAAAAAAATGTTCAAGCCAAGCTTGGGTGGGTTAAAGCCAAGCTGAACTTTTATTTTTGTATTCCAGAAAGCTTTTGCAAAGATCAGTGATTGAAAATTGAATATTTTACCTTCATTGCGGGTGTTGTTCATAGTATGGCCACAATTGTGAAAGACTATGATGATATTGCCTTGACTGCAAAAGATGTTAAGAATTTTGCCTTGGGCGCAGATCAGGTTTCCGATCTAGCCGTGATCTTAGAAGATGTACATGTACATAATTTACACTGTAAGTGTGGAAGATGTTCTCAATTTTACTGTGACAGCATATGATGTTTGTGATTTTGCCGTGACCGCAAAAGATGTTCACATGTTTGCCATGACTGAGGAAGATTGTCACAATCTTGCTGTGACCACAGAAAATCCCTAAATATTTCACATTTGTTGAATAGTTTATCGGTCAGGGAAATACAGGGCGAAAAATGTCTCCTGCCTTAGTGTAATCATCATTATAATCTCCTGTGGCCAAATATTTGACATTTCTCGCGGTCGCAGGGACATAATCATTGTCTCCTGCAATCATGGAAGCGTTATCGCTGTCAGTAATGATCTCAATAACAAACAAAATCTTGGACATCTTCCACAGTTGTGTAGACATCATCATCGTCTTCCGTGATTAAGTCTAATCTACATTCCACATTGTGTTTGTCCACAGGTTGTACGTGGTCTGTACGTGTGGTGTCAGGGTTGTGAGCATGGTGGTCATGTCTCACATCTACAGCAATGGTTCTCTGACAACCGTGTATGTCCTACTGGCTGTGGTCATGTCTGTGAGTTCTCGTAGTCTAATCTACATTCTACCACCTTGTCTTACTGTATACGACTATGTCTGATTCCTTTTAAACCAAAGTTTCTTTTAATTTATTATATTTATTTCTGTTGTTGATGACAAAATCACAGGCCACACAATTAGGCCACACTGATTAGTTAAGACAGAAATGGATTTTTAATGTTAAATCTTGGGTGTATTCAGTTTTGATTTTGTAATAGCCTAAATCAATTAAATTTATAATCTTAAAACCAAGTAATATGTTGAGAGATTTTAGACAAGTACGTTTTGTTCCCAGCGATTAAAAATACCCATGGAACTGGGACTATGACAGAATGTATGGATAACAGTTTCTTCATAAATTACTAGTTTGGAATTTTAAAATAATTTTTGAAAGAAATAACACTGTACACATATGAATACTGTGCATATAGTTTATTTGATTTACAGTAGGCCTATAAAAATTTTAACATACTGTATTTTGTTAAAAAAAACTGTGATGCAGCAAAAATCTAAAGTAAAAATAGTGAAATACACATTTTAATTGATGAATAAAAGAGCTTGATTGTTAATCAAAGTTCACTGTCCAAAGCTGAAGTCAAATTGAAGTAAAAATATAAAGAACTTAGGGTCTGTAGAATAAAAGAATTGAAATAATATCCCACAAAAGTTGCCAATACTTTTAGTACTAAAACATATCTGTGGATGGTCAAGTGTTTCTTTCTGTGTTACTCTCTGTAGGTACAATAGTTGAGTTTGAGCATTGCCTTCATTTGTCGACCAATAAAAAAAGGTATTTTTCGCTACACTACTGTGAAATCACTTGTTTTCGTCATATGATTATCACATCATTACGCTGTTTACCATGTGAAAATAATGTTAACTAATTACTGCTATGAGTTTTGTAATCTACACAACTGTAATCATCGTAGTTTTCATTACTAGTTTCGAAAGTGACTTATTATGGGGAGAGATTGCATTTACATGGAAAAAGTTATCGAGCCCCGAAATTGCACTTTTAAGACGAGCATTGAACATTATTTTTCATTACGATATTGAATAACATGTAAACAACATGAATATTTTTGTTAATTCAACTTAGTATAAAAAAAAAAAAAACCGAACTCTAACGCTGAGTTTACGTGCTTATGTCAAGGTACATACGGACGGAAACTCAGCGTTATGAGTTATTACAAAATGCAATAGCAAATAATACAACAGCTGATCAGTCTGCACAGCAAAATCCCATAACGGTTACTTTCCGTTCCGTGCACCACAAATGCACAGAAAGTTAACATTATGTAATTTTTCCGTGCAGTAGCAGAAAGAACCTATTTTATTTGCTCATTTATGTTTAGAAAATGTACTTTTGTGTGTAGAGTAATAGAAAAAATATTCAATTTTTGTTTTAGTTCAGAAAAAATTATCTTTGTAGTGTAGTGAAAAGTAACGTTCAAAATATAAGTGAAAGTGGGTCTATACATATTCTTGACCATATTATTTTAAGTGCTCGATTTGATATATGTAATGACTCACTTTCTACCCTTTTTATGAAATATATTATTTGGCTGTGCAATTTTTTGCTCTTGTACAAAGACAGTCAATAAAAAGTAATTGCATAAACATTTCATTTGGTCCAAAATATTCGCTTTATTCCTAAATTTCCATTGTTTTACATGGATGGAAACAAAAACTTATCTCATTTCAGAGAGATTTCACTTTGATTCATTATGATGGGATTATTTGTCCTTAAACTTTGTGTTTTCTATTACTGTTCATCTCAAGGTTATACTTGACCAGATTAAATTACTTCCTATTGTTGTTCTCGTTCCAAGTCATCGTCCAGTATTAAGTTTATTTTTTGTCAAATCTTAGCCAGGACTCTAAACTAAGTGACCTTAACAAGTTGAATTTTTTACATTTTCAGCCCAGTTGTGTTAATTTTCCTAAACTAAACCACACGATTTAACAAATTTTCATTTAATGGAAACAGTAACCAATTTTATTTGGGACGTATCCTGAGAAATATTTTAATCAACGTTCAAAGATCAATAAAATGTTTAACAAATTATGAATCTTTACTCCTTAAAATAGTTTTTAAGCAATATTCTGCCAAACTATGTCTCATTGTTTTTTTTTATATTGGAACATTTTTTTTTCTTAATTTGTGTAGTGCCAAACTATAGTAATAGTATTAATTTTGATGTAGTTAAATCTAATGTTTCAGGATTTACAAACATTTAACATTCTTTTTGCAATATAGAAACTTTGTTCTGAAAAAAATTTCATATTAATGTGCTAGTTTCTTATCAAAGGCAATCCCTCCCAAAGATTCAGTTCCTCTTCAAAACTTATCATCCTAAATTAAGTCAAATGATGCAAGTCTAAATTCATGTTGCTGTTTACTTTGTTAAAATGGTGAATAACTATAGAGCAATATTTTATAAGTAATAATAATATAACTATATGATTCTCTTATGTTTCAATCTTACTTAATTCTTACTAAGGTCTATGTTTCCTATTTAAATCATAATTTCATGTTAATTTATTTATTGTACATACTGTAAACAAGTTGTAAATAGTTTTAAGTTTTGTAATAAAACAATTGTTAACAAAAATAATGGTTTTATTAGTTAAATCTTAATCTCTTAGATTTTGGTTTATGCAGCACTTTCAACTAATAATACTTTTACAGTACTAGCTGTACCCGCGGGCTTTGCCCCGTTTAACTTCATAAGTATTCGCATGGCTCATTCACGTCCTGGTTGGAGCTCGTTCGCTGCGCTCACTTGCCTTCAGATTAGCTCGTTCGCTACACTAACTCGCCTCCAGGTTGAAGTTGGTTCACTACGCTCACTCACCTTTTGGTTAAGAATTAGCTGTTGTCATAAATAATAATAATAAAAAAAATAGCACTGCACCCTGTTGGTAATCCTTGTAACTTTTATGCTATTGAACATCATAGAACAGAACCAACTTGTTTCATTGAAACAGCTGTTAAGATTCATTAATTCCTTTTAAATATGAAAAATCATAAGGTTGACATGGGGAACTACAGAGCCACTGGGGCGGAGCCCGAAAGGATTTTTGAGATAAGAATATGCTTTAATGTTAATCGAGAATGTGAGCTATCATCATGCCAAATTTCAGCGCAATCCGTCCAGTAGTATATGCGTGATTGAGCAACACACACACACACAAACTCACAAACTTTCAGATTTATAATATTAGTAAGATTTTACTACTAGTCTCAAGAAAAGGACCCATTATGGTCCAAGATTTTGGTTTACAAGAAAGCCGAATGCAGAAACAACTTTCAAAGCCTAAAATGGGACTTGACGACTTTTGTTACGAGTAGTGACTGAATATTTTTCATAACATTACAAATAATATTAGTAACACAACACATTTTGGTTTGAAAAGATGACATTTTATTTTATAGATTGGTAATTATCTTAAATGTTTTTATAGCAAGATTTTATTTTGCAATTTATGTAGTGTTGGCTGACTTTGCTAACCAAATTTTACGTTCATAAAAATTATTATAGTTCAGTGGAATGTTAATTTACATTAACATAGCTGTGTTTTATTGTTAAAAATATTAGTTGAAACAAATTTTGAAAAAATCTTAAGATTTTTGCAATTTAGGATTACGAAATGAAGTGGTGAGTAGTTAAGTGTTCATGCAGAATTATCAGAGCTTTCTGTCTTGATATTCTTTAAGTCATCTATTGACTTAGTGCTTAGCTTATACCCATATACTCTCTTAACAGAAGCAAGGAAGCAGACATTCAATTGTTCTTCCATTATAAAAACAACAGTATTAATAGCCTTAGTTGACATAGTCATCACCAATCAATTTGGAGTTCACATTTGGTTTTGTTGTTTTGTTTATTCGCTTGATTTTCTGCTATTCATGTTGAAAACTATATTATGTATCCATAAAATTGTACTTCTTTTTTAGATTTAAGACCGTTTTAAACTTTGTTTTTAAAATCTTTAGATTTAGACCAAATTGTGTTCCAAACATTATTTTTCTTGGTTATTAGTTTTTGTAGTTTTCTGTCATTTAGAATACTAGATGTTATTAGTTTTTGGACTTTTGGGTCATTTAAGGCTTTACATGCATTACAAACAACAGTTTCCCAATAAACATCTGTATTCAATTAACAGTAATAAAGTTTACCAAGTTATCGTTAATTTAGTATCTTTCAGTATATTATTAATTTATTCTTCCTCGATTACATTATGACTTACTTTTACTTATGGTACCACTTTTTATTAAATTTTTTAGACATTTTTCATTGTCTACGCCAATGGCTATTCATTATAAGGAAGTACAAGGAAAAGCTGTCCAAAGTTCATTTTTCCATTTTCCATTTTTGTGTTTGTGCCGGGGACCAAACCCGAACTCTCATATTTTTGTGAGTCAAAATTTTATTCTACCACTTAATCTTAACTAACAACATGGTAACAAACATTACTGCCAGACCTTATAAAAACACATTTATTCTAAGCTGTACAGAGAGGTCTATGCCATTTCACCAGGTCTAAATATGAGATTATAGTTGTCAGAAGCAGAGGGTCCGGCTTGCTCAAAATGGAAAATGACTGGCGCTGGTGCCGGCGCCGGCGCTGCCACTGCCATCTGTAGTGCCAGGATGACCCCTTGTAACACACAGTGCCTTCTAAGTGAACGTGAAGCCACAATTTACAAGTTAGGGATCGGAAAAATACATGACGATCTTTTCAATTTGCTAACAACTCTCTACAAATGTTTTTGTAGGTGTGAGGCACAGATTTTGTGTGTAGAAGTATTTTCAGTAAGACTCGCATCATGTTTGTTTACAAGTGTGTTTTATTTAGAGTGTATTATGTTTGGTATTTTTTAAATGTTTTTTTTTGCATTCCAACAATTTTTGGTGTTTCGTGATTCCTACGGATTGGATGCTGTGTTATATATGAAAAATGTGTTTCCTATACATTTGCCAACATATTTTATGATTGTTTTTTTAAACAGATTCTACTAAAATATAATTTTAAATCGTCAAATATTTGGCCACACCCTTTAAAGCATATAAATTTCAACTTTCATCAGTTAGTGCCAATTTCAACAAAGTAAAAACCTCATTTTAATCGGCACTTCACTAGTTTGAAAGTCAAATGGGAATATGATGAAGACAACGTAATACAACAGTATTTATTATTAACTGTTATAAGTTAAAAAATAACTAAAACTATATTCCCATTCTCAAGAAAAGCTCTTCTTCATAATTATGTCCCGGAGCAGGGCCTGCAGGGGCGTAATATGCGGAAATGGCAGGGTCGGCTCGGCCAGAAGGCGATGGTACGGCTACCGGCCGGGGCAGACAGGATACTTGTTGGCTCAGAAGTAGGCCTTGCAACAAGCAAACTCATTTTTCTACGTGTAGTTAGCCGCTACAACTAATGTTACACTAACACCAGTCACTTCCCGGTATGTAAGTCCATTTGAAGCCCCACTCTACCCTAAACTATGAAAAAAAGCCTGCTACTAACGTTAAATTCGGCTTGTCAGATCGAATTGTCAATTTCTAAGATACCTTGCGATTGGTTCTACTTTTTCTCTTCAGCTCACATCATTGGAAGAAATCGTTGCACTTATGGTCGATTCAGCTTGTCGGGTCGGCTTGTTGGCTTCGAATTGACAAGCCAAATTGAACGTGTATCACAAGCGTAAAATTTCCTATTGAGATTTAATTGTTTTTATGATAATTGGTTTGGAATGACAAATTGTAATCAGGATTTGGTAAACTAAAGTACCAGACTTTAACTAGGTTTTTTTACATTATTGCATTTTATCATCTCAGCTATGTTTCTAAAATTTAATTTTTAGCTATGTTTCTGTTATTTAAATTTAAAATTTAATTTAATAAATAATTTTGAATTTAGAAATATAAAAAAAACCATTTCATATTTCTGAGAAACAGTTTTTTTCAAATAGGCTAGAAGAAAATCACGAATATCTGTTTGGAATAGAGTGGTAGAGCAGAGCCTCACATGTTATTGTGTTGGAAATTATAAATTGGTAGAGTTCAACTACATAGTCACTGATGTAAATGATATGATGGATTTTTATCATTGGGAAAGATATATTTTAGTGTATGTTGTACACAGTGTGAATGTACTAGACAACGCACAAAATAATTTCTTCTTCAAAACACTAATGGAATGTTTCTTGGGAGCATTTTGTCATTGATCTGTTATAATATTTTGTACTTCTCAGTATAATTCAAATCTTACCTTTTACTCTTAAATCAATTAACTAAATCACACTATCTTGGATCTTCCTCATAATACCAAGCTAACTATTTACTCGAAAGCATGGAAATAGTGTTCTAATGAAATGGAGCTATTATTTATTTTAAATATATTTAGTGCATATGGCCTTTTGTTATCAAACATTCTATATGGATCCTACATAAATATGCGTCTACCATAGTGTACCGTAATACAGTTAGTCTTTAAATACGTACACTTTATCAATTTTGCCATGCTCCAGCAAAGGAAGCAAAATACGAAATTTAAACAATATGTTTTATAGTTAAAAATTATTTTTTGTAAATTTATTTTTGTTCAATGTAAAAAGATGCAGTTGTAAAATTAAAAACACAATAGAAATAAGTTCCTGAAGGGTCTTCTAAGGTATTGTTTTAAGGAAACTTTTGTTGCTCATAAATGTGAAATTCCAAAGTTCAGATGAACACGGAGTCTCTCATAGCGGTATTTAAAAGCCACTAATGTTTCTTTTGTAAATGAACTTCACTTTCCTTAAATTGTTCTTGATAATCTTATGTCATTTATTCATATTAGTAAAGTAATGTTTTAACATAAAGTTATGAATTAAGGAAAGCAATTTTTATCAAGAAAATTAACTGACTCGATCATCAACCCTTCAATCAAAAAGCTACTAAGTTAAAACTTCCACTTAAAATTTCAAAAATATTTTGATGTACATTTTAAATTTATGAATCATGTTTGGAAGAATATTTTATACTCATCTTTTACAATGAAAATAAAACAATCCTTACCTAATAAGACAACAAGAACCGCCCTCCACATGGTAGAATCTCGTAAGTCGGTAATCAGTATGTACAAGTCTTATCAGGTAGACCTCTCTGTGTGTACTGAGAGTATGAATGTAAACATACTGTACAATAAAGATAACGGTTGTTAGTTATTGATTCTAACGTTTTCCTCCTTGTGATAAGACTGGTAGCACGTCAAACAATTTATTGGATAACAATCAAAAGAATAGAGAAAAATAATGTAGTCAGAGTTTTTCTTTTAATGGTCTATTCTATACACTTGATTTGTTTCTGTATGGTGGTAAACAAAATAGGCCCTAAGCATATTGTAAAAGGAAAACGTAAATTGGAAGTAAACTGTCTTGTGCATTGTAAAACATGGCAGTTAAGATACATCCCCTCCTACCTGTAAAATGTCTCTGCAGACAAATTTTCAAACATACAGTTGTTATTATTTATTTGGTAGATTGTGATGTAAGTAACTATCTCACTGAGTGACTTAGAGGAAATATAACAAAAGCTATGGTTTTGTGTTAAAACACTACTAAAAGTAAATTTGAGAATTTATCTGATTATGGTTTGTTTTTTTGGGCAGGAGGGGCTTGCTTACTGGGAAAATTATCGGTAAGATGCTCATGGATACGAAAAAAGTTGGACAACACTTAGCTTACATTTTGTTCTAGTGTAGGACTTCTTAAAAGAGTTTGTACATTTATCTTTGTCTACTTAATTTACTTCTATATTCTCTTAATAGAGTGTTAAAAACTCCCTTTGTAGACTGCAAACTACTTGTCTGTCATAAGAAGCCCCACACTAGAGAAATATATCAGGATTATGTTATTTTATTTTACATTTGATTTTATCTATATAAGCCTCGTGATTTTAAATATTCTCAGGTGTGACAATTTAATCCGTCTCTTGGATTTATTAAAACCATAACCATAAATTTATTTGAGTTATCAAATTGCATTGTTGTTATGCTAAGTTTCTAGTAAATAATTAAACAAATTTATTTTCACCACTCCGTAACGAAAGTAACTATTTTCGATAACAGCTGACATCAATGAAAGTAGTCGTTTCCCAAGCTCTAATTTGGGGCGAGGGAAAATCGATCGGCTGATTTTCTCTGGCTCTAAATTTACTTTCCCTCGCTCTCAATTAGTTCTCCATTTATTCTCTACGCGCACTAGTGTTTTGTTACGGTTTAGTTTAATGATTTGAAAGAATCAGCTGTATGAATTGTCAAAAGTTGTTTTATTCTTTCATTTTTCATATTTAACAAAATTGATTGAGAAATATACGTAGGTTTCCTTTTAGATGATTGTTATTTTATTTTGATGTTCAATCAAATTAATTGAGCAATAAAATAGTTGTAATATTACTGAGGTCTGCTAATCTGTGTTTGTGTATTTTTGCGTCGTGATGAAAAGTATCATTCATAACTCGTACTGAAAGTTATCATGCGGCCCTTACTCCATTATTCCCGTCATCGGATTCGCCTCGTACGTGAAAATAACTCTCACATACTCGGCTTGGCCTCGCATGTGAAATTGGGGTTCCCTGTGTTCGGCTTCGCCTCACACAAAAACTCGAGCGCGCAACGGAAAATGCCACTTTCGGTCCTAGTAATGAAATATACTATTTATAAATTGATGCCCCAACAAGAAATAAACTCTGAACAATTGAACTTTGAACAAGTGATCCTTCCAATTTGACACCCAACCAATCACCCGACAAAGTGGGCTTCCTTACACTGATTATAGTACAGAAAGCTATGACAAAATTTCGGGTTGAGAGACAAAATTATATTTTTAAGTACGTAATTGTCGTCTCACCTGAAATTCTGTCACACCTTAAATTTGTCCAGATCCTTAGCCTACAATGAGATAGTCCAGGGCTCTAACGTATTCGTTATTTAATTATCGTTTTGAGTTTATATGAACCAGAATATTAATTACAACAATAATGCTTACAACGTTAAGCTTACCTTTAACAAGTGCTCATCATAGCCACTCGAAAAATATGTGAAGCTAAATTTAGAATTTTGAATAAACTATCATGAATGCGGATAACCTAATTAATTGGGAACTTAACCTAAAGGTGATTCGTTCGTTATACTTGATAATCACCAAAGTAAACGTGTCGGGAAAATTAGACTCGGTTGATCACGAGAGTCGATATGGGGTTTCTTAAATCTAATTTACGTAGGACGGTTCGGAGTAACGGAATAAGTTGTACGTAAACCGTTCTGGCAACTTAAATGATTTCCTAAGCTGGTTTAAGACAAAAGGTAGTGTGCTCGTACGTGAAAAAGCGTGCGGGGTGCGCGCAACTGCGGCACAATAAAATAAAATAATAAAATTTCTCTAAAAATGAGATTAAACAAAATAAATTCGGTAGCACACTAACCTGATGCCTTATGACTCTACCAGGAACGGAGGAAATCTTTAACTGACCAGAATGATGAAGTTAGACGTTACGTTAGACCGTTGGTTTTATCTCCAAACAGCAAGTGTATTGACGGTTCGGTGGCGGGTGGACAACTCACCATGAGGTCTGCTCTTCTGGCCCTTCTTCACCATCGCCCCTGGTGGCGGGGTAGGTAACTAGCGTCCTCCCCTCTACGATGACGTAGGAACCCTACCCCTATGATGCCGCTGACAACGCGGGCGCGGCTTACCCCAAACGGTAAAGATTATAATATCTTAAAATGAAACTTTAAAAATCTGGTTTTTACCCCTTGGTGGGTTTTGGGTTGTTACAAAGCTGCTACTTGCTGCAATTACTTACTTTATCGCACACCAGTATTCCAACCAAACAACACAAAACAGCGTGCTTTTATTAGGCATGTAATACGTTTGTGCTTGAAAATGAATAGGCTGTGGCAACACTTTAAGAGAGTTAAGGTTTAAGAAAGTTTGTTCTGAAAATAATGAAAAATTTTAGTTGTTTTACGTCTACAAAAGACCAAATACTTAAACTGGAATGATTAATCAATCCTGCTGCAATTGTTTAACATTCCTAGCTCAAGGTCAAATTTGAAAAAAATATATTTTTTACGGATCGTAAAATACTGAACAAAAAAATCTATAACAAATAGTTTAGTTGTAGAAATTTGGTCACAAGTGCAGTAGCTACAGATAAATAAACTGTATCAGCAATCTGACACATACTTCATCCCAGTAGCTGGTCAACAACCTTTATCATGGGTAAGCGATGAGAGTAGGCCTAACTATGATATTTAATAGGTAAAATCACTAAAGTTGCATAACTTTTGAACCATAACTTTTCAAGGAATGGGGAGGTTGGACTATTTTGTTTGGAATTAATTAATTAAAAGTACCATAACAGAAGAATTTCAATAAAAAAAATATTTTTTTATCTTTTTTATGGGTTTTTATGGAAAAATAGCATAAGTTACGATAACATTGGAATCGTAATTTTTACAGAAATGGGATTTCTACCAGTTTGTTCAGAATTTAAAGGGCTACAACATACTAAATTTTTATCAAACTGGTTCAAGCCATTTTCAAGAAAATTTGATTTTTCCGTTATTTTATGGGTTTTTTAGGAAAATTACCACCCACTAAAAATCTAAATTTAAAAAAAGTGAAAAAAGCGCCTGGAGATATATCAACTCAAAATTCAGACTCAAAAACAATACTTTCTCCATATACTGTATAGAAGGAGAATGTATAGTCTGGTACGGTATATCGAAAAAAAGGGAAAAAATTACACCAGAGTGCTTACATAGAAACAGATTATTCAACAAACTAGGAATAGCTACTAGGAAATGATTATTCGAACGTCAGAAAAAACTAAGATATGATTGTTGGTATTTTTTTCTTATTTTCCTACTCTAACAACGTTTACACTTACATTTAAAAAACATTATATCTATGCCCTTAACCGTTAATTCCATTATTGACATTTTACTTGTTTCTCTATTTATAAACGAACCAACTTCGGTCAAATCAAAGCTTGCACTATTTAATAAAATTTTATTTTTGAACCATCACAGTTTGTACAAAAGTTTCCATGTTGACTTTTTGAGACCTACAAATAAATAAATGAATTCAAACCAAAGAGTAAGAGAGTCAGTAAAAAGTGTCAGGCACAGGGTTTCGAGGGCCGGTGATACTGATGGGGCCTGGGTTAGGACCAGGGTTGAACATGCCGAAGTTGAAAGACGTGGGGTTGGGCCATGCCATGGCCCTCGGCAGAGGAACCCCTAGAGAGCTGCTCACCAGCAGGAAGACTCCTGCAATAGACAGTATTTCATGTTAACATAACATGTTCGTGGAGAACAGGAAAACTGGTCAAGAAGATATCTTCTGTGGACCTTTCAAAGAACAAAAATACACTGACCATAGTAACATTCCACAGCTTTCAAAGCATTATTCATGCAATAACTTAGCTTCTCAAGAAACCAGCCACAGGGACCTGCACCATCACAACACCAGATTTCCAATCAAGCGAACACGAACGGGAAGAAAACCATCCTATATAAGGAGCTGCATTCTTTTCCAGAGACCAATTCGACCCGCTTCAAGAACCAACTATTATACTGGCTGATGGAAAACCCCTTCTATACAGAATAAGAGATTAAAAATATGACTTGCTGGTTCTCTCAAACTGACTTAAAAAACGGTACATTGTACTCTTTTCTTTTATACTGCATATTACTGAATTTCTTGTGTTTGACATTGTCTTTAGCAATGATATGTTGAAAAAAATAGCAATAAAGAGATTTTGGTTGATTCTGTAAAATTAACGAAAAAAAATGACTTGTGAAGCTTGTCTTATGTGAATCGTCTTATGACGTTTGTACTGTTCTCAACGTTGCAATAAAGAATATTGTCTATTCCCTGTCGTCTATCACTACAGTATCAAACATTTACACGTTAGATGGGTAATTTTTTTTAACTAATTAAAATTAATACAGTTTTATTGTAAATTTATGTTCTGGTAAACTCTAAATAGCCGCGTATGAAGGTCTCTATCAGTCAGCCTGACAGTCTTGAAGCGAATTGGGTTGGTTTCTTACTTGACAGGTTTCCTTTTGTTTGTGTTCACTTTTGTGAATTGGAAGGGTTAAATCTAGTGGGATGCTTGTCTAGTGTTGTGTCGTTGTAGGTCTTATGTTGGGTTTGTTGTGAGGCTATTGCTTGGAGTATGGTTTGGCGAATGGAAAGTTTTTTGTTCTTTGAAAGATTCCTCTAAAGCTGTTTTCTTGCCTAATGCTAACAAGGTTCCTAACTGCTCTTGTTAAATGAAATGCGTTTGATGATGGTTGTGGGTTGTTCCAGGTTGACTGCAATCATTGTTCAGACAATGCAGTGATGACTTGTCAGTTTGGATGTTTCATAAAATGTTTGTACGATTTTAGTTTCCTGATACCATCACATGGCAATAGG